ACAGATTTCAACATTGACTTATTATATGTTTCCAGAAAATTTATACCCCTTTTCTGTTTTTTCATTTGTTGAAAGTATATGTTTAACCATTTACAGTGTTTTTATATTTATGCTACATTATAATATCATTTCATATTTTACAATTTTTTTTTCAAAAAGAGCGTATTTTTTTAGACAAAAATCATATTCTCCATCTCTAAGCCACTTAGATAAAGGTTCGTTATGAGTAGCCCAACATATCCTGCAATCAATTCAGCAATCGTTATACACATATAGAAAATTGCAAAAATGTCGACTACTGTCAGAAAAAATCATATACATGGTGGTGTTCTCACATTGGTGCATAAAGATATAGTCTTTAAGAATGTGACTATGTAAACAAACTTTACTTAGAGCCACTAATTGAATGCCGAGTTGTACTGGGAATGATAAATAACTTAACCTCGACCTTCAAGTGGGCATTTTGGAGCCAGGACTTGCGCCAATCAGGACTAGGCAAAGCTACCTTCGTCTGAATACATAATTTTTATGCTGACGAAATTATTTAGCAAAAGTAGTGTTTCAAATGACACTTATTTCGATTAAATTGAATTAGTATTCACTGATGGTCTACTACGCCGTAAGGCAAGCAAACAGCGTTACCAGATTTTATTTGAGAAGTCTACATACAGTGTCATTGAAAACTTACTGAACTGTACTGCAATATATTTGAAGAGCACCAACATAGTGAAAATTTGAGTTTTCGACCACTAAGTGGTGAATGTAAAGACATTTGAATAGCATGACTGAATAAAGGCCTTGGCTTTCTTACGGGTATGGACAATGGAGGTGGCTAATACTTGAGATAGCAAGTTGATTCTTTGTTGTTGGTTATTTCGAACCCTTGAACTATTTCAAGCATTAGATTTCAAGATTCAAAAACAGAAGTGTTTCCATGTTTGAAATGAAACTGGATTGTTTGAAAACGAAAAGTGAAATGAGGTAGATAAATAACTTAACCTCGACCTTCAAGTGGGCATTTTGGAGCCAGGACTTGCGCCAATCAGGACTAGGCAAAGCTACCTTCGTCTGAATACACAATTTTTATGCTGACGAAATTAGCAACAGCGTTACCACATTTTATTTGAGAAGTCTACATAGTGTCATTGAAAACTTACTGAACTGTACTGCAATATATCTGCACCAACATAGTGAAAATTTGAGTTTTCGACCACTAAGTGGCGAATGTAAAGACATTTGAATAGCATGACTGAATTAAAGCCTTGGCAATCTTACGGGTATGGACAATGGAGGTGGTTAATACTTGAAATAGCAAGTTGGTTCTTTGTTGTTGGTTATTTTGAACCCTTGAACTATTTCAAGCATTAGATTTCAAGATTCAAAAACAGAAGTGTTTCCATGTTTGAAATGAAACTTTGGATTGTTTGAAAACGAAAAGTGAAATGAGGTTATGTATTATTATATGCTTCTTCTTCCTTTATTCGGAGGTTGGAGATATTCAGAAGCATTCGGGAAATGGATATTTTATGATGTGTATCCAATTTATGTTCTGTGTATCGAAGCGGGCGGAACCTAGAAATAATGCATTCATGGCATTTGCTGTAGATGTCGCCACTCACATTGAAATGAAAATTCTATCGCCAAGGTGTTTTATCCAAATCTACCGGCGAAAATTCATCTACTGCAATTTTTCAATTTGTGTTGAATAGTTACCGAAAAAGTAGAAATCTACCGCATGTGGTCACCCTGCAAGCAAATATCATAAAAAAGAGAAGAAATTTCAGTTTGAAGTAGACTAAAAAACCACCGACGTAACCTATAAGGTTTTGTTGATTTCAAAAACAGACAAAACTTTTGAATACATATGAAGTAAAAGTTACAGGCATTTTACATTGTGTGTTGTCTACACTGTATGCTATATTGGTGATCAAATATATTTTGTATTCAATATAGCTTTATCTATTACTCAGTTTCTCATTATCCGTCGGAAAATTTTACTTGATATATACTGAATATTATTAGTCCTACGCTTTAAATTTTAAAACATCATTAAATTGACTGAATTTATGACATTTCCTTTTACGAAGACGCCATCTATGAAAAGACAAAGAACTCATTACTCGAATATCAATGGCTTTGTAATTAGTATATAAACAAAGTCAAAGGTAAAACGAGGCCCACAGATTGTCATTTGCAAACGCAAGCTTCGACATCGACCGCCGACGAGATTCGTGTTCTGCCTTTCACTGAAAGGCAGTGTAGAGCCAAAAAAACGCATAAATAATTCAACACCATACACATTTTAATGTGAGATTTCCACTTCAAAGAATTCAAAGCCCATAAGTACGATTTTATTGTATCATGAAATTTATAGTACCTACTTTGACCACTAGAGAGCGATGGAAGTACAATGTCTGCATTTAATTTGGTTATCCACCGAATTAGGTAACCAAACCAGCTGACAACCAGCCAGCCTTTTAATTCAGTTATTATTGTTGCCTCAGTTTTAGCTGTGGTAGGTTTCATCTAATATAGTTGAAATAAGTAAGTACTTTTGGTGATGAATTATCCTGGATTCCATTTCGAAAAAGATCATCCACCTGACTGGAGACACGAATAACACTCGCAGCCTTGATAGTCTGGAACATAAAAAAAAGGTTGGATATTTGTCTCTCTTCCATTAATACTTTCACGGAAGGTGTTCAAGTGATTTGGAACATTTGATTCCACCAAAAGCGGTACATTTCAGAAATACGCGACGGACTGTAGCTGCTAATCCTTTCGAAGTTCAACTAAGTACACCTCGAACTGCACTGTTTGAGAATTCTTTGATTTGGAGAACTGCATTCATGTGAAATAAACTTGCAAAAAAGATTGAGATCACATTCTTGGTGATAGTTCATTTCATTGCAGTAAGTCAGAAATAATAAAGGTCCTAAGGCACTCTCTGTGGAACTCCAAATTCATCAAAAAAGCCGAAGATACTCTGGTGATCTGTTTGCGATCAGTCAAGTGGTCCCTATAAACATTCCAAAGTAGTACCTTGTATCGATCTTTACAATCATTGTCTGTGTTGAATATTGTGATACATTTATATTGCACTCCGATTTGTCACATGTATTCTACGCCTATGGTGTGTTGGCAAATGTATCATAGGCCAGAGCTCTGTAAGTAACAAGTCGGAGTTGGTACAAAGTACCACTGATAGATGGAGTAGTAGATAATGAAGATAGAATATGGCTTCGATGTTATATATATATATTTTTAATCAGAAATAAGTGTTGTAACCAAACAGATAATAAAATTTATTTAGTTGTAATCTACTTAATGATACTACATATTAACAGTCTGATGATCAATTGGTTTTTCCATTCCGAAATTGTCAAGTGAAGAGATATTTAACACAGATGATTTTCCGTAAAGAATAATAAAGAACATTCAGTTTTACAATCGTACACCCGCAGGCATTAGAGATGAAACCAGTTTTTTTTGAACTATAGTGAAAATACTAGTTGAAGAAGGATGCTTTCATATCACTGAAGAATACCTCTGCAGTAATTTTTAATAGGTTATCACTTTGAAGTGCACGCGGAATGGAACACGTTTCAGCGTTTAGCAGGGTCTGACTCTTGCTATCTGACCTGAATAAAGTTATCCTCTTCGTTGAAAAGTTAAATTTGGTCGGGTTCAAATATGTGTGAACCACAATAGACCCTCGCGAGTTATAAAACAGTGTCGAATAAACTCATACACTACCGACTTCCCTACCGTATGAAAAAACACATTTTTGTGTGTATACATTGCACATGTAAAAAATTCCGTCATCCCCTTTTCGATGAGTTGAAACTTAAAAAAGGGCCCACAACTTTATTTTTTCTTATGAATAGGGACCCCTAAAAAAATTAAATTGCTTGTTGGATAGCTTCAGTGATTGAGGCTTAAAGCAATTTAGGTTATAATTTAAAAGAAGATGAGAACGTAAGACAGTTGACAGGCTACAATTTGGAGTATGTTTACTTTTTTTCAATAAAAGTTGGAAAAACAATATTCACTGGTCAAATGCACAACGTAGAAAGCATCGGCCATACAAAATAAAGTGAAAGATACTAATTGTCAGTTGACTTCTTACAAATATTTGGTAGGTAAAATTGAAAAATGTTCAGGTTGTAATGATAATTTTGAAACAAATTTAAAACCATAAATCTTTGAGGCCTATGGTAAAAACTATAAGAAGCTTTGAATGATTCTTGGGATAAATAAATATTCATTTAAGTTAGCCTATAACAGAATTGTAGGTACTTTGTTTTCAGAAATAAATCAGTTTTTAACCAGACTTTTGAAGGTCTAACTTATAGTATATTTGAGTAAATGGTTTCATGGAAACGCAACACGTTTTTCGCTATAGGCTTCTATGGGCGTGTCTATAGTAGATTTTCATCAACTATCAGCCGATTCCATCACATATCTTATAATGGTTGAATTACCCACCGATATCAAAGATATACATAGATTTGAGAGATTCAAAAAAGAATTGAGTTCACTGTTGCTAGAAAAGTTGCTCTACTCTCTGAATGAGTTTATTTCTATATTTCTTTTAATATAACAGTGTGAAGCCTTGTGTGGCTGCTGTTTAGTTTGACACTTCTTCTGTCGACATTGTATCTCTATGTTTGAATGAGATGGAGGAACTATCATTATTATTAATACTTTTTCTCAAATGTATCAAAGAATGTCCATATCAATTGTAAAATTATATTTCAGTATTCTATAACGTGTTTGCATATGTTTTGCGTTTTTCTTTCATAGCTTCTACTGATAGGAAAAATTTTTGATTATCCTTAATCTTTTCTGGTCATCCATCACTTGCGTTTTTCTTATTGACTGAGGATACACTACAAAAACACACTTTTGTCTATTTTCCACGATATTTCTTTATTGTGACTAGTTTCGGCTATTACACCATTTGTGTGTAATAATACACCATTTGTGTGTAAACGCAATCAAGCCAACGAAATTCATTTAGTTGTATAGAGATACTCACTGTTTGAACCTAATCTTTGTTTATTCAGTGTTTAATGATGGATATTGATCATGAAGAGTCGATTATGAGGAAAGATGATTTTCTTCCTGAAAATGTTGATATCAAAGTAGAAATAGTAAAAGAAGAGATGAAAGAAGATTTGTTGGTCAAATGTGAAGCCTGTAAGGAGTCTATAAGTGGAACGATCTGCATTCATAACATGAAATGTAAGTTAAATTATTCGGGTAAAATATTTCATATTTGAGATGCATCTCTAGACGAATTATGCGAACGAATGACTTAAAAACAGTTGCAGGTTCTGATGAGGGAATAAAAAATGAAATAATGGATAACCAGATGGTCACAGCGCAGGAACTGGAAGATTCCAAAGTCAAGTGTACTGATTTAGAATTAACACTAGACCAGGAAAGTTCCGTTGATACTGAACAAGTTTTGTCATTCAACACCCACATTGTCAAAAGTGAAATCAAGAGTGAAATAGAGGATGAGCAGGATGAAGACAATGTTTTTTATGAAAATTCATGTGAAAAAATTACCAATACAGAGGCCTGTTTGAAGTCTGATATGTTATATCCAGATAATTTTGTGCAGGTATCCTCCAAAGAATCTCGGAAGAGTAAGTGCAGTATCTCGGTTCTCACAGATTAAACATATCATCAGCTAACTAGCCTGAATATTTTCCATTTCCATGTTTCCTAGCTCTTTCATGTATCTATTTGAGTATAAATTGGAAAAATTATTTGCTTCTGAAACAGCTTAGTAGCTGTTTCAGAAGCAAGTTGTCATAGTTCGGCTTTGATTTTTTTTGTTATTAATTTATTTACAAAGCAATCATGATTATTCTTTAACAACAAATAATTCAAGATAATTGAAAGAGTGAGTTTTGAATCGAACAATTGTAGGGCACTGCAGAAGTATACTGTTGAGCTGCATTTTAAATGGAGTTGTTGATTTCAGATTTTAATAAGATATTCCACTTATTACTAATGACCCAGCATGAACTTGATAATATTTTAGTTCTTTTCAGATACTGAAACTGAGGAAAGAGAATGTGCAGATGAAAAACTCTTTCAGTGTAATTTCTGCTCTAGATCATTCGCTCACTTCAAGAACTTCAAGAACCATGAGAGATACCACAAAACTGAAACATCACATAGTTCTACAATTAAGTCAGAAAAAAAGGAGTATAAATGTGAAATCTGTTCGAAATGTTTTTTCCGTAGTTCAACCTTGAAAAGGCATTTTAAAATTCATTCAGGGGAAAAACCATACAAATGTGAAATCTGTTCAAAATCTTTTTCAGAAAATTCTACCTTGAGAAGGCATTATAAAAATCACACAGGGGAAAAACCATATAAATGTGAAATTTGTTTAAAATCTTTTTTCTCCAGATTTGAGCTAAAAAGGCATTCCAAAATTCACATAGGAGAAAAGACTTATACATGTGATATCTGTTTAAAATCATTTTCTGATAGTTCCCTGTTACGAAAACATTCCAGAATTCACACAGGGGAAGAAACATATAAATGTATAACATGTTCAAAATGTTTTCTATATAGTTTTGCCCTAGCGAGGCATTCCAAAATTCATACTGGGGAAAAACCTTATAAATGTGAAATCTGTTCAAAATCTTTTGTTGATAGTTCTAATATGCAGAGGCATTATAGAATTCACACAGGGGAAAAACCATATAAATGTGAAGTTTGTTCAAAATCTTTTTTCTCTAGATTTGACCTGAATCGGCATTCAAGAATTCACACTGGAGAAAAGTTCTTTAAATGTGAAATCTGTTCAAAATCTTTTTATGATAGTTCAAAGTTACGAAACCATTCTAGAATTCACACAACAGATGAGAAATATAAATGTAAAACCTGTTCAAAATGTTTTTTAGATAGATTTGGCCTAGCGAGACATTCCAAAATTCATACAGAAGAAAAACCTCATAAATGTGAAATCTGTTCAAAATCTTTTCTCGATGTGTCCAACTTGCAGAGGCATTCCAGAATTCATGGGGGAGAGAAACCATTTAAATGTGAAATCTGTTCAAAATCTTTTTTAGAAAGTTCCACCCTGAAAAGGCATTCTAGAAATCATACAGGAGAAAAACCATATAAATGTGAAACTTGTTTAAAATCATTTTCCGATAGTTCATATCTGAAGAAGCATTCCAGAATTCATACAGGAGAAAAGTCTTATAAATGTGAGACCTGTTCAAAATCTTTTTCAGAAAGTTCTGCCTTGAAGAAGCATTTAAGAGTTCACACAGAAGAAAAACTATATAACTGCGAAATCTGTACAAAATCATTTCTCACTAGTTCTCTTTTGAAAAGGCATTCTAGAATTCATACAGGGTAACAAATTTAAATAACGATTGAGAAAATTAGTGTTTCACTGTATAATAGCTTCTTAGGGCATGTTGAACACAAAATCGAGCTCTTCAGTTATTCTACGAAACACCAGTAAAAACTGCAGATGGAATTTCAACAAATTGATCGAGTGATTGATTACTTGTAAAATGATTGTTACCTTCTGTGCATTTTGCAACAATAAAGTGCCTGTAGTCTGTGTTTTCTCCTGCATAACAAATATTAGTGACTATTGCAAAACTCTATTCATTCACAATAAATTACTAATTGTACTTTTGAATTTTCATTTTGGAGACAGCATGCCTTTTATACAAAAGATAAGTGCTCCATAGTTTTGTGAATACTTATTTTACATACTTCTGTACACTACAACAATAACCTTAACAGAACATAATGTGTATTATCATTTACACACTGAAATGGAGAAAATATAGTAAATTTAAAGGCATTTCTTAAGCATAAGGACTTTTATACTTTGAAAAGTTTGACAAAATATTATATGTTACTCAGTAAATGCTTGTATATTCAGGATTTTATTTAGATGAGTCTTTTTTTGTGTCTAATATATTCAAAATTACATCTTACAGAGTGTTGTAAATTTTATTTTTTTGTTATATTGCTAATAAATAACTTTTTACGAAGGACATGCTTATAATTTTTAGATTTATTTGGGTATAACAGCAAAACTTTGAACACATTTTTAATATAGTGTTATATGTTATAGCAGATGATATCACAATTAACTTCAAGTAAAGAAAATTGATATACCATAAATATATAAAATGTTACTTCAAATTTCAATCAACTCTTAATGTTTTAACGTACAGCTTCTGCTTGTTGTTTCGCAACCTGTTGTATTCTTCATTATCATTGGAAATTCACAAAATGATAATTGAAATTCACGTTCATATGTAAATAAAATTTCAATTTTATACAACAATTTTCTGTATTCTTTCTTCAGTTTTATGAATTTATCCTATAGAGAGAGAGAGAGTTGATGATCGCTGTAGGTTCTCATGGGTATGTAAACATTGAAAAATGGAAAACCAGTTCATCACAGCCCAGAAACTACAAGATTCCAAAATCAAGTGTAGTGATTTGAAATTTGCACAAAAACAGGAAAGTTTTTCCATAGTAAATAATATTTGTAAGTTGATAAAGACTTTGTCAAAAGTAAAATAGAGCAGGACAAATTATGTTTATTTCTATACGTTGTTACAGTGTATAATGATTTGCAGAGTGAGAAAATTTCACATTTTGTGTGTACACGTTGCATATGTAAGCAACTCCCTCATTCCCTTCCTGATAAAGTTGGATATAACGGTTGTAAAAAACTTGTAAAAAAGGCGGCAACTTTATTTTTTCTTCTAAATGGGGACCTCTTGAAAATTACTTGCCGGGTAGCTTTAGTGAGTGAGGCTTAAGCAAATTAGGTAATAGATCAAAAGAAGATGAGAACGTAAGACAGTTGACAGGCAACACTTTGGTGTAGGTTAGTTTACTGTTTTTGAGTAAAAGTTGAAAATACTATTTTCACTGGCCAAATCTGCCACCCAGAAAACGACTTCCTACAAAAAATTTGGTAGGTAAAATTGAAAAAAAAAAAACAGGTTATGATGCTAATGTTGAAACCATAAATCTGTAAGGTCTATGGTAAAAACTATAGAAGCTTTGAATGATTCTTAGGATCAATAAAAGTTTGCCTATAATGCAGTTGGAGGTACTTGATGAAAATATATGATCAGGATAATGCAAGCATACAACAGTTGTTATAAAAATTGCTGTTCTACCACAATCTGGATAGATTGGAGAGATTCAAAAAAGAATTGATATCACTGTTAATACTTTTTCTCAAATGTATGAAAAAATTGTCTTTATCGATTGTAAAATTATATTTTAATATTCTAAAACGTATTTTCATATGTTTGGCATTTTTTAAAATATTTGATCATCCCGAATCTTTTCTGGTTCACTTTAATCCACCACTTGCGTTTCTCTTATTGAGTCAGCAGATAGAGGTTGTATCTTCACCCCAGACATCCTGTTTATTTAGTAATTGTATTGAATTTTCTTTCGGACACCTTAGAAAGTTTTCGTGTCACCAAATTATTACATCATTTGAAGTAAATATTTACGAGACTTAATTAATGCAATAAATTTTATAAGATTAACGAAAATAGTGTTTACTCAAGCATCGATTGTAAAAATGTAAACGTCAGATATGTACCTTCAACAATCCACTGCTTGTGCTGTTTCTAAATAATTTCTAAATTAATAAATAGTGCCGAGTTTGGATGCTAAGCCCGATCGACTATCCTAGTTACACTGATTAGTTTATGACATGACTAATAATGTAAGAATATGCTATTGATTATTTTATTCAAACTATTTTATATAGTTTCTAGTATACACAGTGTTGACATTAGAAGGCAATAAGAGGGCTCAATTGCAATAATAATCTCGTAGGGTATATACATCGACGATAGATGACACATGGGTAGTAATTCAACATTATTATTGCACTTTTTGACAACCGTCAGAAAGGAATTCGCAGGTTGTGGCAATTCTCAAATCTCTTCCTATATTTGGCAAACTATAAGTAATGTCTGTATGAGATGGTTTGTTGACAACTGTGAAATCATGTTAATTATTGATTGTAGATACAATCAAGCTGTTTGATCCTAATCTGTGTTTATTTAGTGTTTAATGATGGATAACAATCATGAAGAGTTGATTATGAGAAAGGATGATTTTCTTACTGAAAATGTTGATATCAAAATAGAAATAGTAAAAGAAGAGATGAGGGAAGATTTGATGATCAAATGTGAAGCCTGTAAAGTGTCTATAAGTGGAACGATCTGCATTCATAGTATGAAATGTAAGTAAAATTATTTGGTTCAAATATTCTATATTTGAGATGCATCTCTAGACGAATTATGAGAAAGGATGATTGCTACAAAATAGTTACAGGTTCTGATGGGGGTATAAAGAATGAAGTGATGGATAACCAGATGGTCACAGCCCAGGAACTGGAAGATTCCAAAGTCAAGTGTACTGATTTAGACCAGGAAAGTTCCGTTGATACTGAACAGTTTTTGTCATTTAACACGGACATTATCAAAAGTGAAATCAAGAGTGAAATAGAGGATGAAGATGATGTTTTTTATGAAAATTTTAGTGAAAATATGACCAATACAAATTCCTGTTTGAAGTCTAATATGTTATATCCTGATAATTTTGTGCGGGGATCCTCCAAAGAATCTCAGAAGAGTAGGTTCAGTATATCGGTTCTCACAGAATAAACATATCATTGAACAGCTAACTAGCCTGAATATTTTCTATTTCTGTATACATCAGCTTTTACGTTTCCTATATCTCTCACGTATCTATTTGAATATAAATAGGAAAAATTATTTGCTTCTAAACGTAACTGTATTATTATTCAACTTTGTACCTGTTTTCGTTTCTATGGAGGACTGAAATGAATTAATCATTCAAGTTTTTCCTTCTGTATCAAACATTTTTTATGAATAAACGTCTGTGTCACGATTATGGAAGAGAGAGTTATGAATAGAACAAGCAGAAGTATACTGTTGAGCTGCATTTTGAATGAAGTTTTTGATTTCAGATTTTAATAAGATGTTCCACTTATTACTAATGACCCAGCATGAACTTGATAATATTTCTGTTATTTTCAAACAAGAACGATTCAAATTATATATTTCCTTTTTTTCAGATATTGAAACTGAGGAAAGAGTGTGTACAGCTGAAAAACTCTTTCAATGCCATTTCTGCTGTAGATCATTCACTCACCTCAGTCACTTGAAGAACCATGAGAGATACCACAAGTCTGAAACATCACATAGTTCTACAGTTGGTTCAGAAAAGAATGAGTATAGATGTGAAATCTGTTCAAAATCTTTTTTCCGTAGTTCTACCTTGAAAAGGCATTCTAAAATTCATATGGGGGAAAAACCATACAAATGTAAAATCTGTTCGAAATCTTATTCAGACAATTCTACTTTGAGAAGGCATAATAAATATCACACAGGGGAAAAACCATATAAATGTGAAAATTGTTTTAAATCTTTCTTCTCTAGATCTGATCTTAAGAGGCATTCCACAACTCACATAGGAGAAAATGCTCGTACATGTGATATCTGTTCAAAATCTTTTTCTGATAGTTCCCTGTTACGAAAACATTCCAGAATACACACAGGGGAAGGAACGTATAAATGTATAACATGTTCAAAATGTTTTTCATATAGTTCTGCCCTAGCGAGACATTCCAAAATTCATACTGGGGAAAAACCCCATAAATGTGAAATCTGTTCAAAATCTTTTATTGATAGTTCTAATATGCAGAGGCATTATAGAATTCACACAGGGGAGAAACCATACAAATGTGAAATCTGTTACAAATTTTTTTCAGAAATTTCTAACTTGAAGAAACATTCCAGAATTCACATAGGAAAAAAACCATATAAGTGTGATATTTGTTCAAAATCATTTTTTGGAAGTTTTGACCTGAAAATGCATTCTAGAATTCACACAGGAGAAAAGCCTTATAAATGTGAAATCTGTTCAAAATCATTCCTTAATATCTCCAAGTTACGAAAGCATTCTAAAATTCACACAGGAATAAAACCATACAAATGTGAAATATGTTCGAAATCTTATTCGGAAAATTCTTCCTTGAGAAAGCATTATAAAAATCACACAGGGGAAAAACCATATAAATGTGAAATTTGTTTAAAATCTTTTTTCTCTAGATTTGATCTAAAGAGACATTCCAAAATTCACACAGAAGTCTTATAATTGAAATCGGTACAAAATAATTTCACACTAGGTCTCTTTTAGAAAGGCATTTTAGAATTCTTATAGGGCATTGGTTAATAGTGTGATTTTTAATACGTTTATGAATCTGAATGTTTCACTGTATGAAAGCTTCTCAGGATATATTGGGCAAGAAACTGTGCTTCTCAGTTATTGTGTGAAACACCAATAAAAATTGCAAATGAAATTTCAACAAATTGATCAAGTGATTGATTACTTGTAATGTGGTTGCCGAAAAACCATATAAATGTAAAATCTGTTTAAACTCTCAGATAGATATGCCTTCGTTATGCATTTCAGAATTCACACAAGGAAAAAAACATGATGCCTGGGGAAAGTTTTGCAGTATTTAATGTAAATAAATCGAAATCAAATATAGTAGAAATAAAATGTATTATATCACAAAAAACTAAACTTGAGCGAAATGAACAATTTTGTTACAGAAGTTGAATATTTAAGATTCATGATGAATAACTTTACACTTGATTATGTACAAAAAAAAAAATCAGAAATAAATGACTTATTCCAAGAATATCTTCACATTTATGTGTCTATCCCAGACTAACTATTTGAAATATAACCGTATTTTGAGTATTGTGCGAGTCTATTATTTTCTCTTGATTTCACTGAAATCTTCGCAATGCAAAAATTAGGTGCATATATTACAGAAGGGAAAACCACCTAATGAAAAAATTACGTCCTTCACTATCAAACTGAAATTTTTACAAAATATTTTGAGCACAAAACATATGGAGATGATTTATTTATTTTGGTTCAAACTCAATTGAACTATGGTATATTTTCAATAAGAGGAGTTGATGAAAATTGAAAAAAAAAATTAGAAACAGAAGTTCCTGAAAATCATGAATTATATAATTCCACAAATTAATCATTTGAAGGATGTAAAAAAATGGAAATTAGGCAATTATTTCGTTTAAAACAATAACTTTCATATTTTCTCATGAAGATTGCTGCAAATATAAGGAACATAATGAACATAAATAAAATATTTGAATTAAAGTCATAAAAAACGGATGCAATGCTGATACAAAATATACATATTAACGCGTGCGATCGCTGCTTATCATAAAGTGCTATAGAGTCAATCGCGGCCTTCTACGCGCTATTTATAGACACGCGCCGCTATATCCCTGCATTTTATTCATTCAAATTACATTCTGTAAAGGGAAATATTAATCTATAGACATATACCATCGCGAACATTTTTGTAGACCTTGTATGCAACCCCTTGGTCTACTGCACGAGGAAGCAAAGACTATACAAAACGAGAAGGAAAAGTATGCAACCCATATTACTGATGACGTAGCCACGAGCACGTTTTTTGTGCGTGACGTCATTTCCAAAACGTTGTATGCAGTATGTAAAAGTGACAAACGGTCAGTCCGTGTTGATTTAATTAGGTTAGGTTTGTCACAAAAATAAAGATTTATTTTAGTAACATATTTCAGATCAATTTATCAGCTTTTTTAAAAAAACGAATTTTTTTGGTAGAATAAGAAATGGTTAGCTATCAATTTGAGTCTAATCTAGTCCAAAGAACAGATGATATGGTTTGTGAAAACCCTGGCCCTGACATGAAAACTCAAACAGTAAAGGAAGAACTTAGGCAAGATTGTATTAAATGTGAAGTGACTTATGGTGAAATAGCGGGCCTACAAGAATATATTAGTGAGTAAAATTGATTATTACACATCAAGATACCGTGTTTAAATGAATAGTTCGATTATCTTGGATGCAATTTTGAACCATTTCAGTTTCCAATGACGTAAAAATTAAAGAAGAAGGTACTGAATATAATTATATAAAAGAGGAACATTGTTATAGTCTAGGATTTTGGTCCTCAAATACAGATTTTGCCGAATTTGAAACGGGGAACATAAAAACTGAGGATGATATTTTATATGACAACGACGTGAATCAGGAAATTAAGGAAGAATCAATTGATGAAGAAGTCAGTTTGTGCTCAGACAATGAAAACAATGTTGAGTATTTTGAATGTGATTCGATAGAATTCAGAAAAGGTGAAAACTTGTTTACTGATAACTCTGACCAGGATCGCTCCAAAGAGTTTCAGAATAGTAAGTTCTCTCGGCCCCTCACATTAAGCTAATTGTAGCCTTTTTTTGTATCTTTCAGACTTTGCACTCATACATTCAAATTTTCAAAGGAAGAATTATTTACTTCCTGATAACAGCGACACAGACATTAAAGTAGAGGTGGTGAAAGAAGAGCTTCGAGAAGGTATGTCAGTCAGAATTTATACAGAAAAATGGTAATATGAGATGGAAATTATTTACCATCTTGATCAAGTTGAACATTGTCTCCTATTGCATAATTTTTGAATATTTTTAGACTGCAACGAGAATGTGAAAGCTACATTAGTATCGTCACAGGATGAAGACTATGGTGACAATGTTGAACAGTGCTGCGAAGCTTCTAAGAAAGGTAGGTTCATTCTGTACAATATAAGAATTCAGTAATTCACATTATAAGATGAACATTAAACTTTAATCTCATAGAAAGAGGGTAAAATTGTTTGAATAAAAGACTATAGGCTTTAACGGCCGAAGTCATGGTTGAAGAGAATAAAATCTATGCTGGCTAGGCCGTGGTCGAATGGAACCTGTCTGTCACAGTAGCAAACCAAACGTTTTGTACTTCCAGTCCCTATTTTATCCTCTTTAATCTTCCAATAATATATTCCATGAGTAATTACGTTTCTTTTTTTTCAGATTTTGAGAGCGATGAAAGAATATCTACAGAGGAAAAACTGATTAAGTGTAATGTATGCTCCAGATCTTTCACCCGACTTAGGTTCCTGAAAACTCATGAGAAAACCCATAAGAAACACAGGTCAAATACTTCTACTAAAAAGAAAAAATATTTTACGAACATATCTTCTTTGGTTGTGCACTTCAGAATTCACACAGGCGAAAAACCATATAAGTGCAACGTGTGTTCAAAATCATTTTCTACTAAAACTGTCCTATTGGTGCATTACAGAATCCATACAGGGCAAAAATCTTACAAGTGTGAAATCTGTTTGAAATCTTTTATGCAGAGTTGTACTCTAAAGAGGCATTTTAAAACAATCCACACAGGGGAGAAACCAAAAAGAAAGATATATTGCTTTCATTCAAGCAATTATCTGATGATCATCAAATTACATAAACTAAAATACTATGATGGTATTCAGCTAGTTAGTTGAAATTTCCCATGACAAAGTTTGTTATAACTTATTATATTCCTGACAATGCCTCGTTTTTTAGGTATAATTTCAGATAGGCTGCATCCACCGATTTTGAAAGTAATTTTGTGTGTACCTAATTATTTTGACGTGTTGGTTACAAACCGAATGGTGCTCTACCTTATTTTCATTCTGAACATCGTCATTTAGCTTGATCTTTAGACAATAAAGCATATTTATTATTAAATCGTCTAAAAGAACATATTTGCACTAGATCTTTACACAAAAATCATAGAAAAACAGTGAAATATCTGTTGCTAGGTAAAGCCCATCAAAATTTTATGAAGATAGTTTTTAAACTGTGACTGTTATATTTGTTATAGTTTTTACATTATTTTTGAGTCTTTTATTCTAGTTCTCTTGTTATATGTTTAGTTGATTGTATTTTTTCGAAATTTATTTGTTATATGTTGTTATACAGTTATAGTTATTAATATTTCAATTTTGTCAGCAAAAATTTACTGTTCTTTAGACAATAAAGTTTCAATATATCTCCTTCTATTATGTCTTCAGAACCAAAAGAGCAAGAGTCGAATTTTAGGTATCATTCCATAGAACCCGCAATAAGACAATTCCCTACGCATAGCCTTGAATTTAAACAGCTTTCTCTATAGACAGCAACACTTTTGTTAATTTGAAAAGCAGAGCCCATCCGCAATTCATTTATATTCAACGCCAGACAGCGCTGTTTCATTCCGTCATCAGTGATGTTGGGCCGAACCACAAATGCATTACTGGCCGGACGATACCGAGTCATCGGTGAATCATCAAGATGAATAAACATCTGAAGAAGCCAGCCATTCGTGCTGGCGAAACGTTATGATGCAGTTCCAAACTAACGACGGCCTTCAAACCCGAATGAAAATAGTGACACTGAAAATCTCGGCCGCGAAAGCCTTAACTAATTTATCAATTGACTTAACGGCAACCAATTGAAACTAGTAAACTTTGTAACTAGCAATATTACGTGACAACTTGTTTCTGTTCATCAAATTCAATTTACTTCAACTTGTCTTCAACTGAAGTTTTATTCGTCGCGGGTTAGTGAATATTGGTAGATCTGTGAATACGATTAAATTTCAGAAAAATACCAACCTTCTCAGGAATAGTTCGGACCTATACCTTGGTAGTGATTCAGGAATAGCTACCCTGCTGGACATCACCACGAAAATAAAAAAAGAAGAAGAATTTTTATTTTTGATTAGGTTTTCCTAGTAAATTCAATACATTTCGGATTCAAATGATTAAAATAATTCAATGGAATATATCCACTTCAGAGGAATATTTTAGTAACATTCCAGCTCAACATATGTTCAAAATCTTTTTCCGATATTTCTTGTTTGCATAGGCATTTTAGAACACACAGGAGAGAAACCATATAAATGCAACGTTTGTTCAAAATTCTTTTTTGATAGTTCTATTTTGAATAGGCATTCCAAAATTCACACACGATAAAAATCATTATTTGTTTCAAGCTAAAAAATTGATTCAGAAATCTACATAAAGACAAGTTAGTACAATACTATCCTAAAATAAAATCAACTCCTAAGCAGCATATGATATTACATTTAATATTATACAAATATGATTACTTCAAAAATATTCTGATTATTTTTTTTAATAACTATATTTTCGAGATCAACAGAATGAATTGCGTAGGTCTTTCATTACATGATTTTTGGTATGGGTTTCCCAATCGAGTATAACAGGAAGAAGAATTTGTTATAGAAAAAGTATAGCTTATGATCCAGTTACACTCTTGAATTTCTATGTTTTTTACCACTTTTATTTGTAACTAACGTTACTGCATTTCTCATTTCATCATGATCTTCTACCACATAGTAACGGCTACATCCATCAATTTACTGTTGAATTTTATTTTGATTCATTATGTGAAATCTGATTATTACGCTTTTTTGTCATTTGAAAATTCACAAAGAATACAAACCATTTGAATGTGATATATGTTTTAAATTTTTCTCCACTAGTCAATTCTACTATAATCCCATTCTAGTTGTACATTCCAGATTCATCACGCGAAAAACCTCATTGATGTAAAATATGTTCAGTCTTCTTCCAGTAAGCTGGAAGCATTCACAGGGAAAAAATAAATGATAATAATTGTAAAGTTTATTTTCATTTGACCTGTTGCAGGTTTGCTCTAAATCTTTTGGCGATAGTTCTAGCTTGCTAAGAGACTCCAGAGTACACACACAGGTAAAACTGATGAAAGATATTTATTGAGCACAATAACATTGAGGGCTCTTTTGACTGCAAAAAAAGGATTTAAAAATCCAGGTGGATGCCAAAATTCCAAGCCGTACCGGAAAGTGATTAATGTAATAAAATGTGGTTGATGCGCCATAGGAGAGCAAAGGAATTTTGTAAAATCGTTTTTTTTTACTTTCCTACCAAATTTAGAAATAGTTCCACTCCAATGAGTCAAGTGTAATATTTTCATGAATAAAAGTGAATTACATCATTTTTTTTATTTCAAAGTGCCGTTGTAGCCTTCGTCAAATGATACTCTGAAGATTGGACCGTAATAAATCGTATTTCACTTGAAAGATGACACATGTCATGTTATAGCTACACTTATCGTCGAATTTATTGTCTATAGATTTATCCTTAGACAATGTCTATACTGTCAAAATAATGACAGAACTTTGTTTTTGTTTTACCATTTGACTTGGTTTCAACATTAACGGTAGATGTCGCATCAAGATGATAAACTCCCCCAACAGTGTGTAAATTATAGCTGTTATTTGGCAATTCGACATTGGTGACACTGTTGTGAGCAGCTGACTGTTGACATTTTCCTTTAAGGATAATTTATACATAAAAATTAACTTGACATATTTACTTGACTTGGAAGCTTACAATGTTTTTAGTTTTATAAGTATTGAAAAATTGAAGTCAACGGAGAAAAATATTACTCTGGTTAAAACACACTAGACACTGACATTAAAATAGAAGTAATTGAAGAACTCAATAAGAATAGTTTGTAACCAGAAATGTCTGAAGAGACTGCTATAAAAAATGGTAAGATGAGAACAGTATTTCTCGATTTGAGTCATGATACCGTCTTCAGACGAAACGTAGAGGGTACCTTTCTGAATAGTTTCAGGATTTGAGGAAGACAAACACATTAAAGAGGAGAATATAGAGACCACTCCAGTACAGGAGCAGCATAATTTTATTACTGATGATGGGGAGCCAAAAATAACTGTAAAAGAGGAAAATTACGTTGATGTCCCAGAGCTTTTTTCAATAACCTCTGACTTACCTCAATTTGAAACTGGTCAATTCAAAATAGAGGATAGTGAAAAGTGTCAAAGTATCAGAATTGAGAATTCATCTGATTTTGAGGACCCTTTGAGTTCCTATATTTTTACTCAAAATGAAAACTGTATTGAAAATGTTGATCAAGGCTTGTATGAAGAACCAAAGAATGGTAAGTTTACAATAATCAGACAAAGTTGTTTGAATAGAAATATAGAATTTAGACCATGATTTCAAATAATAATCATAAGGATTTGTTTGTTTTATTGATCATATAAATGGCACACATTTCAGAAGAAAAGTTATCATAAATGGTATTTCTAAATTGTACAGACTGTACATTTAACTGTAAATTCATTCAAACAGAAAAATCATGAAAATAGGTTACCAATTAAAGTAAATTTCAATCAATAATAGGAAAGTACCTATACCATAATAATTTTATGTAAATAGTATATACAAATGAAAAAAATGTATAATAAAGTATCAAAAACATATCAACAAACCATGCAAAATGAAATAAACTGAAGTTGATGTAATAATTTATTAAAACAATATATCCTAAAAGAAACCCGTCCAGGTTATGATATTTCCCATTTTGTTTTTTCTAGGGTATGATTTACAAATCTTTCATCTCTCGAAGTGATATATTAAATAGTATATTGCCTTTATACCCGAATATAGAAGAAGCCACTTGATTTTCATTTCTTCAGCTTGTTCATCGCTGATAGTTATTTAGATGTCATGACAGCATGCTAATTCTTCCATACGATTATTCGGTTTCGCGGTTTGAACGATCCTAGAAAAGGTTCAAAGTAGTTGAATAGTTACAAATACAGTATCAGTTGCAAATGTACTTATTCGAATTCATTCAGTATCAGTTCGTTTTGTCCTAAGTTTTTTTTCTCATCATACAAGATTGTATAGTCACTTGAAAAAATACAAATCCGATAAAGCATTCAACGTTGAGAACATCATCAAATGTTAACTGTAATATCTAAAAGTATTACATGAATTGTAGTGATTTCTGCGGTACTGTTGATATAATTTGCATTGGGCAAGACAATAAAAAAAGTTATATTCCACTGTGGAACAATTTTTCAAAATTTTCAACAGTGGTGTTCAATATTTCAAAAAATTCTCCTGTTTGTCGATACAGTATGACATCAAGATGTGAATTTACCGTTTCAAAAATGTCCTCTGCTCATGTATACAAACTACTACAGAAACGTACTGTATTAATATGGTCCACATTAGAAGTTTAATCATTTATAGTTATGTAAATAAATTAAAAAGAAATGTATTAACTTGTGGTCAAACTGAATTTAGTTATTAATCAAATTAATAAGTGAATCAAACATTATGAATAGGATTAAGAACCAGAAGAAGAGTATAAGTACATAGACTTTCATTACCGTAGTCATGATTAAATAGAGCAAAATCCAGGCTGGTAGGCCGTAGTCAAACGTTTCGTACTGCAGCAGACATCATCAGTGGTAGGTGCATTGACTGCAAGAATGAAAGTTTTATATTGGAAGTCTCGGCAGCGACTGACTGACTCAGCCGTAGCTTCTATAAATATAATCACATTCGCAATGAACTCTGATATGCAGAAATTAAAATTTATAATCATTTACCAGATGAATTGAGCGATTGATATGTATATATAAATAATATGCCTAATAGTAGAATTTTATTATAGCATGTATGTATAAGGTTGAAACTTGAAAGTCTGAAATATAATTTTCATCAATGACATAGATAGATAAACAATTGAGATCAACACCTCATTTTCTTTTCAGGTTTTCAGTCGCAAGGAAAAGTTCATACAGGAGAAAAACTATTTTGTTGTAATTGTTGCTCCAAAACTTTCACTTATTTTGGTTTTTTGAAGAGACACAAGAAATTGCATAAGACGGAAACTTCATTCAGTTCCACACTGAGTTCTACCAATTTACTTCAATCTAGTCTTCAAACGGTAGAAAAATCCCATAAATGTGAAGTCTGTTCAAAATATTTTTATGATAGTTCTGCCTTATCAAAGCACTCCAGAATTCATACAGGGAAAAAATCTTTCGAATGTGAAATCTGTTCAAAATCGTTTTTCCGCAAAGATGAATTGGTAACTCATTTCAGAACTCATACAAATGAAAAACCACACACATGTGAAGTGTGCTTAAGATCCTTTTCTGCCCGTAGTGACCTGAAAAAGCATTCCAGAATTCATACTGGGGAAAAACCATATGAGTGCAAGTATTGCTCCAAATCATTTACTAACAGTGGTAACTTGAGAAAGCATACCAGAATTCACACAGGAGAAAATCCACATAAATGCGAAGTGTGCTCAAAGACTTTTTACAACAATGCTAACTTGGTGAAACATTCCAGAATTCATACAGGAGAAAAACCATATGAATGCAAAGTTTGTTTCAAATCTTTTACTGAAAAGCCTACATTGGTTGTACATTCGAGAATTCATACGGGAGAAAAACCATATAAATGTGAGGTCTGTTCAAAATCTTTTTCAGGTAGAAGTAACTTTGCAACACACTTCAGAATCCATACAGGCGAAAAACCCTATCAATGCACTGTCTGTTCAAAATCATTTCGTTATGGATCTGTTTTGGTGAAGCATTCCAAAATTCACACAAGGCAAACACAGCATAAATGTGAAATATGTTCCAAATCTTTTTCAAAGAGTTCTGCTTTGGTTAGGCATTCAAAAATTCATAAAAGGGAAAAACTATATAAATGCAAAGACTGTTCAGAATCGTTTTCCAGCAATGACGATTTGATGAATCACTCTGGAGTTCACGCAAAAGATAAACCACACAAATGTGAAATCTGCTCAAAATGTTTTTCTATCCGTAGGGATCTGGTGAGACATGGCAGAATTCATACAGGTGAAAAACCTTATAAATGCAAAATTTGCTCAAAAATGTTTGCAAACAGTGGTTCCATGTCAAAGCATTCTAGAATTCACACAAAAGACAAATTTACACAAAAGAAAAATTCACACAAGGGAAAAAGCGTTTCTGAAACACACAAAGTCAAATTTGAAAGTGCATTGAAGTGAAAAAGCATTTCTGAAACACACAAAGTCAAATTTGACTCGAAGCTATTTCAGAAATCTCTAAAAATCAACCATGAATAAAAATCATGATGACTATAATTCAATGAGGGCCAATCTCGAAAACTGCTATTTGAATCCCGTTCCTAACCTACAAGCAATTCTTCTTCATTTTTTATGGTGTTTGTTTTTCCTACAAGCTATTGATGACAAAAAATGTATTGGGTGAATCCAATGGTATATTTCCAGGTTTGTCGCAGCAGAACATCTTATTAAAGGAAATTACATTTGAGAATGTAGATTGTGCACTTCTCAAAATTGAAACTCGTGCTATAAAGTTGGATGAAATGGACTTGAAAATACTAACTTTCATTTTCCCTGTTTTCAGTTCATATAATTATTAATTGTTTCAAAACAGATGGGGGGGGGGGTCAAAATTGAAATTCAATTTAATAATGTTTGTCTTTATGTGGAGATTTGAAGAAAGTTATTACATATTAACAGATCTTATGTCATATCTGAAATGGTCTTTCCTCTGTGAAACCTAAATCATATGGAGCCTTTCTCACTACTTTGTAATATACTGGTCATCATTATTAGCAAAAGGCTACACTGCAAAAACATTCAAAACTCGTGTGTTATGAGAAAATTCAATCACGAAGATGTGGTCAAAGTATTTAATGGGATACTGCATAATTGGCTGAAGTTTAAAAAACATCTCAAGTATTATTTTTTTTTCAAAATAGACGTAACTTTTTACAGTTTCTGAAGTCGTTATTTTATCATGTATTATTGCAAATAAATCCCTTTGTACTTATTCAAATCTATGTATTAGAAATAAACTACATAAATGTCAAGTCTGTTCTTAATTTTTGTCCCAGCTTCCAGATTTGGCGCTATTATGACCAGTGTTCTTTTTATTATAGAGATCACTTTAATAAAAACTTTGTCGAGGAACGCTGCGATCTTGCTCGAAGCAATACTGCCACCCCTTTTTTGTCAAAACTTTTTTTCTGAACACTAAATTTCTTTTGTTGACTCGCCTCCTGCTCGGGAGACTTTTTAGACATAATTCAACACATATGATTGATAAAATCCAGTCCCTACGTGGACATTCAGTCCCCGGCCTCCAACCGGCATGAATGGAGATAGGAGTTACGTAATTCCACTATAATACTCTCACGTGGACATCTGGTCCCGGCCTCCAACCGGCGTGAATGAGAGGTTTCTCTTTAACATTTATAAGACTTTTCACAAAGAATGTTTATTTCGTTGGTGACACTTTCTATGATGGCTGACAGTCACAACACAAAACTAAATTACAAATCCAAAAATGTCGTCCATGTACTTTCTTTGTGGACGGTCGTCGTCGGCACGTCCGTCCACCACCATGTCAGAAACGAAACTCGAAAGTCTGTTGAAAATTTTTTTCATGCAACATGTGTATGAAACGAATTGAACGAATTGCTCACAAATCTTATCAATATCAACCTTATCAATGTTTTTTTTTTTGATAATGTTGAGTTTGTCCATGGACACTCTGAACTCAGACCACTCCGTGGTCTTGAAGTCATATTTGACCCTTCTTCGTGTACGTTTTGTCCTCCGGTAGCGCTTCTCGCTGGTATCGACTATACGATTATGCAGTAGTGATCTTTTTAGTGTCAAATATCAATCATGAAATGCCTGAAATATGAATAACCATTTTTGCTTGAATATAGTTGATTATCTATTTTTTGGTACGAAAATAAAATGATGTGGCAACCCTGTGGCACTGAAAAAAAATATAATTTTTTGGTTAGAATTTTGGATTCAAAATTTCTAATTTTGAGGCGGTCAAAGATTTAAAAAATGGATATTAAAATTGAAATAGATTTTGTAGAATGTGAGGAGACTGTTCTTTTTGATTCACCCAGCAGTAAAGACAAAAATGGTAAGATAAGTTAGTTCAATATTCCTGAATTGGTTTTTGAAAACTACAGACAACTCTCCATAGAGTAGAAAAAATTCTTTGCAATAGTTTCAGACATAAACGGACATTCAAACATAAAAGGTGAGAATAATGAACTCATTTCGGTACAGGAACAGCATGATTCTGAACTCCTTGAAGAAATGGAAAAAATCCTTGTAAAAACAGAAAACTTCTTAGATATTCCAGAGTATTTGCCAATAACCTCAGCTATTGCTGAATATGAATCTACACCAGTTAAAATGGAGGATAACGAAACTTATTATGAAAATAACTTGAGCGAAATCAAGGACGAGTTGATTGAAAAAAAAGCCAGTTCATGCTCTGACATATTAGAACAGAATGAAAACAGAGTTAAAAAAGGTGGTTGGGGCTTCTCTGACAATTCGAAGGAAGGTGAGTTTACAAGTGAGCTGTGTGAGTTTTCAACTCGCACATCAGTAAGCAAAAATGGTAAGATAAGTTCAATTTTCCTGAATTGGTTTTGAAAATTATCTTCAGAGAACTCTTGGAAGAGTAGAAAAATTCCTTGCGATAGTTTCAGGCATTAACGGACATTCAGACTTGAAAGATGAGAAATATGAATTCATTTCGGTACAGGAACAGCATAAGTCTGAAATTTTTGAGGAAGTAGAAAAAATCATTGCTAAAGTTGAAAACTTCGTAGATATCCCAGACTATTTGCCAATAACCTCGGCTATTGCTGAATATGAATCTGCATCAGTCAAAATGGAGGATAATGATACTTGTTATGAAAATAACTTGAGCAAGATCGAGGTCGAGTTAACTGAAAAAGAAGCCAGTTCATCGTAAGTATTATTGCAGTTATATATGTTGTGTTGTCGATAAAAATTTTTAGGTTTAAATTATAAGTAGATATGTATATATAATGAAAATATTACCAGCAAGCACCTTTCTCACTCTCTTACATATTTAAACATTCAATATTTATTAACAAATCATTATTTTAGCGCTATTCAAATGGGAGTAGTTGCAGATGTTTATCAGCAACATACGCAACAACAGTCGCAACGAAACAAACAATCAACACAAACACGGCCATATTCAAATGCTGAACGCCAAAGAAGGTACAGAGAAAAGAGAAAAGCTGATAAAATGAATAAACGAACTACATTCAGTCAATCTAGCGATGTTCAGCCACAGCAAGAACAACCACAAAATGATGTTGAAACAAATAAACGTCGACCACAATCTAATGCTGAACGCCAAAGAAAATATAGAAAATTATTACGTGAACAACGACAGCAACAACAACAAATGGAAAATATTAATGGAATTACAATACTGAGTAATACATCACATACATCCAGTATTGATCAACTGCCAAAGTAATACTTTTATATTATCACATAATTGAATGCATGTTTCAACCGAACTATTCATGATTTACGTTTCAATTTCAGTGTTGACCAAGAAAAACTTGCACGAAAACGATATTTAAACAGACAACGACAAAGTAGGTTTAGAGCAAGGCAAAGATTTGAGTTGTCTAGTACATCTTCGCATCAATCAGAGGCAGAAAGGTTTGTTGTAATTATAATAATAATATAAACAACATGATAATATCACTTCTGTCGGGCGTCCCGAGACACACACGTTTTTTTTTATTTATCTTATCTTCATGACTACCAGTACTGAGTAAATGCATGTTTTAACCGAACTATTTATATATTTTTTGTGATTTATGTTATAATTTTAGTGTTGATCAAGCCAGACTTGAACGAATAAGACATTTAAACCGACAACGACAAATCAGGTTTAGAGCAAAGCAAAGATTTGAATCACCTGGTAAATCTTCACATCAAGCACAGGCAGAAAGGTTTGTTTTGTAGTTATGATAATAATAATATAAACAATAATAACCTGAGCTTTTCTAAAGTTAAACAATTTCAATACTAAATAGTTCTACTTAGACTAATTCAAGTTATCACTTCAATCGGACGTCCCGAGACACACACTTTTTTTTATATTTATGTCATCTTTATAACTACCATTGGACATATATCATGTCATGCAAATGATTAATGGAGATTGATAAAATTATTTGGTGAAATGAAATATTTAGTAACTCCTGAAAATATTGTAACAACTCAAGTTACAAAAAATATTCTAACATGACTTTTACTTTGACATATATGAAATGAACTAGGAATATTTATTTCAGATATTCAAGCTGATGGAAAGATTCATACAGGAGAAGAACCGTTTCTCTGTAATTTCTGCCCCGAACCTTTCGCTCATATTTTTGAGGAAACACGAGAAATGTCGTAAAAAGGAAAATTCAGTCAATTTCAGAATGGTCGAATGAGTTCAAAATCTTCACTCAAAAGTTCTTTCTGCTCAATTCCAAGAAAGAATTAATTACATGAATGAAAAATTTGTTTACATTTTTTTTTGTGTAGGTCTGCCTTAGACTTCACACAGGAGAAAAACCTTTCAAATGTGAGGTCTGTTCAAAATTGTTTTCCCGCAAATTTACCCTGAGAGTTCAAATCAGGATTCACAAAAAAGAAAAGCCGCACAAGAGTGGAGTTTGGTTAGAAGACAGTGAAGTGAATAAATGTGAATTCTGTTTGAAAATTTTTGCCACGAGTAGTAGCTTGACGAATCATCTCAGAATTCGCAAAGGAGAAAAGCCATATGAATGTGGAATCTGTTCGCAGTCATTTTTACCTAAAGACATGAAACATCACGGGATAAACCGTACAAATGTGAAATCTTTTTCAAGGCGTAGCTGCTTGGTGAGACATTCCAAAATTCATACAACAGAAAAGCATCAGTGCAAATTTTGTTCAAAAAGGTTTTCAAACAGCGGTTATTTGGCAAAACATTCCAGAATTCACACAGGGGAAAACCATTCAGATGTAACATCTGTTTGAAATTTTTTTCCAACAAGAGAAACGTCATGAGAAAGGTATTGCATAGCGAAACACATGTTGCGGTTTTCTAAACTGTTCAGGGAAATTCTCACAATAAAGTGTTGTTTGGATTTTTTATGGATGTTCATGAAGTATCAGCCAATTTCATTGTATGTGATCCAATAGATGAATAAACTTATCTGCCAAAATGAAAACTAATTCAAAACTCTTTGAGGTCTACCATGCTGAAGAAAATATTATCTGGTTTGGCAATATTAGCTAAAGAGCAAGGGATTGTCATTAAAATTAATTTTGATAATATAAAAGAAAAGAAAAAGAAGACTGATATTGGTTTTGAAGTTTTTTTGTGGTTATGTTAGTTGGTTTTTGCTTTGCTTGTTACAATTTGTAGGAGTTGGAACATATTTTACATTCCTATTATCGTTATAAATCTTCAATAACACTTAGCATAAAATATTTAATATTTCTAAAATGGATAGTAACGAAGTCAAGTTGGAATTTAAAATAAAAGAAGAGTTGCTTCAGGAAAACTGTAATACTGAAACTGATTCAGTGAAGGAATCTTTGGATTCTAAAATTCTCAAGCATACCAATTTTACAGAGAACGAACAAATCAAAGATGGTATGTGATATTAAAACAGTAAATTGAAATACCTAGATTATTTTTCAGTAACATGTACTAAAAAAAAACACTTGAATAAGTGGCAATAGGATTTGTTGGCAATTTTAGGTTTTGACTTAGACCAAAAAATTAAAGAGGAAAATACCGAATGTGCCTCAGAAGAAAATTACGTTGATAGCCCAGAACTGGTAACTCTGGATCCAGTCTTGATTAAATGTGAAACAGACCTAGTAGAAAAAGCAGATAACATTTTTTTTGATGATGTTAAGAATGAAGCTGAGCTAAAAAGCAATGAAAATGGTACTGAAAATGATATTCAAAGCTCCTCAGAAGAATGTAAAACCGGTGAGTTCATGTTTTGCTTCAGAACTCTGTGTTTTTGATTGCTGCCAAACTTTGATTATAACTGGAAGATCGTGATTCATACTACTATAAAATTTTGCTTATTGTAAGCCTAAATTCAATATATTCTAAGTATCAGAAATATTGTTATACAGATTATTTCCTTTGACAAAGGTTAAAAGAGTGAAATGTCCAGATGTCTTCTTCATAGTATTCATGAACACACATACAGTAAGTTTTCCTCAAAGCAGCTCTGATATGAACATTTGGTTTTTTCTTGAGCTCTCAGCGATTCAGTTTTTATTTCCTCAATTGTCGCAAAAAGTCGACCTTTCATGGGTCTCTTCAATCTTGAGAACAGAAAATATCCGCAGGGGCCAAATCTGGTGGATAGGGAGGCTGAGGCATGAATATGGTGTGGTTTTCAGCCAAAAAATTATGAACAAAAGAGTGAGAAGGTGCATTATCATTTTCTTTGTATTGCTTCTCGCAGGAGGCGCTCAACTTCAAGATAATACTCCTTATTGACCGTACGACCAAGTGATAAGAACTGATGCACTACGCCACGGTAATCGAAGAAATCATTGAGCAAAACATTGACATTTGATCAAACTTGGAGTGTTTTTCTTGGTCTTGGCTCTCCTCAGCTCTCCAATTGGGACGATTTTACTTTGGTTTCGATGTCATAATCATATATTTTGAGCAAATCTGGATCGCCATTGATGTAATTCATTAATTCCTGAGCGATACTCACGCGACGGTATTTCTAGTCAAAATTCAGCAATTTTGGAATGAACTACCCTGCCACAAGCTTCATGCTCAAAATTTTCGAAAAAATTACATGGCATGAGACAACTGATATGCCGAAATCCTTAGCAACTTCTCTAATAGTGATTCGACGATTCTCTATAACAGTTTTCATCGGTTATTGATGTTCTGGGACATCCAGGGCAAGCGTCGTCATTCATATCTTCTCGATCTTTTGTGAAAACATTATACCACTTGTTAAAATTTTTCTCACTCTGACTCACTTAATTTTTTTAATAGTGTTTGTATTTGAATTTTTAACAGATATTCATTTTCAATTGTGAATTCAAATATAAAGATGGTTTTCCTCCTTGTTTTTTCCAGGTCTTGGATCAGATAAAGTCATTCTGCAGGATGAAAAGAAATCCTCTAGCGAAGAAGCGCCAGGAGAGAAGTCATATGAATGTAAAACCTGTAAGAAATGTTTTGCAAACAGTACTCACTTGCTGAGGCATTCTAGAACACACACCGGTGAAAAAACTTATAAATGTGAAGTCTGTTCCAAATGTTTTTCAAATCGTACTTCTTTCGGGAGGCATTTCAAAATCCATAAGGGAAAAAAATATAAATGTGAAACTTGTTCAAAACATTTTTCCAGCAGCAGTAACTTGCTAAGGCATTCTAGGACTCACACTGGGGAAAAACCTTATAAATGTGAAGTGTGTTTAAAATTATTTTTTGAAAGTTGTACTTTGATGCAACATTCCAGAGTTCACACAGGAGAGAGACCTTACGAATGCAAAATTTGCTCAAAGTCTTTCACCCACAGAAGTAATTTGTCAAAGCATTCGAGAGTTCATACGGGAGAAAAACCTTATAAATGCAAAGTCTGTTCAAAACAGTTTTCCACCAGGGATGTTCTGGCAACGCATTCCAGACTTCATACAGGGGAAAAACCGTTCAAATGTGACGTTTGTTCAAAATTGTTCAACAGTAAATCTCATTTGACGGGGCACTCTAGAATTCACTCAGGGGAAAAACCTTACGAATGCATAGTCTGTTCAAAACGTTTTTCTGAGATCAGTACCTTAACGAATCATTCCAGAATTCATACTGGGGAGAAACCTTTTCCATGCGAAATTTGTTCGAAATCTTTCACTAACAGAAGTAACTATGTAAACCATGTCAGAATACACACAGGTGAAAAACCTTACACATGTAAGGTATGTTCTAAATCATTTACCACTAGTTCTATCTTGAAGTCACACTCCCTAATTCATAAAAGAGAAAACACCTCAGTATAAGTTCTGTTTTGTCAGGCTCTAGACTGTCCATAAAGAGGAAACCAGTGAAATCGGTTCAGAAGAAAAGTCATTCAGGTTCTGTGTATTTCATTAAGCCCTAGTTGAATTGTTAACTCTAATTTTTTCAGTACAACTGTCAATTAATTAATTTTGATTCATTGTCATGAAAAAACATCTCTGCATAAATATTCTAGATATTTACACATTTAAATGATTATTTTGTTTGAATAAATGTTTTGCAAGTTTGTCATGTAGAGAATGTCCAAGTAGTGCTACTGTTCGTAAAATGAAACTCAGTAAACATTTCAGAATGTTAAATAGGAAGTCTGTTCAGAAAATAAGGTGGATTTTTAAATTTCGTAGGCTACGTACTTTCTTTTAGTGTAGATTTTTTTTAAATTTTACACTCGTTTCGAACTCATGTTCATAGTGTCAGGCGAGAGCATTCAAGGACATGCCTAAAAGGGCACAAGTTTATTATATCTGAGGGGGATACTTTGAAGAGGAAAAATAGAAATTGATGAATGAATGAATATTTTTGGAGAAAAATTAAAATTCACCTTATTTTTTGAACAAACATGGAAATAGAATTAACTAAGATAAAATGGGTAGACTTTTGAGGTACTCTTTGCATTTAATATAGCTATACTACAATTCCTTAATAGTAGGCAATATACATTGCATTTAAACGAAAACGTTGTCAAGGTTGTGATTCTATATAATTTATCATAGTTTTTCCTAATCTGTTCAGTATTATTTCTGTACGCCATTGAAAGAGGCAGATTAAGGCAAAAACGAGTCATTTCTAAGAATTTAGTGCCGACAATTTCCAAGTTATTGTATAACATACACCAAACTTTCATTTTAGGAGAGTTGTCAGAATTTAAATCAATCATGGGCAAGCAGTGAAAACTTTTTTGCTAGGCAGTAAAGTAAGCACAAGGTTGGACATTGTCGGTTGTAAATATCTGTTATTTGAAGTTACAATTGTTATAGTGGTACTTCTCGGTCTCCACTGCAGATAGAGCTCAACTTAAAGCGGTTTAAGACTGATTTTTGTTACGGTGCATATAAAATTTATGTGAACGAATCGGCGGATACTTTGTGATTTTCACTTGCCAGAACATGTCATTGGTGTTTATTGAAAATCACACAGAAAAGTATTTCTTGAATGCATATAAAATTTAGGAATTGAACGAGTTTAATGTAAAAAAACAGACTTAATACTCTACGAAGAATGCGGCCATGAGCGTCTTACTTTTCTTATGCAAGTTCTGTTCCATTGGTTTCAATTTTCAATGGAATTGGAAACCTGACCGATGGTTTCATGCATTGTTTGTGTCCGCTTGATCGAGCATCAACTCCAATATAACTTAACTTATTAGAAAACGTAGATACACGAAATATGAGTTTTTATGCTTTCCTTCAACCTTTCAATTCGTGGAAGGATCAAACGCAAAGCGCATGTATTAACTTAAAAAAAAAACGTACTCTATTAATCGAGTTATAGCTGTCGTTTTCTTCTTCTTAACTTCTCCATTTTTATTGGCCTCTGCTACCTGGACTAATCATTGATAAAATTTACATTATGGGTCAGCACAATAATCAAATCGCAAATGTGCGAATGATTCAAAAGTACTTGCCCTGAAGCTATAAACCTACAGTTTCTGTAGTTGATCTGAAGTAATGAATTGTAATAAGTAATCCGTGAGTTACTTCTGAAAATGAATTCTTCATTTTTAGTGTCGTTGCCGAGACTTCGAGATTTGATCTTCATCATAGCAGTCAAGGCACATACAGCAGTCAAACAAAATACGAATGAAATTTTTAAATGTTGACCTAATTTCACTAATAGCTCAGGCCATATAACAAAGATTTTTGTAGTTATGTTTACATTTATATTTCATTTTACTTTCACAGAAATCCATCAACATTTTTTTCTCAATGATATGTACAATATTTTTTAGAGGCCGAAAAAAGCTTGTACTGCTAAACATAAAATGGCCCCTTTGTGAAGGGTGATTTAAAAAATATGGATTTTGAAAATGAAATGAAGGAAGAAGAGCCAAAGGAAAAAAAGTACCATAGGAATTGTACAATTTGTTTAAGTAAAGGGAACACTGCCGATAAAAAAATCCAATCACATGACGACAATGGTAAGTGAGGCAATTAAGGCAAAAAAAAAACTAAAAAGGCATATCTGAGTTAAATTCAGAAATCATTGTAATTAATATATTTTCAGATTTTGTCAGAGATACAGAATCAGGTGTTAATCGCACCTCAGCACCGAATTATCTACAGAGTTCAGATTCAGAAGTCACATTTGAAGAGGAAAATCATCTTGATAGCTCAGATCATTCTTCGTCGACCACTGTCTCTGCCAAGTCTGAATTACAATCAGTCGAACAAGAGGAAGAAATAATTGAGGAAGAGTTAAGTGATGATTCGGCTTGTTCAAATTCCGAAATTCCGCAGTATGAAGATATCGGATGTGACTCCAATAGAGTTGCATTTGGTCTTTGCCGGGCTGAAATACCAGAAGGATTTCAGAAACCATTACTTGATTCATCTGAAGTGTCTTTGAAATTGCTGGAATTGGAAAAGAAGCATTTTGAAACTGAAAGGGAATATATGTTGAAGAAACTTGAAAATAAAAGAGAGTTACTAGAGTTGAAGAAAAGAAAACTGATGATACGAATGGAAATGCATCAGTTGAAGAAATTCAAGTATGGTAAATGATTGTTTATTGTGAATTATTTATTTGTGTCCGGTATTATTTTTCTATCAAAAGTTTTTAAAATAATGCCTTTATTTCTCTAGTCCTTGGCCAAGTTCAGTATTATTACTGCTGTGCTCAACTGAATACCTTCTAAAAATATTCAGTAGTGAATCATTATAAATTCATATATCTTTGTGTTTGTTGCTTTACATTAATTATGATTGCATCAATTATCAATGTTTCCCCTGAGTTTGACTTCTGAATTGTTAATTTTAGATTTCATGTTCATGTTATTCTTTCTATACATCTCGAAGTATCTTTTTTATAATTTTTCAGCTTCTGAAATTTGCTCTTCCGCAGAGCTTAATTTTTTTCGTTCAATTTATAATATTTTGGTGTCGCCACCTGTGGTTCTTTCAACAAATCCAACTGACTGGCAAACCTGGACAGAAAAAACTCAACAATGGGTTTTTGTGCCTTATCGGGTATTTTAGAGTAATTTTCTGTTTCACAAAATATAAAAAAACCAAACTAATAGTTTCACTTGGCTTTTATACCACAGAACCATCGCATAGAACTCATAAATAGATATGAGTTCTGTGCCAAACAGAAATCATGAGAATTAGAATGTCATATGTCGTTTCGTCATTTCTCACAATATGTTTTATTTTTGTATGTCTACCCTTCACAATCTAACTGACAAGTAATGAAATATCATTTGGGTTAACTTGGAAATAAACATGAACGATAAAAATTTGCCTAGATATCGTTTTTCGTTTCAGTTATGTATCAGTTGAACATATAATCTTTATCTCGGACAGGCTCAATGTTAGGAAGATTAAAAAATGGATACAATGAAATGTAAATCTGAGTCATTTGTGAAAGATGATTCGTTTTGCAACGACGCTGAAGCTAATATCAAGATTGACTTCAAAGAAGAATCAATTGATCCGGATAAATATGAAATGTCTGAAAATAGTTCCTATGGAACTGACTGTGAACAGCAGAAATTTGTTCCACAAGACCTTCAGCAGATTGATAGTAAGGATGTATGACTTCAGGTTAGGTGTTTTGGAGGTGATTGTTGATATAAACTTTCAGATAATGATACAGATGTTGAACCTAAAGTGGAGGCTGCTGAAAAAGAACAAGATTTTTCTGTATTAGATTTCATCAAGCCAGAAATTGGATTTAAAGATGAAGATGTGTTAGATAGGCCCGATTATTTTTCTGCAGAAGTAGATCTTTCTGAGTGTGAGATACAACGAGTCGATACGATAAATGAAGTACAGCTATCGGAAAATGAAAGCAACTCAAACTTGCATTTACTAGAGGACAATAAAAACGACGTTGAATCTGAGAAAGGTAGTTTTGTGTTTTACAAAATGAAAATGTTCCAAGTTTGTCGTGACCTTATGTGGAGTTTTAAAATATTGCACTGGAATATCTTAAAACTCTCTCTATGTATTGCAGTTCCAGTTTTTGTTTCTATGTAACGACTCGCCTCAGTTTTTGAAAAAAATTTCAATACATTTACATATTTCGGCTAATCATGAATTTGAAGTCAGAACTTGGTGCTCCCGTCTGCTTTCAGTGATACGGCCACTCAAAAGAAAACTCAAAAAAATCAATTTACTTCTGGTATTGAAAACTCGTAAAATGCTATGGACTCTTATTCATCTATTTCAAACTATTTCACATAGTAAACTTGTCCAAAATAACCTTGGTATGGAGTCATATTTTGAATATCATCACATCCCTAGAGTTTTTGGCAATATCAAGAAAAATCAAGTCAAACAATTAAAATTATGTTGCCACATTATATGATTGTTATACTGTACAATTTTTTTTTAATTTTACCAGTTGATGCGAACACATTTCGTCCTTTTCATAAAATAGGGTGTATGCATCTCCACTCATAAGCGATTTTAGTGAAATTTGTGACAAGTGTGAATTATTGTATACATGTCACGTGCCAGTATAAGGATGTACGCAGTATGCTGTATAATGTCCGCTGTAAGTAGACACACCGTAATTCGAAAGTTCATATAGATTATATCGACAAGGAATCACATTCACATCTAGAGAAAAATTAATTTTGAAAATAAGAAGTTTCCTTTGTCGAAAGAGCGTGAATGTACCCTGAAACACCATGTTTTGATTTCAAATTAGTAATCAGCTGATAAAAATACGTAAGTCTAATAAAAACCTTTTCATAAATGGCATAAATGGCTGTACCATTCTGATGATAGGCCAAAAGCATGAAACATGTATACTTTGCCTTCTTCTTATTGTCAACATTCATTTTAACTACTCACACAACTGTATTTTATTTTCCAGATTCCATTAATGTTGAAAAAACACAGACTGTACAAAAACGTCACCAGTGCCAAGTGTGTTTGAAATTCTTTTCCAGCAATAATAAGTTGAAAATACATTTCAGGCTACATACGGGAGAAAAAATGTATCACTGTAACTTATGCCCCAAATCTTTCATGCAGAGCAGCAATTTAGTGAGGCACTTGAAGATTCATACAAGAGAAAATCCGTTTGTGTGCAAATTCTGTTCGAAAACTTACCTCTCTGAATCTTGTTTCAAACAACACGAGAGCTCTCACATACAAGGAAAACCGTATCAGTGCAAAGTCTGTTCAAAATCTTTCTCTCAGAAGTGCACCCTGTTATATCATGAGAAAATTCACAATGGGATCAAACCATACAAGTGCAAATACTGTTTGAAATGTTTCACTGAAAATCGCAGTTTAACGTCTCACTTGAAGTTTCACACAGGGGAAGATCTGCTTTACTGCAAAATTTGCCCAAAATCTTTTACTTGCAGATCTGGTCTCGTGAAACACGAAAAAAGACACACTGGAGAAAAACCATTTCAATGCGAAGTGTGTTCGAAACGCTTTCTCTTTCGTCAAGCCTTAAAGGTGCATTTGAGAAGTCACACTAGAGAAAAACCTTTTCAATGTGAAGTATGTGAAAAATTTTTCAGTAGTAGCTACACTTTATTAGTACATTCTCGAATTCACACTGGAAAAAAGCCTTATCAGTGTAAAGTCTGTTCGAAAAATTTCAACAGCAGTTCTGACTTGATGGTACACTCGAGGATTCATACAGGCGAAAAGCCCTACCAGTGTAAAGATTGTCCAAAACAGTTTACTTCTGGATCAGGTCTCGCATCCCACGAGAAAGTTCATGTAAAAAAAGAAATATTTACTTGTAACACTTGTCAAAAGTCTTTCAGTCGAAAGTCAACTTTGGAGAAGCATATAAGTAATAACTGTAATTGATAAGAAATTAGTCCTTCAGAGAAATAACAAATTGATGGAAATAGTTTGGATTTTCTGTAATTTTACACATTTTTTTTCAACCCTAGAACAAATAAAACTTTCAAACATAATTTTTGAAGTTTCACTTTTATATATTTTATGGTTTATCGTTTTGATCTACGGTATTAGTGCAGTTTAGATTCCATGTACCGGAATTAAGTATCCAAAAATAGAATATCTTGTCTGTACCTGAGACCCCTTATCGGAACTTTCTCAAAATAAAATTTCTGTTTATTGTGGGCGTGATTTATTTGAAAAATTTCAGAAATTTTCAAGTGATTACAAATGTCTTTTTTACTCGGCCGAACATTTGAGTTGACCATAATTTCTCAGCCACACTTAGCAAACCTTGCGAATATGTAAATTTTTAACATTCATTTCCTGTTTGAAAACTACTTTCTTTTATTGTATTGATTTTGTATTTAGTTCTAACATTTGATCCTTAGAAGACCAAGTACATTTGCAATGTTACGTGCTGACATCTATCCTAGCGAGGGTAAAAAGTAAATGAGATTAGATGAGTTTACTGATTACAGACACTGGTACGAAAGCGTAGAAGGCTTAAACAAATTCATAATTTCAATTTTTTTCTCAACTTATATTCACAACTGTGAATTCAGAATTAAAATTGTAAGTATGAATTATGGAACACCTCTTCAATGATTAATGTTTGTGTTCCTTCACAGAAACAGAAAAATAGTCTTTTTCGTGTTCCGTGGTTTCATGAACACAAGTTTTTTTTATGTATTGCTACAGTCTGTGATATTTGGTATTACCACAGAACACCCTAGCTACACTGTGGTATTACGTCAGACCTACAGAACACGTTATTACAGTATAGCATCACATATATTTATACTGTGACCGTAACGCCATAGTATATGATCAAATAATCAAAAAAGGATATGGCAGTAATGCGCTGTTTCATTTGATTTTAGAAATTCATATTTGTTTTATATATTTGACACCCAAGTTATGTATTTCTACATTGAAAAAGACGTAAATACACGTCGAAATATCGGCAATTGTGAAAATTTTGTATTGAGTTCTGAGGAACCCCGTACAGTACTGGTTATAGTTCGAAATAAGGTTTGTTGGATTATATAGATGCCTCTATATTAAAGACGTGCTTCCTGAGATACACGGTGAAACAGCTTTGATATGGCATACCAAACATTCAACAAACTTTTTGTTGTTGAAGCCAGAATTAATATATGCAAAAATTGCATCTGAAATTTGTAAAATGTTCTGTTCAAATCATTTTTATATACTTGCCTTTTTTGTTACATTCATGACTTTATGGCCTCAGTAACCACGGTGATCTATCCAAGGAATCTCCTCACACGAGCTACTTATTTTTTTTCAGTTACAGTATTGGCAAACACCAAAATCTCCAAGTAACATGCCGCACGCACCAATTTTTAAGTTTCTAGGCTACACTCCCATTGTTTTCAGTATGTTTCCAAGTTTGTTATTTATTTAGATTTCACACTCATTTGGTTAATTTCCAGAATAATTTACTACTTAAGTTAATGTCAATTAATGAATGTCTGATACATTCACAAACAAAAAGCTCAATGTCTAATGCATATATAGTTAAACATTAACTGTAAACTAAATTCAAGTCATACAGTTCTTGTGTAATATGATCTTTTTTCTTAAAATTAGCAAACTACGGAAAATAATCTTAGTGAATAAATTCCTCAACAGTTCAAAATAAAACTATTGAATCTCACTAAATCTATGATCTTTTTTCTTTATATTTGCAAACTACGGAAAATAATCTTAGTGAATAAATTCCTCAACAGTTCAAAATAAAACTATTGAATCTCACTAAATCTATACTAATAGCTGATAGGTTCAAACTTTTTTGAATCCAGGCTGTCATAACTATCAATTACAAAATTGCCTTAGATTACTTCAATAATTTCGAACTTCCACATAACATGATTTAATATTTCTGACAGTACAGAAGTACCTGGAACTCAGCGAATGAATATTTCCAAGGAGGACGAGGTTGCAAATATGGAATAAATCAGTTTGATTTTTCTTTTTATAACAAAATTGTAAATAAATAGCAACTATTTTGAATAAATTATACGAGTTTTTCAATCAAAGAAAACCAATCAACATCACTCAGATGTAAATACAATCTATGAGTAAAAGAAGTAGATTATCTTCCATATGAATCTATAAAATCTGTCATGTACTTCAAATGTATACTCCACATCAAGTTTGATACATTGTACATGATGAATAAATACTCTCTTGATATTACTTTTTGTGTACTTCGTAACACACGGGGTCAGATCTTGAAGTTTTTTAGCCATTGACTCGACTATATCTGTTCTATTGTGGAATTTTTTGAGTCAGAGTCAATTTAATTGAATAATTGGGATCAAACTCTTAGTTTTTCTATCGAGTGAGAATTTTCTCCAGTATGAGTAATGTATAAAAAAAAATGTTTTGCTATGAATTCACGTATGTGAAATTATAAACAAAGCCAAACATTCTTTTCATTTATGTTTTTTCAACTGTCGATGACGTTTAAGAGAAATGGCTAAAAGTGAGGTAAAAACCAAGAAGAAATACGATAGCAAATCATTCAATGAATAGAAATAAATTAATCTATATTCTTTACGCTGGGATAATTTCAATCCTTCACAATTATGAAAAGAATTGAAAATCTGAAACGAATTTTTCATCACGAAACGGTTAGTTCCCGTGACTTACAGGATGGCCTCAGAGTATGTTTCTTTAAAGCCGCTTTTCGACTAAATGATTTTTGACATACTTCACAAGTGAAGGGTTTTTCTGTTGCGTGAACTTTCTCATGCGCTACAAGACCCGAACTAGAAGTGAATTGTTTCGGACAGACTCCACATTGATATGGTTTTTCTCCTGTATGAATTCTTGCATGTACAACCAAATCAGAACTGCTGCTGAATGATTTGGAACAGATTTCACACTGATAAGGCTTTTCCCCAGTGTGAATTCTGGAGTGCACCAACAACGAATAATTACTGCAGAAACATTTCTCACAGACATCGCACCGAAATGGTTTCTCTCCAGTGTGACTTCGCGAATGCACCAACAAGGCATGCCGGTTAGAAAAAGATTTTGAACAGACTTCGCATTCATAAGGTTTTTCTCCTGCATGGTTTTTTTCATGTTTCACAAGGCCAGATTTACATGAGAAAGATTTGGGGCAGATTTTGCAATAAAACAGATCTTTCCCTGTATGGATTCTCAAGTGTGATGTTAAACTACCATCCTCAGTAAAACATTTTGAACAATATTTGCACTTATATGGTTTGATCCCAATGTGTATTTTCTCGTGATTCATCAAATTACACCGTTGAGAGAAAGATTTAGAGCAGATATTGCACTGATAAGGTTTTCCTCTTTCGTGTGTTTTCTCATGCTCCCTAAAACCAGATTCAGAAGTGTAAGTTTTCGAACATAATTTACATTCGAATGGATTTTCCCTTGTATGAATCTTCAAATGCCTCATCAGAGTACTGCTTTGCGTGAAAGATTTTGGGCAGAAGGTGCACTGATACATTTTTTCCCCTGAGTGAAGCCTGGAATGTAGTTTCAGATTATTAATTTTGGTAAAAGATTTCAAACACACTTCACACTGATAAGGTCGTTCTTCTGTATTGTCCTGCAGTCTTCCTTTGTCAGAATCTGAAATAAATACACTAAGCTTTAAAGATTTACCAAAACTTGGCAGTTATGAGCTGCAGAATTTCATTTTCTTGTCATTGTTTTTTATTCTGAATATTTTTGTTGTCAAAAGCTACTTTCTTATACCTTTTATTTGTACTGTATCAATCAAGTATTGTTAATCAAAACAAATCAATGATTTGATTTTATATATATACGAATAAAAATATGTTTTTTACATAGTATAATCACATATTCTACACATTCTAAATTACTTGGCATCCGCAAAATATTCTTGTAGATTATACTAGGCTGAATCACTCAATAGTTTTTTACTTTTTTTCTGAATATGATAAAAGAAGTCTTTTTGATTTCATTGAGAAGTTTATTGTACATGCTGATTTCAATATATATCAACGAGTTTTGAAAAACATGAATTTGGAATTGGTAGATTCAGTTCATTTGACCGCCTTGTGTGGTATGTGGCTGTAGATTCATAGTTCTCCCTATTTTTATGTATAATCGATATACCTTTTAACTTTTAACAGTATACCTTTTAACAAACCTAACAAATACTCCAAAATATATTTATAGCTCTAAGGAAGCATTGGTATCCTTACTGCCATGATATTTATTCTTGAAAGTGTGTTTATACATTTTTAATAGAAAAGACAAAAAGCCTTCTCTTTATAAAATAACTTTCAAATCAGATTTGCGATTGTTCAATAATCTGCCTGAATATTAAAAAATACTAATACGAATGTATTTAAGAGAGAACTTCAATTATAAATTACCTCTCTTCAATTCATCTCCATCATTATTCTGCAGAAGCAATTGCGAATTGAAGCTGCCTTCTTCATCAGATGCCTCTATTTCATTCTTTACTTCTACTTGGCGAATGTCACACTCAGGAAGATCCGTTTCTGTTGAAAAGTATTCGGGAGCATCCAACATATTTTCATCTTTGATAGGGATCTCGATCTTGATCAGGTCTAATGCGGTAGCATCTTGTTCTACACAACACTCGGAATTCTCTCTTTTGGGTCTAAAATCTGCGTCGAAATCTAAAATTATATATGAATGACCACCTCAAACATCCAACTGGGTTTATCTTTCCTTACTGTCCTGCGGAAGGTTTTTTGTAACCCATGTATAGGAATCAGAGTGTGCTGCATTGGAAATATACTCCTTGGATATTTCATTTTCATCTGGATCCCTTGATTCCTCCTCTGTTATTTCAGTCTTGATCCTAGCTATAGTCTGTTGCCAATATGATTCAGTTTTCTCTAATTTTAATTCGCATTCATCTTTATCCATTTTTCAATCTTCCTAACATAGTAAACAATAAATGTCACCTGTCAAAAGATTCAACCAATAATGACATTTGACGTCAAACCATTATTCTAACCTAACCTGATGTTCAAAATAGGTAGGCGTTTTATTGCGACACAGGCATATTCACGCGACTTTACTGTTATATCGGAAAACCAGGTCAGTGCATATTTTAGCCACAGTAGAATGCTAAAATACTGTGATTCAGCATGAATAAATTGATGGATGTAGACGTTACTGAGTGATAGGAAATCATAATGAAGAAAAGAGAATTGAAACTTTCTATGTTTTTTACCACTTAGATGTATGCTGATTACACATCTCTTTTAAATTTGCACTTAGATTTTGTTGAAGTCAATAGTCAGTGGAGGACGAAAATAAAGGTTCAAATTTGATTTCAAACCAATTCAGGACAAAACTCTAAATAGTAATATTACAAATGACACTTCTTAAAGTCTGTTGAGTTCAGTGCTGTTCAGTGCTGATTAAAGCTATATCTCGGATAAGGATAGGATTTCGAGTTTTCTCTTGATCCAATTTTCTGCGCACTGAACCCTGGCTTTGTTGGCCTAATGGGTAATCCATCTCAATCCAAGGAATACTAAGAGGCGAATCAGATTACAAGGTTTTGTAAAGTTTTATAATAATTCCCTTATCGTTCACCCTGTCCACCAGGTTGGTGCAAAACATGTTTTCAAGAAACGAGTGACAGTGACACAATTTGGTCTGCTGACCAAGCTGAATTATGCACTGTGGGAGGGTTGGTCGATGTAAACCCATTTTGGGAGCTGAGACACTTATGTAAAGAAGTTTACAACTACATAAACCAGATATGCTCTAAGTACACAACAGAAACTCAAAAGAAATCTATATGCTTTTTCCACTATCGGAATCAGTCACACTGATTTAGAAATCCTTTCAACTCACACTCTCTTTTCATTATTTAGCACTACTATGTGCTTTATTCAGAAAAGACCTTTTTTTAAAATAGGAAGAATGAAAAAACCCAGGAAAGAGAATCAACTTTCTTATTAAATTGAATAATGAATTACATTTTTTACATTCTTATTTCATCAAATTAAAATACTTTACAATTGCTAAGACAGACCCAACCACACTATCTTTGAATTATCTAAGTCATAATTCCCTAATCCTTTTTTTTGAAATTACCCTGATTATCACTTTCTTTTTTTCTGGCGATTCTCCATCTGTAATACTCTTGTGTTTATCATCATCATGTGATTTCTCATTAGAAGCTCCAGACTTTCCAGAAACCATTTTCCTTCTGTGAATCATCTCAATATGCCCCTTCAGATGAGAGTTGCGTTGGAAAGATTTCGAACATAAGTTACATTTGAATGGTCTCTCTCCTGTATGTAGGAGAGCGTGCCGCTTGAGACTGCTTTTCAATGTGAATGTTTCCTTGCATATATCGCACTCGATTTTGTTCTTTCCCCAATGCATCTTGGTGTGCACCTGCAAGTCATACAAGTTACTGAACACTTTCTTGCAAACGGGGCAATTAGACCCTACGTGGTCTTTCAGGTGTCCATTGAGGTCTCTCTCCACACAAAACCGTTTCGAACAGATGCTGCAATGAAACAATTTTTTCTCAGGGTTCTTCTTCTGATGCCTAGTATAAAACGCTACAACAAACTATTATTATTGATTATTCTATGAAAACCTTTTTCATTATTACCTTTGATACGAAATCTCTTCTCGCAGAACTCGCACTGAAAGGGCTTCTCTCCTGTATGTTGTCTCAAATGCTCTTCCAATAGCGACATCTGATAGAACTTCTTTTCACATACGTTACACTGGTACTCCTCGTTTCCAGCGTGAACCTTTCTGTGGAGTGCTAAAGCAAAGCTCGAGAAAAACCCTTTGGAGCATATCGAGCACACGAAAGTCGGATCAACAGCGTGGATTTTCATGTGTTTGTACATCTGATCTCTTATGCGAAAACGTTTCTTGCAGACAGAACATTCGAAAGGTCTCTCTTCTGAGTGAACTTTCATGTGCCGCTCTAGGTTTGTCTTCAAGAATTTGAAGCAAATGGGGCACTTGAAAGATTTGTTGTTGGAGTGGCACTTCTCGTGGTTGATCAGGACGCTTCTGAAGGGGAAAGTTTTCAAACATATTTTACAGCGATGGCCGAGATTTTCTTTGGAACTAACGAGTGGCTGACTACGTTTTTCTTTCTCTGTTGTTCCACATGGTACATCTATAAACAATTATGGATAAATATTTCAACTTAACATTTAATATGATATGGTTCACCTCTCCAATTGTCCTTTTGCAGATCCAAGATACGTTTCTTTTCGTGAGTCTGCATGTGGCTCTTTAGGTGTTTATCTTGTGTGAAATCTAGTGGACACACAGTACATTTGAAAGGGCGCTTTTTATGACGTTTCATGTGATCATCGTAATACTCAACTAGGGAAAAATTCATACCGCAAACAAGACATTCGTAAGCTTTTTTTCTGTGGATACGTCTGTGTTTAGAGAAACCATCTGTAAGAAAATGTCTCTAATAAGTACAAAACAACCGGTAAGGAGTATTTTTGTATATATATCTCTCCTGTTCAAAACTCATGCAACCCAGTTTTTTACCTTTTGTATTGAAAGATCTCCCACACGTTTCACACAGAAATGATGATGGTTCTTGAGCATGGATTTTCCTGTGACGCAAAAATTGTCTCATCATCAAAAAACTCTTGCCGCAAATTTCGCACTGGAACTTGGCACTTTCTGTGTGAAACTGTGAATGATGATGAAGAGTTTCCATATGACCAAATAGCCTCCCACAGAACTCGCATTGGCACTGTTTTTTGTGTGATTGTTTGTGTCTCTCGAAAAATTTTAGTGAACGAAAGACAGATCCACAAACTTCGCATAAGAAGAGGTCTCCTTTATTAGAAATGCGGTACCGCTTACAAGTTTTGCTCCACCTCTCCGGCTTGCTTACAGCAAGCTGGAGAATTTTTTCCAGTGAATGTCTTTTTACGTGTTTGACAAAACCGGACTGGGATTCGAAGGTTTTTGGGCAATGTTTACATTTGTACTTTTGGAAGAGATGAAACTGGAACCTGCAAAAATAAAGACAAGTTGTTCAAAGTCCAGGTAAAATGTATATTCAATTTTACCAAATAATACATAATACATGCATAATACGCAATGAATTGATTTACAAATACTAACCTGTGTCTCCTCAAATTGCGCAAACTCAAAAAAACGTCCTCGCAAAGAGGACATCGGAATTCTTTTTCCAAGTGGACTGTACGATGCCACATCAAGGATTTCTCTAATCTGAAACTTTTCGTGCAGCTTCCACACTGATAAACCTTTTTCCTATGGATCTGCATGTGGATCACTAAGAGCCGCCTTTTCCGATATACCTTCTCACAATGGTAGCACTGGTACTCCTCACTCCTGGTCTCGAACCTTTCTTCCACGTGGGAGTTTTTCAAGTGTAATCTCAGATTTTTCAACCTCGTGAAACGTTTGCCACAAATCTTACAGCTGAACGGTTGTTGTGATTGTTTCAGTAAATGCGCTTGGAGATGGCGACGTAAATTGAAGCTTTTCGAAAAAGATTTCCGACAGATCTCGCACAAAAAACATTTTTCAGGCCTCGTTTTTTGTCTGACTTTCGAAATGGGGGTTTCTTCTACAAAATTAAAATAATCTTTGTTAGAAATAGAGAATTCGGAAGGTAATGTATTACATTAAATAGAAAGCTATTTTCGCTAGTTTCAGTATTATAGAACGTTTGTGAACAGTTGCTTGCCTAGAGTGCTCATATAAATACACCAACTCTTCTTACAAATACCATTCAAAATGATATTTTTCAGAACATATACGCAGGGACATCAAACACTTATGATGTACTGCAGAAATAGCATGGAATATACTGCAATGGATTTGAAAGACACTTCAACTTGAGCAGTGTAACCTGCCTTGTAATCTCTTTATCAAGACAAATTGAAGTACAATCAGGAGTGCCTCAAGGATCTCGCATGGGACCGCTCTTGTTCAGTTTACTTATCAATTATACAGCTATAGGTTTTGCCCATTGTTCATTTCTCACGTTTGTAGATGATCTGAAGATTGAAGCAAATAAAAACTGCAGTATGATTTTACATAACTTCTAGGTGGTATAGTTGATTACAATTACCTTCAGACAAATGCCATAAAATTTCCTCCAAGAGGATCAGTATTATAATTGATTTTTCATATAAAATCAATAGAAAAGATATAGAGGTAATTGCCAAAATAAAAAATCTAGGGATTATTTTCGATAAAAGGGTACTTCAGAATAGAATGTTGAGTCTAAAAACTATCTACTTTGCACAAGTGACATCCATACTTGGGTATGAATTGAGTATGATAATAATTCGTATTCAGAAACACAAAGTTTATACATACGTTATCAGAGAATATCTGAAATAGTCTAAAGTAAAAATCACTCTGTGCTCAGTGTGCCAAAGCGTAAGACGAATAATTAAGCTGAAAGCTTGAAACAGAATGAACAGTATAAACACAATAACATTGGACAATGAAATTCGACTTGATAAATAAACTATTAGAGATCACATGATAGTATAAGATCACTATTTCAGGCAATTAATTCAAACAGAAATCTATCCTGTTTAATTATTTTGAAAAATTCATCAAAATTGTAGATAGGCTTTGTCAAAATGTGTTTTTGACTGCTCTTGAATTCTTTGCATGGTAATTCTCATTATAATCTCTTAATTGATTTGTTAGTGATGTCAACATAAATTTTTGAAATAATATGTATTGATTCACCTCAAGTCATATCATTTTGAATAAACAATTTAAATTTTATGAGGCTTTACACTTTTTGAGTATATGAGCTCAGGATCGCACGTTAGAAGGTGAGACCTCTGAGAGTTGTCATTCATAGGGGGTTATCGAGAAAACAGATTTTTACAGATATTTTCTGTATGTGTGCATTTGTGAAAGTTTATCATATTCGATGGTTTGTTGTGATGAAAAAAACAATATTATTACAAGTAAAGTGAAAGCACCTTTAAAAAAGGGTAAGCAATTTTGTGAAAGCAAACTATAATTCAATGTATCTAATCAAAATCAATGATTATCACAAAATTTATAATAACTGAAATGACAACTCGAAATATATTATTGAAAAATAATTTTTCTGAATTAGGACATCATCATAGTTATCATTGCAGAGATCAAATCTGACATACTGAAATAAAACTGCTACATTTAAAAGGTGTACAACCTAAAACTGATAATTTTTTATAACAAAGAAGAATTGTTAAAGGCAAAAACTAAGTCATATTTACTAAAAAAGTGTTTTTGTTTTATACACGATTTTCTGTCAAAGTAGTTCAAATATTCAATATTTCACAATGAAAAATAAACATTTTTATTTTGACAAACTTGTGATTGTTTCTTGTCATATTTTTTATGCGTTTTTAATGTTGAATTTATATTTTGTACTTAGCTTCTTTTATTAGAGAAATTAGGGAAACTTTTTCAAGTATTTATTCGGGAAAAATCTTTCATTTTACCTGATTCAGAAACATTGTTGCAGACACTTGTTGGGTAATAGTTCGGGTCATCTAACATTTCCTTGGATGATCCGTTCTCTATTTTCATTGGAATAGACAATATTTCAGCCTTATTTGGGTCAAATTGATCACAAACCCATTCATAACTATTCATTGACCAAAGAGAACGATGATTTATATATCTATCTGTCTTTACTTTGGAAATGCCTGAAGTCAAATAGAGTCTACTATTTTACATAAAAATTAGGTGATTAGTACTTACTTTCATCATCAGTTTCATGTTTGACTGAACAAGAATCGGGAAACTCTACTCTGGCTGTAACATATCCAGGTGTGATCTCTCCAGGAGGTTCATTTTTGATGAAGGAAGGTCCTATCAGGTTGTGTTTTGATGTTATGTTTGGTTCAGATATTGTATGCGATGAAGTCTGGGAATAATCCTCATCTTCAACTACTTCTATTATAAGCGTTTCTACATTACCTTCTGATGGTTCATCTTCTAAGTTGCTTTGAAAAAATATTAGATTTGAATCATTTTCTGGTTCTGTTTTACATGTTACATTAGTGAGAACTTTTGGATATTCCTCTCCAATATCCATGATATGTTTATATATATAAAAAACTATGAAGAATTAATTGTTGAGCTTGAACATTCTTCGCTACATTTTCAGTTAAAAATAGTCAGTGAAGTAGAGTAGATGGCGAGTAGAATCAGTAGTCGAATTCCTCACAATAATAAGGAAGCACAAGGAACTGGAGAAATACTTTAAACATATTTTGACTTTTGACATTTTAGTTACGTAAGCTTTCACTGTTAATTATTTTTAATATGCATTATTTGAGTAAGAATGGATTTCTTCAGCATTAATTTTCAATAACGTATGACAAATATTTTATGCACTATCGTTGCCTTAATTACGCGTGAGTACTCATTGTATTTTATCATTTTAAAAAAATCATAAATCCACTATAGCTATATAGTTTAACTTTATGCTTTACTCTGTTCCCTGACTATAAAGGTGCTTTGTGACTATAAGCACTGTACATAACTTCTATACGGTGCTATAAGCAACAAAGTCAACCCCTAACCACAGTAGAAAGCTGAAGACCGATATCCATCATAGGATTTTGCGGGTTATGAACACATTGCTATCAAATCAATATTCATTAGTACGTAATTCATATATACATTTCTCGCCAAATGTGCTGCCTTCCATTATTCCTTCACATTGATTCAATAATGAATATTTTGTTTCAGTTTCCAAAAAATTTAAATTTGAATAAGCTCGATGGATACCAATACCTCTGAAAAACACAAGGAGGTAAAATGTGAGGAACAAATTGAAAGTGAAGAAAATCTTTATATTCATTATGAAGATATCAAGAAAGAAATTAAAGAGGAAAGAATAATTGAAAGTACAACAGATGGTTCCAAAGTTGAGCTTAGTCACCATGAACGAATCAAAAGTGAGGAGATCGATATTCTTTATGAAAATACTGGAGAAAAAAAACTAAGAGAATTTGGACATAATTTTATTATCGATAGTCCAGTAGACAAATCAGAACAACTCGAATATGATTCTGTAGGAAGCAGTTACATGTATGAAGACGGAAACTCTTCTTTCTCAGGCACTACCACAGGTAAGTTTTGTGTGTGATATGTACTTCATCACTCTCTAAATGGATTTCTCTCGTCTGTAGTTTTTTTGAATATTCCATAGCTCATTATTGGTCGAACAAGGGCAAATGTACATTTGGAATGGGCCTAAACCTGTGTTTGCAATATAATGTTGCAGTCCATTTTCAGTACACCATTTATTAATTTTATCTGATACATCGGTCAATTATCTAGGTCGATCTTACAGCTTACCTATAGTAGTCTGGTAAAGTCCTCTATAATCATCATCCTTTCAGCTCAGATGAATTTATATTTCAAGTTTTATTTTCCAAATGGAGCTGCCCCATCTGATAAATGAAGATATAAATGTTGATAATTGAAAGCAGTCACAATTCACATAAATTAAAAAAAAATTAGTCTCCTAAGATTGAGTCAAAAATAAAATAATTTATTAAAGAACCCACACACTGAACGTTTCTGTATTTTGCTAAATCCTGTCAGTTACTCAATGCTTGAGGTGTCAAGGTGTTGAAATAACGGTTTGGTGTTGGGAAAAAAACTTCAGTAATATTCATTAATTTCAAAAATAATATTTGGAAGGAAATCGGAGAAGAAATGAAAACACAAGATGACGAACTTCTCTTAATTTTAATTCACTGTAAAAAAAAACAACATAACAAATGTTTCTAATTTTTTCAGAGAATTAAAATAATTTTTAAATGTGTCTCTTACTTGAAAAGCATTTCCTGTTGCATTTCCACCTTGCAAAGGAAATTTTTGCAGTTCAGAGTTTGTAAGCTCATTTTTGCATAGTTGCACGAGTATCCATAATATTTTTTGATACAGTTATGTACAATACAAGTCGCCAGTACTATGTTATCTGCATTTTTTGGTGCTGCTGAATTCCCTTGTAATAGATTTGAAATTTATAACATATTTAATATGTATTTGTGAACACAAAACTGATATGTACAATATCTTGAAAATTTATCTTAACATTCAACACCGATATTATAGTGAACTGACCAAATAATGGAGTTGTACTCCAGTATGAATGTAACTTATGGCACATTTGATGATTTTTATAGATTTAACGCCTAGGTCTCTATCAGCACAAAGTGTAAAGCCTGACATTTTACAGACTCGAGATGAAAATGAGTTTCTAACATTTATTTGGATTTAAGTGTAATGCATTGACACTATGCCCCTTAGAAAAGTTATCTGGATCATAACTGCTAATAATTAACATCTGATAAATTATGAACTGTTTTGAACATCTTCAGATAATCGTATAATTATTTCTTAACAGTATAATCAGTATAATCTTGGATATATATGTGTATTTTATTAATGAAAAATTAAAAACCTTGATAAGTTATAATTTATTCTTTTTACAGATACTAAGTCATTGATGTTCCTCAAGGAACAAGACGAAAAAATCCTCAAGGAAGAAAATATATATCACGCCCTTTCTAGAGAAGGAATTCCAGTTGAAAATCGTAGAAGAATTAATACTGGGGAGAAACCATTTAATTGCAAACTATGCAAAAAATCGTTTAAAAGAAGTAGTAGATTGAAAGATCATCAAAGGACTCATACTGGAGAAAAGCCATATAATTGTAAATTTTGCAGAAAGTCTTTTTCTCAGAATGCAAACTTGTTAGTTCATCAAAGAACTCATACCGGAGAAAAACCATTCAGTTGCAATATTTGTAAAAAACCTTTTTCTCAACATAACAGCATGATAATTCATCAAAGAATTCATACTGGAGAAAAACCATATAATTGTACATTTTGCGAAAAGTCTTTTTATAAAAGTAGTATATTGATACTACATCAAAGAACTCATACTAAAGAAAAACCATTCAAATGTGAATTCTGCAAAAAGTCGTTCACTCGCAGAGATGGGTTGGAAAATCATCAAAGAACTCATACTGGCGAGAAACCATACAATTGCGAATTTTGCAAAAAATCTTTCAAACAGAAAAGTAACTTGATAATTCATCGAAGAACTCATACTGGAGAGAAACCATTTGATTGTAAATTTTGCAAAATAACTTTTGCCCAAAAAATTACATTGATGAATCATCAAAGGACTCATACTGGAGAAAATCCATTCAATTGTAAATTTTGCAAAAAGTCCTTCAAACAGAGAGGTCATTTGGAGAATCATGAGAGAACTCATACAGGAGAAAAACCATTTAATTGTAAATTTTGCACAAAATCATTCACCCAGAAAGGGAACTTACAGAAACATGAAAGAACTCACGTTGGGAAAAATGAAACTTTCACTCAGAGTTCTCCACTGAAAACTGAGAAAATTGACATTTGAAATTATAGGTGTAAACTACGTTACTTTGTAACTACGTGTAATTTTAACTGCTCACCAGTTATTGTCCAATTGTAATATGTTTATTCGCAACACAATATAAATACTTAAATATAGATTGAAAAAACGTTTGACAGACTATCATTGTGGTTGAACTATATATTTAACAATAGTGTTATAAACTATCATTAGCATATGTTATTATTCATAAAAGAAAGTCCTAATGGTATTTTCAAATTTAAGAAGTGATTGACTATGAATTTCACTTTTTCTGTAGATAAGAAAATTAGAATTTGCCGTAGGTGAGAAAACAGTTGTGGATCTAGTATTTGGCTAAGGATATGAAAATTCAATCATAATATTACAATTATGTCATTGACGATCTATATAAAAATATGAAGTAAGGGTTATTATCAAAAACCTGCGTTGACTTGTCCTTTAACTGTTTCGTTACTATATATTACTGGAGTTTTTTCCCAACACCAAACCATTATTTTAACAACTCCACACGTGTTTCGATCACCAAGTGATCATCTTCATGAGGAAGATCAAACAGTTTGATCTTTCTCTTGATTCATCTCCCACAAAGTACCTATACCTTCGTCTAAAAGAAAGTAATAGCTTCATTTCGTAATCAAAGCCCCCAAGTGAGGAAGAATCATCTCATATATCAAGATGCAAATAAATATTTCGAAATAGAATCTAGAAACACGATTGTTGGTTCAATCTTTTGACAGTGTATCTGATGTGCCAAGTCTAAATATCTTAAAATGTTAATAATGTCATTTTACTCAAATTGTTGAAAGTTTTGATATAGCATTACATTTTTGTTGAAATTGTCATCTCCAATACCTAAATGCATAGTCTGTTGGGTTGACGTCATGTTGTGAAACATGTTACACTTCTTTCGGAAGATTTCCTAACATGAACATTTTCAAATATGATCAGTAACAAACGATATCCATATCGGTTGAGTAGTCCTGGTATCAAAGGCCAATAAAAATTAATAAGAAAGAAGAATTTTAGAGAGCTCGTCAATTCTTAATATAGTCTGTCTATGCCACAGAACTCATTGAAATGTTATTTGGAGTTCTGTGATCTATTTTTTTTTCAAACTTAATACGTTTTGGCGTTTTATTCCTCCACTAGTTGAAATATTTTCTACTTATGAAATATACTGCATTCAAGTTTGATGGTATTAAAACCAGTACAGCCGATCTCATCCTGAATTTCGAAAGAAACGCTATAACATCACTTACTAAACGCGCTGAGCATTCCGGGCGTCTACACCAATGGAGCTTTGATAGTGAGATAATAAATTAATTTAACATTCAACCAGCAAAAATGTTTTTAATATAAATTTTCCAAGGTTAGCTAGACTGTAACCAAGAGAATTCAAAAAACAAAAATACCTAAATTTAATAATTTCGTGTGTAATACCATCAGTAATCCTGATGTACAATTTCTTCAAAAGTACTATTTTAAGGTTGAAATTTCACCGGAGCAACACTGGAAATAGCTAATAAAACACTACCTCCTTCTTGTTACACCTGCGTAGAGAAGAGTCGGTATTTTGGAAAGGTGCTCGTTTTGGACTTATTTCACGCCAGAGGTTCTAGTTTTACTTTTTATTTTTTTGTAGACACAATTTTCATGTTCAGGACTCTATGTTTATGTACATTCCAGTAAGCACCGTGAATGTATTTCTAAGATGACATTAGTTTGTTCGGAACCTGAGTGTTACTACTGTATAGTCACAAAACGAATTTTAGTTTTATTCTGTGGGGTGGGAATGTGGAATGGTTGGCAACAGTTTACTAACAAATAACAAATGTCAGTTTGCCAAAACCAAGTAAATTTGTTATATTATCTTTGATCAAACATTTACATCGAATGAGACAGAAAACGTCCAGATATTTCGATTGCAGAACCTTTTTTCTTTTTGTATATTGAAGCGATCTTCAGACATAAACGAAACCGTATGATGTGATAGAAATGTGTTCAGAACAGTGCATCGGCTGTCTTTCGAGATGGAGATTATGGATTCGGCCCCTCTTTATTTTTGTGTACGCCTTCGCGGCTTTAGTGTTTGTCCCATACTTCCTGGTAAAGTCTCTGGAGGACGGGTTCAACAAGCACGACCAAGAAATTCTCATTGGGGGAGTTTTCGTATTGGTGGCCATTCCTTTGTCTTTCTGGGAAATGATCCAACATGGAATAAATTATACGGAGCCGAGGTTACAAAAACACATCATCAGGTATGCTAGTTTGTTTAGAATCATAATAAACAGGCTAGGAACAGTGTTGTTCATGGCGAGTTTTAGAAGGCGCCTCATTTTTTAAAGAAAAGTCTCACTTTAGTGTATCGAGGAATCACTCTGTAATAATAGTAATACTCATTTCTTCTTTCTAGGATATTGTGGATGGTTCCAATTTACGCTGTAAATGCGGTAAGTGTATTATTAATTGATTATTCATCATAAAACAATTCATTTATTGGAATAATAATTGATAGTAAAGTTTGATCATATACTTCCAACATAAATTCCCGAAGATGTTTCATGTTGCTGCTGATCAGAAACGTTAGATATTCCTTGAAGAGTTGCTTCCACAATTTTATCAGATATTTTAATTTGTTTGAAAGAAGATAATGTACATTTATGCCCAAATTCATGACTGTGGAGTTGAATTTTCCAGAGTCATAGAATGTCTCCCTAATCTTATTCTTTTCAATAACTTTTCAGTGGCTGGGGCTTATTTATCCCCGGCAGTCCGTTTACGTAGACTGTTTAAGAGAATGTTACGAAGCATACGTCATTTACAACTTCATGAAGTTTCTCCTAAACTACCTCAACATGGAGATGGACCTCGAAGCTAACTTGGAGCTGAAGCCTCAAGTGAAACACATGTTTCCGTTATGTTGCCTGCCTCAATGGGAAATGGGAAGGTGAGGAGAGTAGCGTTTGAAGTATCGAAGATTAAATTATCGTTTTTTGTTTACAGGGAATTCGTTCATATATGCAAGCACGGAATTTTGCAGTACACGGTTGTGAGACCACTGACAACGGCGATTTCTTTGTGAGTTTTGCATCTTTGAACTTCACCGAATTGATATGGCGATTCAAACACTATATTTTCCATTCTGTTCGAAAGTGTTTTTCGTTTCAATAATATATTACAAGGGTTACCTCTTGATTTTTAAGAAAAAGTGTGAAAGTATATTTTTTGAACAGTATTTTGTTCGTCAAAATATTGCCTCTGAAATTGGCAGCTTCTCAAGATGATGAAAATTGTTGTCCATATATTTGTGTGTTTAATGAATATAAGAATAAGTGCAAACCATAACATTATGTTCACCAAGTACATAGCATTTAAGATATGTTTGTTAACTGATTCTTTGTATTTTTTCCTTTGTATTCGTTCTTACTGTATCAAATTGTTGAAAGAATGTACATCATCTGATGATAATTTGTAAAAACTACAAGGTAACCCTCGGATACCAGTGGACAACTCAGGTATTTTCACTAAGATCATGTATTTAGATGATTGAAATAACAGAATAGTCAATGATGAGTTAGGAGCATAATAACGTGGTCCTCCTTTTTTTTCAGCATATGTAAAAGTTTCGACGTTTTTGGTGACGGACAATTCAAAGCCAACGTAGCCTTTCCCTATATGATAGCAATCAACAATCTATCGCAGTTTATTGCGATGTACTGCCTAATCATGTTTTACAGAGCTACTCTATCTGAACTGAAGCCTATGAAGCCTTTGGGAAAGTTCCTCTGCATCAAAGCTGTCGTATTTTTCTCTTTTTTGTAAGTAGTTTGATTTTCAAATCTGGATTTACGAAATTGCTAGTTTAGAGATGAGATTATTCAATTAAAACTTCAAGATCAGAATGCAGTATTGTAATTTTTTTAGTTTCTGCAAATGGCCAATATTACTAGTTGAAATGTTGAAATATGGTATTTAAAAAGCTGAAATTGCTCAAATTGAAGTTCGAGACGACTGGTTCAAAGTTTCATTTCATTTTATAGACGGAATCTCTAAAAAAATTCAAATGAACTGCATTTTTATGTGTAAATTATGAGTTTGTAGCTGAAATTGCCACTTTGAGTCTGAAATTACCAGCTGAATCTTGAAATTACCAGCTGAATCTTGAAATTACGTGTTCAAATTCTGAATTACTTCTCCTCAGCCAAGGAGTCCTCATCTCGCTGATGGTTTACTTGGAATGGATCAAACCTAGCCCCGATACCGGAGACGACCCGCTCAGTCTCTCTATCAGACTCCAGAATTTTCTAATTTGCATCGAAATGTGCTTGGCTGCCATTGCACATCATTACTCCTTCTCTCACAAGGAGTATGTCTCTAGAGGATCTCGCAGCCAGTCGTGCTGCTCGGCCTTCCTGGCCATGTGGGACGTTTCGGACGTGCAAAGTGACATCAGGGAGCACCTCGGGATAGTAGGTGAGTTGCTAATAAAATTCTTCAGGAGCCAATCAGAGAAAATTTGCATTTTGCAAATTTGCCTGTTTGAAAAGTTGATGCATAACATATACATATTGATTTGTTTACATTATATAACGAGAATGTTTTTTTCTGGATTTTAGGCAGCTCAATAAGCAGGCGACTACGAGGTAGGAGCATGTACACCATTCCGAGAGGCAATAACGAATTCGACCCGCTCGTGGCCCCTGTGGCGGTGCACGGCGCACCTAGTTTACCAAACTATTACCAAAGCAACTGTGATGAACTTATAGTCAATTACGGTACTGTGAGTGCTAGTCAGCCCATTAAAATGAATCGTAATAGGTATGATACCTAGGGAAGCGGTAGTGTGCTTAGCTTTTCATGCATCAGGCTGGACTGAAAATTCTAAATTTCTCGCAGAAGACTGTTGATATAATTATTGGGTATGTGCCCTAAGAGTCGAGGCCAGTAAGAAAAATAATATTGGCTGGTTGTTTTTGTAGCTTAGGCCATCAAAGAGGGGATGTGAAGGACTGATTTTCATGACACATTCGCTTAAACTAGGGAAGAGTAGAAGGGCTATTCTAGTTATTTTTTCATTTTTCCGACTTTTAATTTTGCATAATGTGTGATCAGTATGAAAACATCAGATTAGATTGAGTTATGTAAGAAAAATAATTTCGAGTTCAAGACGGAATTTCCGAGATAAAGGTCGGAATTTTCTAGTTGAATAAAAAAAACTGTGGTCCTTCTACGTTCCTGTATGAACGTGATTTGGAGATTTTTTGGTCCACCCTATATATTTTATGTGATTTTTTATTGAATTACATTTTTTTTAATGTTACCGATGACTATTTTAGTTTTATTTGTATATATATATATACATATAATTATATAAGATATATTTGTATATTAATTCTTACTGAGTAATACAATAAAACAATTCTTGTGTTTCATTATTAGTTTATAAAAATCTCCCAGATAACTGCATTAATAAGTTTATTGAAAAAGTACTCATTTAATATTAAATCTAGATTGACTGTCCAATGAAAATTTGAGTTGAAAATTAATATCCCAAGAACAAAAATCTCTCTTACAAATTCACACCGGAAGGAAAAGATTGCAGTTTTGGATTGCGCCCATTGAGACGCATCTCTTTGTGTATTTTCTTGAAAATTCAAAATAAACCTTTACACTGGTATTGACATAACCACACAGGTGATGATGATCTCTCGCTTTAGTTTTTAAAGATATTTTTGTTGATACTTGTTTCATAATCGAGTAATTAATGGTCTTGACATTACTAACATTTGATATGAATTCGGCAACAGCGTAAACTTATTCTATTGCTTTCTTCCTAAGGTGTTTTCTGGTGTTTAATCTTATTCGATGGTGTATTCAAAAACGATTCGTAGTGACGAATTTACACTTTTTGAAAAGTGTAAAGGTCTATTTGAAACATTTCGAGAACCAAAAGATATGAAAAAAAACCAATAGACCTCTACAATTCCGAAAAATATATATAAAAATGACGTTACCAATCAGCTCAAAATGGACTAGTAGGTTAAGTAAAACGAGTATGGACATAATCGTTGGGTAATTGACAAGTACACAAAACACACGTAACAACTTGAACAATCAACATGACAGGTAGAATTAATGACACATAAACAGAGTAGCCAACTTAGAAATAACACATGTGCCTCAAATGAAATCTTTATCAGACGAACTATGTTAACTAACTTTATCTGTCTGTTAACCAAAGTACTGGATATTTATGAAACACTCTTCAAGAGAACAAGGTACAAATAGGGTTTTTATATGGAACTTTTTGTAGAATCAGACAAAAAAACCAACAACTCTGAGTTTTATGTTGGCAACAATGGTTTTCGGTATTGGTTTCCGTTTCCTCATGTCTCCATTTTATTACTAAACAAGCATTGTACTTTATGTTAGTGGTTAGTGGCCTTTGGCTTCAATAGACTTAAGCATACATCCAAGTAGATTGAGAAGTAGAGAAGCAATTCAAATTTCAACCCGCCATTGTTAATTGAAGTGAAATTCAATCTTTTTTACTAGTTTATGAATGAACGAAATGGATTCATTGGAGGTTTCAGCCCCCTATATTCTAAGAACCATCGAATACGAACCTCCTGAAAAGTTTGTGGAAACAATCATCATAGAGATAACCAAAGATGAACATTCAGAAGAGCCTTTTGAGGATAATGATGAGATGACGATGGACAGTCGCCAAGCTCTATCCGAGGGAGTAGTAGTGAAGGTTGAACAACAATCAGAATTCGAGGATGAATTTCAACCTGCATTTGTTGGTAACATTAAGTTGGAGGAAGATGAAACTTTGGGAGAAGTATATAAGGAAGGCGTATTTGTTAAAGAGGAGCCCTCCGAGGATCAAGCTGACTGGGACGAAGAATCTGGAAAATGTATCGATTCAGATGAAAAAAAGGGCAGTGAGTCTTCAGAAAACAAACTTTCGAAATATTCTAAAGAGTGCTACATTTGCGGACAAAATTTTTCACATCATCAAACTTTGAAGAGGCATATGCACACACATTCAGGTGAAAAAAGAGCCTACAAGTGCCACATATGCAACAATACCTTTTCACGCCATCATATCTTGAAGAGGCATATTCTGTCTCATACGGGTAATCGACCGTATAGTTGCATTTTCTGTCCAAACACTTTCACTAGAAAGGATCATCTAAAGACTCACATAAACCGAGTTCACGATTCGAACCCTCACAAGGAGTCATTCAAGTGCTTTAATTGTGGTAATGCTTTCAAGACAAAACTCTCTCTGTTAAGGCATGTGTAAGTATAACAGTGTGTTTCGAAATTTTAGGATATTCACTAAACATTCAGTTTTTGTCGGAAAGATATCTCGTAGACATCCAGATACCAACTGTTATGTCCATAAGATAACTAATGAAGACATAAATTTCTAAATGTCTTATGAAATGTCATAGGATATTCGTGGAAGGATATCTATTCCAAGTCCACTGAAGAATATCTTGTGAAAATCCAATTCATGTCCGAAGATCTAAAGTGAACATGAATTGACAAGTTAATATTTGTCAGTGGAAGAAATACCTTTTCATCAAAATGTTCTACTTTGTGGAAACAATTTAACTGGTCCGTATTCAAATCTGGTGATAAACAAAATGTAATGTAATCTTTACTCGCAAAAATTTTAGATTCATTAGTCCTTTAAAGATCGATTAATAATTACTTATCCAATGATATACTTAGATCTACTATCACTGATTTGTTACTCTTCAAACATAAAATACTGTACTTTTGGAATTGAATACTGTACTACACATTATCGTCACTGTTTAATAGTAACTCTTTAGTGTCCCAACAGAGGTAGATTGGTTTGTCATTAAACATAAAACGTGAGAAAATTTAAAAAAAAACTTTAAAGAAATGTAGAGCATACATAGAAGTTTCTTTTGGATGTGAACCTTTTCAAAACAACTACTTTGACAGGAACATTGAATTACATTATATTACTTTTTACAATTCAGTTTGTTTAATGATGGAGGAGTAATAATAATAATATTTATTCAGTTGGATCATCTATAGATGACATTGAGTATGTCAAAACGTGTACAATTACAAAATTCAAAATACAAACTCCGTGCACTTAAAGGCACACTGATAACGTATAGTTTTCTTTTCCTCTCTGGGATTTCTAATACAGCTATTGTTACCTCAAAGTTTTTCTCTATACATTTAGAAAAGGTGAAGGGTGTCAATACAAGATTTGATTGATTGATGTATTTGTTTAAAAATAGAGAACTTTTTAATCTAAATGCTATAGAACACGAATATAACAGGAGGAGGCATGAACTCGTTTATCCATATCATACATTTAGACTTACTGAAAAATCTCCCTATTATAGGAGAAATTTTACAAGTTACCAGTACTTGTTAGACATTCTGCTAGTAGCAATCAATTAAAAAAAACACAAAAAAGTTACTTGTAGATCTAGAACCCTATTATGTTGAGGATGTTTTAAAACATCAGTTTTGAAATATAATTGTGTGTGACGTCATTTTATTACATGTTGTAATTATTTTTTATGCAAATAATTGTGGCATTTTCTAAAATAAACATTATTATTATTACCATTGGATACTATAAACGATTTAATTAGTTCCTGGGGTTGTAAACTCATTCAGAGTATGATCATTTCATTCTGAATCATTCTAAAACCTACTCTAGTTACGTATCATAAAACTGATACTTTGATACATTCAAAATCATACATATTGTAAACTGTGGTTTCAATTGGATTGAAGTTGTGTGTACAATGATATAGCTAATAATATATGTAATCCGAAAAAAAAAAAGTCCGTTACCATATTGTCGTAGGGCTATAAAATTCTTGGATCCATTGTACGACACCGCAAATGTGTTTCAGCTCAATTAATGATAGTTTACCTGGCTCTAGTAATCTCGATACTAGATTATGGTCTGCATTTTGTTGAACTGAAGTTAGTCTTGTAATCAAATTTATGATTACTGTTGAAATTTAGAGTCTTCCTATTTCTGTTCTGTCACTCACCCATGAATAATTTCAACGTGCCAACTCCAAAAAATTGTCATATTTTTAAGGGTGTGTGTGTGTATATATATAACACAATTGATTACCAACTTATTTTTTTAATATCACTTGCAAATTTTCAATACTGTTTCAATTTTATTCATCTCGTCTCTTTATGTCAATCATGTGTTTGCTGTCATTGTTTACATATTTTTATAAGATACATACATCCTCTTACTTTCTTGGAAGTGCTACAAATATAATAATAAACTTTGTATGCATAACTGAAGTAATTATTGTATTTTGTTTACTAAGAAAATCAGTATTTTATCACTGTTGGATTTGACAGAAAACAACTCTTTTCCATAATAATACCACGACAGTTATTGAATTACCTCCAATCCCACCAACTTATAGAAGTCATTCTTAGAGATGCTTCTTGTTTCCCATCAGCAGAAACTTGATTGGGGTTTGTAGTTATCACCTAAAAATGATAGATAAAACACAGGGTGATTGATTTGAATGTTCCGTTTTTCAAGTCACAGCAAAAAATACCACGACTTATTTATTATTTATAGGTTCCGCATGCACCATCCTGGAAAGTTCCATTGCAAATTCTGTTCTAAGAAATTTATCCGAGAGAAAAACTTTAGGATACATCTGAAAGACCACGGTGTGGAAAATAACCTAGATGAAGTTCTAAAAGATCCCCAAAATGATGGGACATCCTCCCTGTGTGAACTCTGTGGGAAGACATTTTCAGCTGAATTTCTGGAGGAACACAAACATATCCACGAACGGAATTACCAATGTGAGGTGTGCGGAAAGCGCTTCTGTACGTTTTCAAGGATGACCAGACATCTACAACTTCACTTGAGAGAGGAATGTTTGCAATGCAAGCTATGTTCCAAGCGTTTCCGTCTCAGGAGTTCCTACAACAAGCACGTGAAACAGCATCAGAACCCAGAGCACGTACTGTGTGATATTTGCGGCAAGTGGCTGACTGAAAAAGGTATGGATATATTATTTTGGAGTTTTTTTTACGTATCAACTCTGATGAACTACTCAGTTTTAATAGTACATAGTTATGATAAGCACATATCCCTTTTCAAAATAAATATTAAGTTTCCACACTGATTTCCAAATATTACTCATAAAAAGTGCTTATTGTCTGAATTTCCAATTACATGACAGCTTATACAATTTTATATATTACATAGATTCCAAAGCCCATTTTGAACCATTTTGGCTTCGACTTTGAAGCCATTTCAAATAACTAGATAGTATGGTCTCAATCTGCCTAATTCACAGTTAGTGATATGCTCTAGGGACTTTGTGACTTGACGTCAAGGTCCCAGTCTGCCAATTTCCCAGGTCTCGTCACTGGTCTTCACAAGGGTCTCAATGTGTTTATTCTCAAGCAAAGACTTGGAAGTAGACAGATTGAGACAAAGACCATTGACGAGACCTGAGAAATAGGTTGGATTGAGACCCCAGCCTCAAGTCACAAAACCATTGAAGCGTGTCACTACCTAATGAGGTGGCGCAGATTGAGCCATCAGTGTAGCCATACTTTCCAGTCTTTGAAATGAGTTCCAAAGTCAAAACTAAGAGGTGGAAGAACTGAAAACCTGGGCTTCAGAATCTCAAATACATTTTTTGTAAAAAAAAAAAAACTCAACTTTTTCAAAGACATATATTGTATATTTTGTAAACAATAATCTCCATCTGTTTTAATTGTGATACCCAAATCTATGAAAGTTTCTTCAAAGACAAATCTGTTCACAGATGATTTTGACAAGCACCGCAAACTCCATTTCAAAAACAAAAACTTTTGCACAATCTGCGGAAAGAAATTCTCTGGCAAGGTTTTTCTGGAAAAACATATGATGCGCCACAAGCCGAGGCTCTTCAAGTGTCCACAATGTCCGCTTCGATTCAGCGAGGAGAGGTACCTGAAAGACCACATAGACATTCACTTGAATCACCCGACAATTCTGCCAAAAGAAGGAGTCTTTCAGAATCCGACCAACTCGAATCTGCCGAATACCTGCGAAATTTGTGGTAAAGTCTTCTCTTCGAGGAGCTACATGCTCAGCCACATGCGTTCCCACAGCAAAGAGGCGACTTTGGAATGTCCGATCTGCCACAAGAAACTCAAGACGAAGTTGGAGCGACACATGAAAATTCATTCAGATGAGAGGCCGCACGGGTGCCATATCTGCCAGAAGCGGTTCCGCTTGAAGGAGGTCCTCAACGACCACCTTAAGACACATTCGATTGAGCCCACGGTCACCTGCTCAGTGTGTTCTATGGGGTTCTTTTCACATCGCGCACTCGTCTATCACATGAGAAGCCATTCGGAGGGGTATCCGTATCGGTGCAAAATTTGCAACAAGAACTTTTACGTGATGTCACTTCTCGAGGCGCATTTGAGGGTTCACACTGGTGAAAGACCGTTCCAATGTGATATTTGCGATAAGAAGTTTATTGAAAAAGGTAAGGTAATATCTTGACAGACACTTGTTGTGGTTTTTTTCTGTTTCTCTCTGGATATAATGGAGTAGAATTTATTCATCTAGAAATTCACATAATGCAATAAAACATATTGCATTATAGAAATATTGCAATAATAGCAAATATATTATCTTACATACAACTACATTATTGTGTTTCAATAAGAAAGACTGTGTTAATGTAAGTGACTTCAGATTGTTTTTCAAAAATCTGGTAAAAGCTCTTTTTTATAGAGCACTACTATGTGGAAGATTTCCTTTCTAGTATTTTGATGAATTCACTTCAAAAGTATCATTAGTATATTTTATTTGGCTTTTCAGTGTTATTACTAGTCATTCATTTATACTTTTTGATCAATTAGTTTATGGCTTGTAACTTGATTAAGTATAGTGCAATAATGTCTATGCATTATTAATAATTATTGTGAGGAATAATTATTTTTCTTTCTATGGTCTGTCTTCAATGTTTGCATTCGTTTTGCCAGATTAAGTTTCTGAAGTTAAATAAAACAATTTATTTCTAGGCAAGTTGAAGAAACATCTCATTAAAAATCCAGAGAAGAAGTATTTCACCTGCACGAAATGCCCAATGCGTTTCTGCTACGAGAGAAACCTAGTCACTCACATGAAAACCCACTCCAGCGGCGACGAGAGGCCCTTCGAATGTCCTCACTGCGACAAAACGTTCAAAAAGATGTACGGAATGACCACACACATGAGAGTCCACACTGGCGAACGCCCATACCAGTGTTCCATCTGCTCGCAACGCTTCACCATGGCGAGCTCGCTCAAAGATCACGAGAAAATCCACACCAACGAGCGCGCATTTTCCTGTGCGTTTTGCCCAAAGAGTTTCAGAAGAAAGACTCATTTGAACGGGCATGTTAAGAATATGCACGGAGAGATGAACTACTCACCAAAAAAAGTAGTCATTGTTGATGACACGGATGTTGATAAAATGATAGAAATGAAACTTTCTAAGAAGGCGTTCATCATCCGGACAATTCGCAAAAGAAAACTGGAAAATTTCGGTATTTCTGAGATTTCAGGCTGAAGCGATATCTTTACGCTGTGAAATAGGTACTTTGATAATTGTTCATAACAGTAATTGCTAATAAATTTATTTCTACCAAAGTCTTCTTGTAGAAAATCTGGGTAATGCTGAAATTTCAGGCTGAATCGATATCTTTACACTGTGAAATATGTACTCTGATGATTATTTATGATAGTAATTGTTAATAAATTTATTTCTACTAATGCCTTCTTCTAATTATGTCCTGGTGTATCTACATTTCAAATCAAAAATTACTTCGAGTGATTAGAAACATGACCTACATTTCTTTCTTTAATTAACGCCATGATAATAAAACAACTTTTCCACGAATAATTTTACTAAAGACACATTTTGCTATACAGTAGTAGTTGAACCATTTTGGCTTAACTGAAGTGAAGTTGAAATGTTTCAATATCATGTATAAAATAATATTTAAATATGAACAAGAAATGATGCAAACAGATCAATTAAATTGGATAAAATACAAATACTTGAAGAAANGGTATTAGCCAGGGGAGTAGTTGTTTTCTGATAGGCGTCAGTCCATTCAACCTGCTGTGTAGAGGTATTGTCGAGACTGGCTTGAATGTTTAAAGTTCATATCTTAAGATTTGTTTACTGCCTCTCTTCAAGCATAGCCCATTGACTAATAAGAAAGAATAGGGATTGAATAATATATTACACTCTTAACTTGTTAGTTTTCAAACTATGAAATAAATTATTTTCATGAGGTAATATTATGTTAGGAAATAGCTGGAAATATCTAAATCTTTGAAAATGGTAAAATATTTATTATCCATGTAAAAGTACAGAACAAATTAAGATTTTGTGCCAACTTTACAATTATCTGGATCTTTCTACTGAATGGGTTATTTCATGAACTTTCAGATCATTACTTTCAATAGATTTTTTTTTGCAGAATTAGTAATACTATGATCTTTCAGTTTCTTCATTACATTTTAAATTCATATTCGTAGTTAAAAAAAATCACCAGTATGAAGTTTTAATGGCCTTTCAAATTTGACATGAAATGACTCATTTCCAGCACCTATTTTTCCAGAAAGTTCCAATGACCTCATCACGAATATTCTTTCTCGTACTTTAAAATTTCAATTCTCAGCAAAACCATTTGTTGCGAATTTCCCTACAGATAGAATATGAATTCTTTCAGAACGTTTTAGGTTGTGATTGTAAGGGAACGCAATCAGAATGAATTATTTCATGGACTCTTGTAGTGTAACTGAAAGATTTTTACCAAATTCAGATAAAAAAGGTTTTTTCCTGATGTGACTCATGTCACGGACTCTCATGGCATTTTTATGAGTGAAACATTTTCAGCAAAATTTACATAAAAAATGTTATATTATAAATCTGAGGGTACGAATTTACATTGGTTTATCATTCGAATGTGTCATTTCATGACGTCTCATGGAATGGACGCGGGTGAATGATTTTTGACAAAATTTACACGAAAAAGGTTTTTCCTCGGCATGAGTCATTTCATGTAATCTCATGTCAGTACTGCGAATGAAAGTTTTTTGGCAAAATTTACATGAAAAAGGTTTTTCCCCAGTATGAGTCATTTCATGGTGTCTCAAGTCATTGCTGCGAATGAAAGATTTCTGGCAAAATTTACATGAAAAAGGTTTTTCATCGGTATGACTCATTTCATGCACCCTCCTGTGAGTGCTGTGAATAAAAGATTTTTCGCAATATCTACATGAAAAAGGTTTTTCTCCTGTATGAGCCATTTCATGGTTTATCAAGGCATTTTTACGAGTGAAGGATTTTTGACAAAATTTACATAAAAATGGTTTTTCTCTGGCATGAGTCATTTCATGGAGTTTCATAGCACTACTGCAAGTAAAAGGTTTTTGGCAAATTTTACATGAAAAAGGGTTTTCATCGGTGTGTGTCAATTCATGACGTCTCACGGTATTTCTGGAAGGGAACGATTTTTGGCAAAATTTACATGAAAAAGGCTTTTCTCCCGTATGAGTCATTTCATGGTGTTTCATGGAATGTTTATGAGTGAAAGGCTTTTGGCAGAATTTACATGAAAAAGGTTTTTCCCCGGTATGAGTCATTTCATGGAATCTCAGGATACTACTGCGACTGAAAGATTTTTGGCAAAATTTACAGGAGAAAGGTTTGTTCCCACTATGAGTTTTTTCATGTCTTCTCATAACACCTCTGGTAGTGAAAGACTTGTGACAAAATTTACATGGGAATAGTTTCTCCCCAGTATGAATTCTTTTGTGAATTTCCAAGTCTCTATCTTCTTTCGCTCCAGGATCTGCAAAAAAGTATCTTTGAATTTCCAGAATGCTATTACAATATCAATATGAGTCATCACGTTTTTATGCAAATGTGGTTATCATCAAAAATTATTGTTTGGTTCAAAGTTATATTCCAAGTGACTATATATAATTTTGGAAAAAGTATATCGTTTATTTTCTGAAAATTACTTTTTTTTCACCAACGTTTCGCTTCGTTCTTGATATAAATATTACTATATTGCAATTGAATATAAGAGTCAAAGTTGTAGTATACAATTCGCTGCCTTTGCCTTTGAAGGCATCTTTTAGGTTCACAGAAACGTCGTGCTCTTTCAACCAACGTTTTAATTATCCATCTCTTATGAAACGTGAGTTTTTAATGACAATAGAAAGAATGTGGCATTTCTTTTTGATAGCCACATAGTATTTAGTGATGGCATAACAAAATCTATGCATAGAAAAACATACATGTTCATTTATTTTCGCAAATAAACAACACAATCAAACAACGAACCAAACATAACCTAACAAATATTTCTGTACAATTATGTGTGCAAAAGAAAGTACCATTTACTCGTTGAATGAAAAAGTAACTTTTGAAACAGTATTGTTTCTCTTATCTGAAGCAGAGCTAAGTGAAATTTAGTGATAAATTTTACGTTTATCAACTTTTTGTAACATTGCCAACAAATAATAATAAAAACTCTAGTTAAGTGAAATTAAAATTTAGAACATAGTTCAAAAAAGTAATTTGGTGCAATGCAAGTTTTCATTGTGTAAAAACAATTACGAAAGTTGTATAAAGATCCGCAGTATACAATGTGGTTTTTTAATTTCCAGAAGGGAATTACTGAAATGGATGGCTTCAATAGTTTAGAAAATTGATTGTTGTATCTTCGAAAAAGAAAACTGGTGTGTCACGTTAGGATTCAAGATAGAAATAAGCGACAGCAGTGTAACACAATAATTATCAAACTCAAAAAGAACAAGACACAGTGACTCCTCTACAAAAGTGTTTTTCAATGAATATAAAATTACCTTTCTTAATTTTCACTTTATCCTGAGACGGCAAATGCAATTTTAGGCTGCCTTTGTCGTCAGCTGGCTCTACTTCTTCTTTCGTTTTGACTTTGTGAATCTCACCATCACCAAGAACCATTTCCACAGAAAAATATTCGGGCCTATCTAACACATCTTCATCTTTGACTTGGAAATTCTCGCCTTCACAAAGATCCGTTTCCACAGAAAAATATTCAGGCACATCCGATGCATCTTCATCTTTGATTTTAATTTCTGGCTTAATCAGATCTGATACAGAAAAATCTTGGTTCTGTTCAGTATTCTCCACAAGTTCAACCTCTGCATCATACTCTGAAATTTTACATCAACAATCACCTCAAAATACCCAACTGAAGTTTTGAATCCTTACTATCATTTTGTTGAAGATCTTTATGAAGCAATATGTGGTGCTTGCAGTCTGTTCCATTGAAACTATTCCTAGACATTTCATATTCATCCGGATCAATCGATTCTTCTTTAATTTTAGTCTTGCTATCAGCTGGAATGTTATTGCAAAACGTATCATTTTCCTCAAACTCAGACTTGCATTTAATTATATCCATTTTTGAAAGTTCCTAACAAGAGTTGAGCCTGAATATGAAGAAATGTTTTAGAGTGCTAATCAATACGAAATATATACTATTTTATTATTCCCAAATGAATACCCACTCTTTATTACCAATTACCATTAAAATCAACAATCAACCCAAAATTGTTTTAATATTTGACATCTAACACATGAAATTTATAGGTTTTATGGTATTAACAAATTTATGGTTCATGGTCACAGAATACATGATCTATTGGCGTTCCATGTCAGTATGCAATTAGAATATGAAATATATTTCTGATTCAAGTCTTTACACAAAATACCAATATAAATTGTAACAAATATAACAGATCGTAAACGCCCGAAACGAAACTGTTACCTATAATGTAGCTAATAAAATATATTTTCCATGATAACGATTGAATAATTTTCACAAACATATATTAATTTCTAGACGATCAATCCATTCATGATTCATAATAGAATACATATTTAGGAACTCTTTTATGAATTTGATGATACGGAAAGAACAATTATTTAGTAAATAATTTTCAGAAACATTATCAGTGTGACAACCCCGTGAAATTATTTCATTAGTTTCTGAATTTTTTAATGATAAACGTGTTAAATAACAAAAAACCTTTGAGAGTCAATACAATTGGAAGCTAATAATAAAAAAATTAGTTCTTGACCAAAGTCGATGAACCAAATGAAACAATTATCTTTCCTTGTCTAAGGTTGAGATATTCTGAAAGAATCAAAGTGACAATTGACACTAATGACAAAAATATGTTCCTAGCCGCTAGTAATCAGAATTTTTGACAATGGTCGGAGGAAGATGAAAATCACAGAGGGCCTTTAACATTGAATGATTCAATTAGTTGACGATGAAAATATATTTACTAGAAAAACGAATAATTGGGTAATTGTAGATGACCACTCGAATCGTTTGAAACTATGAGATGGGTACAATTTGTATTCTCTAGAATAGGTTCACATTTTGATATAATAAAGAGGAACCTCACTTCCTCAGTATAAATGTGTATCAATATTTTCAGTTCACTGAGCATATTAAATACTCACTTTACTTGGTATACTAAATTTTTAAATGTCTTAACCTGTTTCAACCACGATAGGAAACTGTGTTCCATATCTAACCGGTTTTTGAGTAGAACCACAAAAGCGGTGATTTTAGAAACACCAAAACACATTTCTAGTTATTGTCTGAACATATCTTGAAAATAGTAACCAACTCGGAAAACAATGTGCGACAAAAAAAAGTACATAAATATGGTCAATTTGAAGAAAATCGGCCTCGAAAAGCAATAGATTTTAGTCATTATAGTACTGTGTACACCTTTTCCTTTATAATACTATCAATTTTGCAGAAAAGTTACCAAATTCTATAATTTTTGGGATTTTATTTTATAAATTCACAATTCATAGGCTTTTTGTTAGTATGAATTCTTTGAGGAATGATGAAGTTTTATATTTTTATGCAATATCAATATATATGTATCTCTACCTCTTGAATTGAAAGGTAAAAATTGATACCTCTGACGAAGAACTAATCCAAAACAAGCACTTCTCTCAATCACCAGAACTGCAATACTTCTCTCGACGCGCTTTTCAGTGAATGAAGAAAACATACTCCAACTCAGTTGGTGAAAAAAACTTTCCTCAATAGTATTGTTGAATATAATGACTCCAATAATAGTAATAAATACTTCATACATTCTTTTTGTAAGAAGTAAATATTTGAAAATGTATTTGTACAGTAAATATTTGTTTATTATTGCAAATTTTTCTTGGTATCCACACTTCTATTTCAAACTTAAACGCTGACTTCCTTCCTTTGAAAGTTTCACACATTTTTTATAAGCTATTTCAATAAACAAACAAGAGTTATTGCAGCATATGAAAAAACTTAATAAATTTTAATATAAGTTCCTCCATGATATTTCAAGTGCACTTGCAGGATACTTGCTTCTAACAAAATTTACAACTTATGGCTTTTCTTCACCATGAGTTCGTTGATGATTTTTGAGAGAACTATTTTGAGCAAAAGATTTTTCGCACAATTTACAATTGTATGGTTTTTCTCCAGTATGAGTTCTCTGATGAATTATCATGCTACTTCTACAATTGAAAGACTTCATGCAAAATTTGCAATTGAATGGCTTTTCTCCAGTATGAGTTCTTTGATGAATTTCTAAGCTAGTACTGTGGTTGAAAGACTTTTTGCAAAATTTACAATTATATGGTTTAACTCCAGTATGAGTTCTTTGATGATTTTTCAAGATATGACTATGAATAAAGGCCTTAGCGCAAAATTCACAATTATATGGTTTTTCCCCAGTATGAGTTCTTTGATGTTTCAGCAAAGTACTATTTTGGGAGAAAGATTTTTTGCATAATTTACAACTATATGGTTTTTCCCCAGTATGAGTTCTTTGATGTCTTATTAAGCAACTACGGAACCTGAAAGACTTTTCACAAAATGTACAATTCACAAGCTTTTCCTTAGTCTGAATTATCGTTTTGCCGATTTGAGAAAACGATTTCTTGCAAAAATTTTCTCTTCTACTATCATTGTCATTAATTCCGGAATTCTCAACTGGAAACTCTCCTTTGGAAAATGCTGGAAACGTTTTTTCTTTCTTGAACATTTTTTCATCTTGTATGTTAATGTTCAGTAATGATTCAGATTCTGTAAAAAAGAATCAACTTGTAACAAAACGAAAACTCTCCTTGTCTGTGTGGACGAAATACCGCCGATTATTCAGGCAACCAGTAATTCATCAATTCGTAAGTCTTTAACGGTAACGCTCAGTATCAGAAAGTGTTCAATTCAAATGATAATCTGAGTTAGTTTTTTGAGGCATGTATACATAGGCTATGGAAATATAGAGATCTTATGTCACCAACATCTTCATTATAAAGTGGTGTCTGATAACTTTTTTGTTTTCCCAAATATTATTTTTAGAAAACAATTTTGAATGATATTTAGTTTTTGTGGTACATTTTTGTACTTTACACCTCATACGAAAAAGTGATTCAGCCAGTTTAAATTAATGAAAGGAGATTCTTAGCAAGGATCTCTCGTAAATTAATAAAATTTATAAACAAGCCTTCTCACTTTGGTACTGGGTAAATTTGAAAGAATATGTATTGTATCTTGATTTTGTGAATACAGAGAATGCACAAAAAGAAAGGCATAAAGTATTGTGCTCCGACAAATTCCCATTGGCACTACACTGTTAAACCTCATATTGACAAAACTCTTCTAGTCATTCTGAAAACTCAAATGTAGAACAGATGTGAGAACTCTGTTTAGACAGACATTACCTGTTGTAGTGCCAGACAAAGGGTTGCCATCCTCAGTCATATGACTGCTCTCTGCATCATTAGATTCCGATTGTTCGGACTTGAAAGTTTTATAGGCCAATGAGTATATTGCACTATCGATATTAACATCATCTCCAAATTCACCTGCTGTTTTCCCCTCCATATCTTCATAACAAATATCAAACTCCTCACTTTTGATTTGTTCATGGTGATAAAGTTCAATCTTGGAACCATCCATTTTCAACAAATCTGTTGTACCTTCCCCTTCTTCTTCCTCTTTGATTTCTTTTTTAATATCCTCATAATAAATATCAACGCTTTCTTCACTTTTGATTTGATCACAATTTACCTCTTTTTGTTCTTCAGAGCAATCTAGGATATTGTCATAATTGGTATCCATTGAGAAAGGATTCGAATTGTATTAGTGAAGAGGCTGTGAAAATGTGGAACGTCTGGAAAAGAACATGTGAATTTTGGATATATATTTATTTTTGTTTCCACCAAAACAAAATTATATAGATCTACTGTTAGATATGATATATTAGTACAGCGCGGTTAGTTAAGAATTTTCAGTTGTGCCTACTAAATTATAGAGGAGAAGTGTTCGAAACCGCCCACCATAGACATGATAATATGGACTGAGTGTGTCACTTTTACGTATAATCCACCTGCGGATCACACATGTTTTGGCCACTGCGTCACAGCATTACGTAACAAATCAAAACCCAAAATTTCCACATGGAAATATGCAACATCGTGACGTATTTGACGTTAAGTGTATGAGTGACGTATTGTTAGATGAATCGCTTCGTCTTATTTTAGTTGTTGTAGTCAATGTACTTTCTTCGATTACCAGTCCATATTTATTATTACGTGGCTGGTTCACACCTGTCATTCTTAACTTTTCATTTGTAACCACAGACAGGGTTGCCACTTTAAATACTTAAGTAATAAATCTATTACTTTTGAATATTTTATTCCATTATAATACTCAGATATTATGCTCCTGTACCGTTTAGAGGGTGTGAGAAGCTTCTGAAGGCGACAGTTTCATTATCCCCTTTTGAACTAGTCAGTTTCAAATTGAAGTGAGCTGAAGTTATTGAAAAAAGCTCTGGGACATCAACGAATGTTTCCTCTTTTACAGTTATTTTTGGCTCTCTGAATAAAAAGTCGATATAAACGTGGGTTGCCCGATATTCGAAATCGAGTGTTTCAATTTCTCGAGTCGGTTGCCCAATATTCAGATTCAAGAACTTTCACCTTTCTTTCAAAAAAAAATCTTTCGATTGAAATGTAATTTTTATCAATTCAGGATCAGGGAGAGAATGAAAACTAGTAAACTAAAGGTAGTAAATTTATTAAACTTCTAAAAAGTTCACTAAAAACAAGACATTTTGCTCACTGTCAAATAACATTTTGATAACGTAAATGTGGGTAATGTTGGCGGCTGTGTTGACAAGAAACCTGTGGGCGGCTGAGTTGGTATTTACGGTGAATGGCACATTAGACGTCTCTGGTGAACCAGACAACGGATCAGTATTAAAATTCAATGGAGAGCATATTCGGGCATTCTCTACCCAACTAAAATATTTTCGACATTGCGGTGTTGCCACGTTGCCACTTCCATTAGAATGTAGTAGCAACTTTGATTTTTTAAATGGAACACGTACATAATATTATTTTTGGATCTATAACGTTTTGGATAATAAATATTGACTTAATATAGCAAGAATGGTCCCAGTTAATTAGACCGTAAGTCATAATACAGTGAAGCATTCCATGGTAAGCAGAGATGGCTGCCTCCAAGTTCACTAGCGATTTCATCCCTCTAATTGCAAATATTGCTTTTGCTGACTTGGTTATTAATTGAACTACATGAAGTTTCCAATTCAGATTGGAATCAATATGTCCTAGAAATTTTACGCTCTGAATGGCAATATGCTTGGTATTAAAGACAAGTGTCTGAGTTTTGTGTGTGTTCAAACTTAGTTTGTTTGCCGTGAACCACTCAGTAGCTTGATTGATGATGGATCCTATCATCTCATCGATTCTTGTAGCTAGCTATATTCAATTCTGTTTGCAAAGGCAGAATAATCAGCAAACAATGTTGTTGATGCGTTTATGTTTTTAGGTAGGTCATTTATATTTATCAAACACACAAGCGGTCCTAAAACGCTACCTTGTGGAACACCTTTATGTAATTGTCAGACTTGAACTGCAATGATTATTGCAGTGAATTATTTGGGATCTAGTTTGAAAGTAGGATGTAATCAGTTTTATAGTAGTCAGAAAATCCGTAGAATTTCAACTTATCAATTATTATAGTGTGATTGAGACAGTCAAACTCTTTACGGAGGTCAAGGAAAACTGCTCAAGCTGTAGATTTTCCTTTCCTGAAATCATACTGATGTTCTGATAATCACTAAATTTACAATTATATGGTTTTTCCCCAGTATGAGTTCTTTGATGTTTCAACAAGGTACTATTTTGGGAAAAAGATTTTTTGCAAAATTCACAATTATATGGTTTTTCCCCAGTATGAGTTCTTTGATGAACTAATAAGTGACTATTTCGCGAGAAAGATTTTTTACAAAATTTACAATTATATGGTTTTTCTCCAGTATGAGTTCTCTGATGACGCTTCAAGAAACTACGGTAAGAGAAAGACTTTTTGCAAAATTCACAATTATATGACTTTTTCTTACTTGAGTTACTATCTAGAGGAAATGATGTCATGAACAATAATTGCCAGATTACTCAGCAGGGTTATTATAATTTCAATATTAGAGATATCCGAATTCTTATGATATGAAAAAAGACAAAAGTTCTCAATTATAACCGAGTTCTTGAATTCGTCAATGAGATCACAGATTAAATCATTGTTTCGTACATTCGAAACAAAACTTTTTTATTGGTTGAAATAGTTCATCAGAATTTTTTTGTTGAATTTAACAACTAGCTTTATTCCATTTTTGTTTCAGGTATACCACCATATTTAGTGGAAAAGGTAAAAGTACCAAAACAAAAGCAGAATATTCAAGAATTCAAAATGTTTATTTGTGTACTTGGGCACAGTATACTGTAATTATAAGTATGAATGTATTGTGACTTGGGTTGAAAACAGTAACACTAATGATCCAGGTAAACTCTGAGAACAGATACGAATAATGTATAATTCTAACCACAGCAGGCTATAGTTAGCAAACTGATCAAGTTTCCATATCGAAAATGCTGCACTATGTAGTTTTTTACAAATACAAAAGTTATTAATAAAATATATTTATTCACTGATACACACGACCAGTGAAACAATGTAGAATGCTTATTTATAATATATTCTAGAATCTATCTATATTGTATATGTAAAACCTTTCATTTTTGTAATTTCTTTCTATAGCAGAAACATTTAAAACATAATTAAATTTTTGAATAATTAAAAAACTTCTCCAGAGTATATTTATTGAAAATTTCTCAAATTTTTGTTGGAATCTGGAATAACATCTGATAATATGGATACCTATAGACAGAAAGTGGAACCACATATTACAAAGTAATGCAATTGAATTAATGGCATTTTCTGTATGTTGTCTTGGATTTTGAAATTTCTAGCCTCGTTTCATATACATTAAAGTTACATATTTCAGAATATATAAACCTCTTAGGGTTAATATATTTGCTTTTCTTTGAATGTGCTACAGCTTTCACCATATTTAATGTTGAAAAATAGAGGAATAATTATTTTTTAACTATGAAAGCCATATGGTAGTCAGTTACTTAGCCCCAAGGGACTATATTGTAGGACATAGGTAGGCCAAAGCATAGTATTAGTTTACTAACCTTTTCTCGTCCAGGCATGACTTCATCTGAGAGGTAGCAAAATTGGCTTTGTTCAATTTGGCCAAATATATTCAATATGACAATCAAGAATCTACCAATCCAATTGCATGAATGGCTTTTCTTCTGTACGGGCTCTTTAACGAATTCTTAAATTAATACTATGATCAAGAAACTTTTAGCAAAATTCACTATGATTTTTCTAGTTTGAATTCTTTGGTGAATTTGCAAATTACCTCTTCAATCGACTGGTTTCTCTTCAGTATGACTTTTTTGGTGCTTTTTCAAGTTGCCACTTTGATTGAAAGACTTTTTGCAAATTATACAGTTGAATGGTTTTTCGTTAGTATGAATTCTTTGATGATTTATTAGGTTACACCTGTAAGAGAAAGATTTTTTGCAAATTGTACAGTTATAGGGTTTTTCTCCAGTATGAGTTCTCTGATGAACTAACAAATGTCCTTTTTGAGAAAAAGATATTTCACAAAATTCACAAGTATATGGTTTTTCACCACTATGCGTTCTTTGATGAACTAGTAAGTGTCCATTCTGAGAAACAATTTTGGGAAAAAGATTTTGTGCATAATTTACATTTATATGGTTTTTCCCCAGTATGAGTTCTTTGATGTCTCATCAAGCAACTATGGGACCTGAAAGATTTTTCACAAAATGTACAATTCACGAGCTTTTCCTTAGTCTGAATTCTTTTCTGAACTATCAAGTTGCTAATTTGAGAAGATTTCTTGTCACAAATTTCGCTTCTACCAGGATTGTCATCAATTCTGGAATTCCCAACTGAAACCTCTTCTGTGTAAGAAACTGGTAACGTTTTTTCTTCCTTGAAAACTTGTTCATCTTTTATGTTGATGCACATTGATTCGGATTCTGTAAAAAAGAATGAACCCAAGTAATCAGGGTTTTAAACTTTGTAGTTTCTCACCAGAAATACTGCATATTTGAATTACGATTACAATTTGAATAGGACTCCCAAAATTTTATAGCAAAGATCACAATCAGGAGCTACTTATATTATTTTAAACAAATTTGGATTCAAACTCAGGTACTCTAATGAAAAATAATACTTATAGACTGAAAATGCAATATTGAGTGATATGGTAATCAATGAAAAGCAACTTTTGGACTAGATTGAATTTAGACCAATAAATACATTGCCATGCATGGAGAAAATTCTACATCTGCCAGTGTACTCTCACCTCATTTAATACTTGGAAAATAAACCAAATTCTTTCAAAATACCAATCTGGCGTTTGACAGCATCACTCATGTGTATCTTCAATTCAAGTAACTATTAAAACAATCCATTGATAAGAAAAATATTTTGATATGCAGAGTGCATGAAACAATTGATTTACATTTTTTTCAAGAAAAACTAGGACAAGTTGTCATTCAGGGTAATGTTCTCCAGTGATTAGGAGATTATCTCTAATCGCAAGCAACTCACTAGAATAAATGAGTTGCTTGTAATACTCTATACAGAGTACCTCAATGAAAAGTTCCAGGACCTGTATCATTTATAATTTATATGAACATAGCCACGATTGTAAAATTCCTTGTGAATGATATTACTGTCGATTTTGGATCCCAAACTTTCAAGTGGAAATTAACAAAGTGAATATCTGTTAGGAAAAAAATAAACTCTTACTTGAACGAAAATAAACTCAAACTTAATACCTCTAAAATGAAGAGTATGACTTTATCAATGATTTATAAACTATCCTCAGTTGAGACTTGTGATGCACTGTTTGGAACCTTTGGTGTAGTAATGAGTATTACTGGAGTTTTTTCCCAACACCAAACCGTTATTTTAACACCTCGATACGTGTTTCGACCACCAAGTGATCATCTTCAAGAGGAAGATTAAAAATAACCGTTTGGTGTTCGTAAAATTCTCAGTTAATAGAAATTATTTCGAGTTAATAATGACATAGAATTTGTGAAAGAATTTAAATATTTAGGTTTTATGGTAGATGCCAGTTTGACATTCAATGTTCATTTTGATAACATTTTCAAAAAGATACTGACAAAATTATGGTATTCCATTATTGCTCTAACGATTGTATAGGCATCATTTCTTAGAATATTATTGTGATATATTCAATTTATAGGTGCATGATATAATACAGATATTCACACCATATTGCAAATATTGGTACCCGATACACTTGAAAAAATACGTATTGTGAATACAGATAATTCATAACAAAGGGCATAAAGCATGTGCTAAGACGAGCTCTAATTGATACGACACTGTTAAATCTCAGATTGAAAAACATTTCTCCAGTCTTTCTAAAAACTCAAATTTAGAACATATGAAAGAACTCTATTCAGACAGACATTACCTGGTGCAGTGCTAGAGAAAGGTTTGCCATCCTCAGTCATGTAATTGATCCCTGCATCTTTACTATCATTAGATTCTGATTGATCAGACTTGACAGTTTTGCAGACCAATAAGTCTATTGCACTATCGAAATCGACATAATCTCCAAATTCCCCTGCTTTTTTTTCCTCTATATCTTGATAACAAATATTAAACTCCTCACTTTTGACTTGTTCATGGTGACAAAGTTCAATTTTGAAACCATTCTCTTTCAACAAATCTATTGTACTTTCCCCTACTTCTTCCTCTTTGATTTCCCTTTTAATATCTCCATAATTAATATCAATGTTTCCTCCACTTTGGATTTGTTCACATTTTACCTCTTTCTGTTTTTCAGAGCAATCTTGAATATTGTCATAATTAGTATCCATTGGGAGTGTGTTCGAATTTTATTGTGAACCTCTGCAGTACCGTTATTTAGGAATTTTTGAGTTATGCTTAAACTAGAGAGGAAGTTTTGGCCAAAAAGGACTGAAAGTGCCACTCATTATTACGTCCCTAGTGTATGTCTACCTGTCATTCTCTTCCTATTTTTAACCGAACCTTTGCGCATGAGCAGTCTCCTATTTGTTATCCACAGACAGGGTTGCCATTTTAAATACTTACGTAATGAATCTATTACTATTGGATATTTTAAAATTAGGTACGTTTCCCAAAGCGCAACCTATTACATTTTCATTATTATTTTGCTAATGTTGCCAGAGTCAGAATGCTTCTCGAAATGAAATAACTTCCTTGAGTAGAGAGGTTTCATGGCTATTTTTCAAAATCCTTACAGGTCCCTACATTTCCAAATCGAGTCCAATTAAACACAATTATGTCCGTGTCCAGAATAAAAACACTGTATATCACCTATTTCTCATACAAGATGTAATTTTGAGAATCAACCAGTTTCTACAAAAATTGAAAATATGTTCCAAAAATGTCCACTTCTTGTCCAGAATTTTTGACAGCTGTCACCAGAAAAATTATTATTAAAAAATTACGGTTAATTAATTGTCAACTATGTTAATAATGAGTCAATATATCTCATAGTAAATATGTTCTGAAAGTAACTAGAAATGTGTTTTGGTGTTTCTAAAATTACCGCTATTGTGGTTCTGCTGAAAAACCGGTTAGATATGACACATGGTGAACCATACGTCAAAATACTCACTCGCTACCTCGCAATTTCCCATGTAACGTAGCAGAATCAACTCAACTTCAACATTCGAAACCCATAGTCTTGCTTGCGATAATTCATCGATAATAACGAGACTGAATAACTTCAGATTTGAATAAATCGGTGAATCGATCGCAAACCTTTATTCTCTTGTAGGAATATTGCTCTTGATCAACATCTTATTTCCAGAGTATCGAGTTTGGTCTCATATTTTAAATATAATTGGCGAAATTATTTGCAGCTTCAACATTTTCTAACCAAATGAGCAAAATAACCTCCTCACATAAACTAAATAAAAGCTGTATTATGATGACATTATAAAAAAAAACATTTTCTCAAAGAAAGTTTCACAAAATTAAAGACAGTCAAGTACAAAAAAACTATAGTATGGTATAACCTCTACCATGAACAACTACTATAATCACCAAGTTACTAATAGCCAAGCACAGTAGATCTCCAACCTCAGTAGCACACCATTCCGGACACAGATTTGCAAGCTGCAAGTCCCCCGACGAAGCTTCTATTATGAACAGGCAGGGCATTGGTCATATACGCCTGAAGATGGAAGCAACGACCATCCAAAACGTAGAGAGAGAGAACTACAATTATATGCGTTGTGTGGTAAAACCATTGGGAATATTTCAAATCAGTTGGCAAACTGATCCAAGTTTTCATATAGAAAATGCTGCACTAAGTAGTTTTCTACAAATACAAAAGTTATGAATAAAATGTATTTATTCACCAATATAACATATAATGTACACATTGCAAGTCAAACAAACAATGTAGAATGCTTATTCATAATGCACATTTTTGTATATTGTTTCTTAGGGTTAATATATTTGCTTTTCTTTCAAAATGCTATAACTTTTGGGCTATAAAAATCATATGCCACTTAGTCGATTGACCCCAAGAGCAAGTATATTCAATATGAGATGAGAAATCAGAGTTTTGAAACGATTAAGGTACCAAAAAGGTCGACATTTGGATTTTCATCAAGTATCGACCAATTTTATCGCATAAATGGTTTTTCTTCAGTACGATTTCATTGATGAATTTTCAAATTGATACTGTGATCAACAAACAGATTCTAAACAAAATTTACTATACTGTTTGAATTCCTTGATGAATTTGCAAATTACCTCTTTAACTGTTAGATTTTTGGCAAACTCGACAATTAATTATTTTTTCTCCAGTATGACTTTTTTTATGCTGTTTCAAGTTCCCACTTTGAAAGATTTTTTGCAAATTGTAGATATAGGGTTTCTCTCCAGTATGAGTTCTTTGATGAACCAACAAGTGTCAACGTTGAGAAATAGATATATTGCAAAATTTCAATTATATGGTCTTTCTCCAGTATGAGTTCTATGATGTTTTTTCAAGGTACTAGAAGATTTTTGCAAAATTTACATTCATATGGTTTTTCTCCTGTATGAGTTCTCTCATGAGTTTCCAAATTACATCCCTGTTATGAAACATATTGACACTGTTTGTAATGGTTTTTCAACCTGTTATAGTCATTATTATGCTTTGAATATGGATTATTTTGATGGATTCATATAAACATTGGTAAAAAAACATAACATACAATGTCATTATAATGTTTTATCCTTTGTTTTTTTACAATTATATGGTTTTTCTCTAGTATGAACTCTTTGATGAATTATCATGCTACCCTTTCGACAAAAAGGTCTTTTGCAAAGTTCACAATTATATGGTTTTTCTCCAGTATGAGTTCTTTGATGAGCTAACAAATGTCCTTTCTGAAAAAAAGACATTTCACAGAATTCACAATTATATGGTTTTTCCCCAATATGAGTTCTTTGATGAACTAGTAAGTGACCTTTTCGCGAGAAAGATTTTTTACAAAATTTACAATTATATGGTTTTTCTCCAGTATGAGTTCTCTGATGACGCTTCAAGAAACTACGGTAAGAGAAAGACTTTTTGCAAAATTCACAATTATATGACTTTTTCTTACTTGTTTTATAGGTTGAAATACAAGAAATCATATAAGCGATTTTTTTAGGAGAATGTTAAAATCACCATTGTACTAGATACCCTCTCAAATGGTGGAATACCAATTTTCATAAAAAAATATTCAATATTAATAATTTTGTGGTCGAATCAAAGAACATTTTATTATGAATTAAATGAATGAATTCAATCTGATCAATTAATCATCATTGGACAGATTAAACAATATTCAACAGAAATAGGAATGAACACTCATCAATTTTTTGTTGTTTCAACCAATCCTTCATTCATTGCAATGTACTTGTCAATGTTGAAATGGATCCTTCCAGAAAATCCGTATCACATAGAGAGAGCTATCTCGTATCAGCAACATTTTTTGAATTCAGAGAATGCACTAAATGGAGGCACAAACGAGTTCTGATTGGCATCACACTGAACCAATCTTAGATAGAATAACACTTCTCTAGTCGTTCTAAAAACTAGAATACTGTAGGCAGGAGAAATAAAGAACAATTTTCATCAATTATCAAGTATGCTGTTTACAATTGTCAGTAATATGTTGCCATCTGAACATCTCTGTTTAAGTACTTGTAGAATATTTTGTACTTTCCCATTCTTCCTCTTTGATTTCTCTCTTAATATCTCCATAATAAATATCAATGCTTTCTTCACATTTAATTTGTTCATCGCATTTTACCTCTTTCTGTTTATCAGTGCAATCATAGTAATTATCATTACTGATATCCATTGAGAGCTTATTCAAGATTTTTTGTTTAAGAAACAGGAAAGTAGGAATCAGAAATGATATACAATTGACTCCTCAAGAGGACTGGCCCTTCCTCCATTGAAGAAAGAACCAGCGTTGCCAACTGGATGAACTATAAAGTCGCTACACATGGAATAAAATTCCGCTACACTGCTTCATAAATACACCAAACAAATTGTAAAATACTAACCAAAATATGTGAATATACGTGTACTACTACTACTTCATATTCCTCTACGCTTGTATATCTGACGGTCAGTTCGCGCATGCGCCCTATCCAAAATTAAATTCCACAGAACTCATAGTATGTGTACCGTACAAATACCACAAAACTAAACTAATGTCTGGAATCAGTATCACGCTAATTTTCAACCGCGCAATCGGTAGGTGGTACCTAATTTTGTAAATTTACAGCAGTTAATTTTTGAAAGCTATTGTTTCAACCAAATATTTGTTAGCTTGAAATAATGATTTTGAAAAGTAAAAATGAATATCTATTTGTTTACGTACGTATAGTCACACTGAGCTCTCGAACGATCATTCGTGACAGGTCTAATCCATCCTTTGAAGTAGGAATCAGACAACCAACGGTGAGAAAAAGTTTGTTTTCGAGACTTTTTGTCGAGGCAATCAAGACTTTTAGTTTAAAGATATTAGAGGTTATATCACAGCATAGGTGAATATGTTACCTATGCTGTGACTATGTAGTTTTCTACAAATACAACAGTTATGAATAAAATGTATTTATTTACCAATATAACAAATAATGTACACATGGCAAGTCAAACAAACAATGCTTTTTCATAATACACATTTTTGTATATTGTTTCTTAGGGTTAATATATTTGCTTTTCTTTCAAAATACTACAACTTTTGGGCTATAAAAATCATATGCCACAAAGTCGCTTGACCCCAAGAGCAAGTATATTCAATTTGAGATGAGAAATCCAAGTTTTGAAACGATGAAGGTACCAAAAAGGTTGATATATGGATTTTCATGGCATAAATGGTTTTTCTTCAGTACGATTTCATTGATAAATTTTCAAATTGATACTGTGATCAACAAACAGATTCTAAACAAAATTTACTATACTGTTTGAATTCCTTGATGAATTTGCAAATTATCTCTTTGACTGTTAGATTTTCGGCAAACTCAACAATTAAATATTTTTTCTCCAGTATGACTTTTTTTATGCTGTTTCAAGTTCCCACTTTTATTGAAAGATTTTTTGCAAATTGTAGTTATAGGGTTTCTCTCCAGTACGAGTTCTTTGATGAACCAACAAGTGTCAACTTTGAGAAAAAGATATATTGCAAAATTTACAATTATATGGTTTTCCGCACTATGACTTTCCTGATGAACTAATATGTCTCCATTTTGAGGAAAAGATTTTTGCAAAAATTTACAATTATATGGTTTTTCTCCAGTATGAGTTCTATGATGTTTTTTCAACATACTAGATTTTTGGCAAAATTTACATTCACATGGTTTTTCTCCTGTACGAGTTCTCTCATGAGTTTCCAAATTACATCCCTGTTATGAAACATATTGACACCGTTTGTAATGGTTTCTCAACCTGCTATAGTCATTATTATGCTTTGAATATGGATTATTTTGATGGGTTCATATAAACATTGGTAAAAAAGATCATAACATACAATGTCATTATAATGTTTTATCCTTTGTTTTTTTACAATTTATATGGTTTTTCTTTAGTATGAACTCTTTGATGAATTATCATGCTCCCCTTTCGAGAAAAAGGTCTTTTGCAAAGTTCACAATTATATGGTTTTTCTCCAGTATGAGTTCTTTGATGAGCTAACAAATGTCCTTTTTGAAAAAAAGACATTTCACAAAATTCACAACTATATGGTTTTTCCCCACTATGAGTTCTTTGATGAACTATTAAGTGACTTTTTTGCGAGAAAGATTTTTTACAAAATTTACAATTATATGGTTTTTCTCCAGTATGAGTTCTCTGATGACACTTCAAGAAACTACGGTAAGAGAAAGACTTTTTGCAAAATTCACAATTATATGACTTTTTCTTACTTAAGTTGCTATCTAGAGGAAATGATTTTTTACAAACATTTTCACTTGTTTCAGAGTTTTCAAAAATCGTGGATTTCTCAACTGGGAACTCTTCTGTGGAAAAATCGGATAACATTGTCTTTTCCTCTTTGAAGATTCTTTTGTCTTGTTTGTTGTTAGGGGATAGTTTTGATTCAGTATCTGTAAAAAGGAATAAAACTATAAATAACTCAGTGTTGAAAATGAGTAGGAATTTAAAATTTTCATCATAATAGAAGTGCAGAGATGCACTGAAACATACAATGGAGTTCACTCAATTGATATATACTTTGCCCCAGAAAAAATGGAGCTACTGAAATTTTCGAAAAATAATACTAAATGGTATGTACAATAGGACAAACAGTATCTGTATCCAGATATGGAACAGTATCAGTATCCACGTGTTAGGAATCACACTTTGAAAGGTAAGACTTTAATAGTCCTTAGTTTGCACAAGGTTTGACTCCCGAGGGTTATCATTCATAGGGGTGCGATAGCCGGTTAACGAAAAAAAAAAACATTTAAATATTGTATGTTTGGATAAAATTGTTCAACGTATGTCTATACTTCTGCAGATATAACTTTACACTGTATTTAGGCTATTTTAAAGCGATTTATACATTATATGTATGAATGTATATACAGTATGTCCCAATTGAAAACGAGACACCTCCCTAAAATTTGCATCTGTACTGTACTTTGGGATCAAATATCATCATATTGTTTCTACAAAAACTAAGGCCTGCTGTGAATAGTTTTATAGGTTGAAATACAAGGAATCATATAAGCGATTTTAAACAATTTTCATCAATTATCAAGTATGCTGTTTACAATTGTCAGTAATATGTTGCCATCTGAACATCTCTGTTTAAGTACTTGTATAAATAGCAGAAAAAGAATTACCTATTGTAGTGCCAGAGAAACAAGGGTTCCCATCATCAATGATGTATTTGCTTTCTGAATTAGTTTCGGGCTTGACAGTTTGGTAGGCCAATGAGTCTATTCTAAGAATATCAACATCATATCCAAATTCTTCTACTTTTGTCTCCTTGATATCTTCGTAATAAATATCAATCTTCTCATTTTTAATCTGTTCATGGTGACAATGTTCAATCTTGAAACCACCACCTATCAACAAATCTTTTGTACTTTCCCCTTCTTCCTCTTTGATTTCTCTCTTAATATCTCCATAACAAATATCTATGCTTTCTTCACATTTTACCTCTTTCTGTTTATCAGTGCAATCATAGTAATAATCTTTACTGATATCCATTGAGAGCTTATTCAAGTTTTTTTGTTTAAGAAACAGGAAAGTAGGAATCAGAAATGATATACAACAATTGACTCGTCAAGAGGACTGGCCTAAGATGTTAGGAATCTTAGACTGGCCCTTCCTCCATTGAGAAATAACCAGTGTTGCCAACTGGATGAACTATGAAATATAAAATCATCGTCTATAGATCTACTTAGACAATGATAAAGTCGCTACACATGCTACACATGAACAAAATTCCGCCACACTGCTTTATATTTCTCTACGCTTGTATATCTGACGAAGTCAGTTCGCGCATGCGCCCTATCCAAAATTTAATGCCGCAGAACTTATAGTTTGTGTACCGTACAGATACCACAAAACTAAACTGTCACTAATGTCTGGAATCAGGATCATGCTAATTTTCAACCGCACAACTCAGTAGGTGGTACCTAATTTAGTAAATTTACAGCAGTTAATTTGTGAAAGCGATTGTCTCAACCAAATATTTCATAGCTTGAAATAATGATTTTGAAAAGTAAAAATGAATATCAATTTGTTCACGTACGTATAGTCACACTGAGCTCTTGAACGATCATTCGTGACAGGTCTAATCCATCCTTTGAAGTTGGAATCAGACAAACAATGTTGAGAAAAAGTTTGTTTTCGAGACTTTTCGTTGATGCAATCAAGACTTTTAGTTTGAAGATATTAGAGGTTATATCATAGCATAGGTAACTACGTTACCTATGTATGTAGTTTTCTACAAATACAAAAGTTATGAATATAATGTAGTTATTCACCAATAACATATAATGTACACATGGCAACTCAAAACAACAATGTAGAATGCTTATTCATAATGTACATTTTTTGTAGATTGTTTCTTAGGGTTTGCTTTTCTTTCAAAATGCTACAATTATTGGGCTATAAAAAGCATATGCCACTAAGTCGCTTGACCCCAAGAGCAAGTAAATTCAACATGAGATGAGAAATCCGAGTTTTGAGTCGTTTAAGTTACCAAAAAGCTTGACATTCGGATTTTCATCAAGCGTCGACCAATTTTATCGCATAAATGGTTTTTCTTNATAGTTTCGATTCAGTATCTGTAAAAAGAAATAAAACTATAAATAACTCAGTGTTGAAAATGAGTAGGAATTTAAAATTTTCATCATGATAGAGGTGCAGAGATGCACTGAAACATGCAATGGAGTTCACTCAATTGATATATACTTTGCCCCAGATAAAATGGAGCTACTGAAATTTTCGAAAAATAATATTAAATGGTATGTACAATAGGACAAACAGTATCTGTATCCGGATAAGAAACAGTATCAGTTTCCGCATGTATTGTATTGTTTGAATAACATTGTTTATTTTGAATTGTAGAACTCAAAAATCCGTACTTTAGGACCAAATATCATTTTTCCTCTACAAAAACCAAGGCCTGCTGCAAATATTTTTGTAGGTTGAAATACAAGAAATCGTATAAGCGATTTTTTTAGGAAAAATTTAAAATCACCCATTGGACTAGGCACCCTCACAAATGGTGGTATACCAAATTTCATAAAAAAATATTCAATATCGGTCGTGGTCGTATCACCAATCACATTGTATCATGATCAAATGTTAACTGCACACCTCTTAAATAGTTGTAAAATCTTGGTGAGTTGGCCGTGAAACACCATGCGGATATGCAAAATCGCGCATACATGTTTTTAAAGTGAAAAGTACCACCCTTATAAAGTACACTCAGTATAACGAAAACAATCCAAATAGCAGAATTTTCAGATATATCCTTTAAACAAAACTGTTTTTGGGCGAATCACCCTTTTTTTGTTAATGGGACCATCGACAGACAAATATGATGACATCAAGAGAAAGAAAATTTCCATTGGATAATGGAGGCCAACAATCAATATCCCAAAAAAGTTATTGTTTGGTAGGGAACGAACCATTAAACGGCGAACAATTCTCGGAGTTTTTGCATATTTTCTCAATTACAATGCAGAAAAGGATCCCTCTAGAAAATCCGTATCAAACAGATAGGGATATCTCATATCAGGAACATTTTTTGGATTCAGAGAATGCACAAAAAGAAGGAGGAAACTAGTTCTGATTGGCATCGCAGTGGTACAATCTTAGATTGAAGAACACTTCTCTAGTTGTTCTAAAGAAGACTATAGACGAAAGAAATACAGAACAATTTTCATCAATTATCAAGTATACTGTTTACAAGTATCAGTAATATGTTGCCATCTGGACATCTCTGATTAGGTACATGTATAAATCGCAGAAAAAGAATTACCTATTGTAGTGCCAGACAAAGAAGGGTTCCCATCCTCAATCATGTATTTGCTTTCTGAATTAGTTTCGGGCTTGACAGTTTCATAGGCCAATGAGTCTATTCTAAGAATATCAACATCATGTCTAAATTCGTCCCCTTTTGTCTCCTCGATATCTTCGTAATTAATATCGATCTTCTCATTTTTAACCTGTTCATGGTGACAATGTTCAATCTTGAAACCACCACCTTCTAACGAATCTTTTGTACTTTCCCCTTCTTCCTCTTTGATTTCTCTCTTAATATCGCCATAATAAATATCAATGCTTTCTTCACATTTAATTTGTTCATCACATTTTACCTCTTTCTGCTTATCAGTGCAATCATAGTAATGGTCATTACTGATATCCATTTGAGAGCTAGAAATAGAATATTGGAGCCTCTGGAGACACCTTACATTTTGTTTTATAAGAGAGAGGACATTGTTAGATCAAGATCTTCAGATGATGTGGTGCTGCAGGTTTTTTCGGTTTTCCTGCAGCTGAAAAAGCAAATGCGCCACTGAAATCAATGAAGTCGGCCCGGAGCGCCAATTAATTTTTATTTTATTTTTATCGTTGTTTCAATAAAATATATCTAGAAATAGAAAACTAAAACCCAGAAATGACGTGCTACAATCAGTGACTCCTCAAATGGACTGATCATTGAAGAAAGAACACTGACTGCACAACTAAAAAAGGATGGGGAGATCAACAGGACCACTTATGACGTAATACAAGCACGACTTTGGTACAGCGACGAAATTGTGATTTGCAGTGGTTTGTACGTAAAAGTGTCTGATGTCAGCAAAAGAGTTCAATTCATCGATGACACATCAATTCATGTTGTAAGAAATGTTTTGAGATTAAGTTCAATACCATAAGAATAAAAAACAATTACCCTACTATTACCGTCTAAATTCAATGCTGATGACGTCATTGGTAGACATTTCGTCTACCATCGACATAACCTTTATCTGTCGGTAGTACAATCCATGTACAAGGTAGCACGGCAAGTCATTTATTGACATTACAATTGACCTTGAGGATGGCGACATTAGATAATTGCGCCATCATCATTCCGAATTTTGCTGTTTTCTGCGGAATTTTTCAGAAATACAGTTAACATGTGATATATGAGTAAGCAAAAAAAAACTCAGACACAAAAGTATGAGACATAATTTGAATTGAAAGGGTTATATTTTTAGGAGTGATTAATTTTTTGTATCAGATGGAGTAGTAGAAAGCCAAAAACTTTCTTTCCCAAAAAATATGAGACATAACTAATAGAAAATAAATGCCAATTCCACAAATCTAGGATGCGTTTGAATTCACTATCCACGAATACGACTTATGAACCAAATGTGCGGCGTTACTAAGGAAAATATACTTAATATATAAACGGAAATAAACTAATATTTGACAATAATTGTACTTTTGAAAAAAATGGAGGTTCCCAGAAAACAATGATTCTAAACTATCATCTATTGCAAACTTTTCAGATATGGGGGGAAGATGAATTGCATCAAACAAAAAGGCCCCTCTTCTGTCTATCTGGCAGACCTGTTAATAATTCAGAGAATGGGTATAACTCCCTCGTCGGGTACTTGAGGCCAGAAAAACTTATAATTCACTTTAGGAGACATTCTTAAAAATGCAATTTCAACATTTTGGTTTTCTGTCATCATTGGAAATAACTTTTCCTACATAGTGATGGACCAGAGCTTTCACTTCAAACTGAACCAAATAAAATTTATTTAGTTTTATATCTCCAACATATTCTGAGGGTGCTTCATCTATAATGAACGCCTTCAAAGTAACCCTGAAAACGATATCTAAGCCCATTGTTCTCATAAAAAATTAAAAAAAAAAGTGTGTTGAAATATATCAAATTTCTTCAATATAGCTTTACTATGATAATGTATTGTAGCAAATATATTTAATAAACATGTAATGTAAATACTTAAGACTACAGCAACACAAGTTAGCAGACCTCATCGAACATCAGTTTTGTAGGTAAGAAATGACATATCAGGATTGCCAACCTCACAAAAAGTATTTAAATACCAGTGTTGCTATACCACTCCTAAATGTGTGACGAATTGAGTGGCGACAACTAGATGTCGCTAAACCTATAATAAAGCTGCGTTCCCACGGGGCAAAAATACGAAATCGTGCCACTCTTTCGTCCTCACTGTCTTGGCTCACGACTGGAGTAGGGATAGGCAGCGAACCAGCTGAGTGTCGTGGACAGTTCACACACAGTCACATTCACGATTCAGTTTTCCTTGCGAAGCCGACCGCGATGAACGAGCTCCTAGTTGAAAGTTGTGCAGTTTTGTGTTCAACCTTCAGTGCTATTTTAGGTGAATTTTTTGTATCAGATGGAGTAGTAGAAAGCCAAAAACTTTCTTTCCCAAAAAATATGAGACATAACTAATAGAAAATAAATGCCAATTCCACAAATCTAGGATGCGTTTGAATTCACTATCCACGAATACGACTTATGAACCAAATGTGCGGCGTTACTAAGGCCGAATTGTCACAGATCCGATAATGAACTATCAAATGAGGTGTTTTTGATGTTTTAATCTGAATGATTGTCTTATAAACAGGGAGGAAAATAAAATACGTAATTCATCCACATTTTCTATCAATTGGAGAATTATGTAATTCATCAACATTTTTTTTTTCTATAATTATAATCTATATCCTAATTTTTCCAAGTTAACAATTATATGGTTTCTCTCCAGTATGAGTTCTTTGATGAACAGTCAAGTAACTATTGCGAATGAAAGACTTTTCACAAAATTGACATTCAAATGGTTTTTCTCCAGTATGAGTTCTTTGATGGTTAATCAAGGAACTACTTTTAGAATAAGATTTTTTACAAATTTTACAATTATATAGTCTCTCCCCAGTATCGGTTTTTTGATGAATTGTCACGTTACTATCTTGAGAAAATGAGTTTTTGCCCAAATATTCTCCAGTACCAAGGTTTTCATGAACCCTGGAATCCTTAACTGAAAACTCTTCTCTAGAAAAAGTGCTAAATGTCTCTTCATCTTTGAATTTTGTCTCGTATTGTTTGTTAAGAAAAAGTATTGATTGCGTCTCTGCAAAAAAAACATAATTACTCAGGGTTTAATACTATATAGTTGAGATACAATCCAATAAGACTTTGAAATGGTCACGAGAATAGAGGACCTACAGTATGGAAAAAGTGTTTTATTAGATGTATCAAGGAAATTTGAAAATAAAGCGAATCAAAGAAAAACTATTGTAGATTTTCATAACTATTTTCTTTTTATGTGATATCGCCGCCGCTGTGTTGACAGATTTCAAACAAACTGTTCAAAATCATCGTAGCTGTTTCAGGCTCGCTATCTGAACGATCCCCAAACAGTCAAAAGCAGTTGCAGGGTTGAGATTTGGAAAGTTTTGCTGGAGTCTACTCTCAATATCAGCTGAATAACTATTTGGCCAATACTTGATGATAATCCATGTGTTACATATTCAAGTAAGACTTTGTGAAGTTTTCACTTAACAGTTTACAAAATCGCAACACATGTTTTATTATTCTGTAGACAAAAATTTCAGGTAAATGATGAAATCTCTTTTGCTAGATAAAGCTAGATACACTCAACAAATTTTATGGGACACATACCTATTTGAATTACAGAAAAAATATTACCTGATGTAATGCCAGAAAAAGAAGTGTTCCCATCTTCAATCATATAACTATTCCCTACATTAGATTCAGTTTGTTCGGACTTGAGTGTTTTGAAGGCAAATGAGTCTAGGGGACTATGGATACTAACATCATGTCCAAATTCTCTAATTTCTTTCACATCGGAATTTCCATAATAAATATCAATTTCATCCTCACTTTTCACTTGTTTCTGTTGACTAAGTTCAACCTTGGGACTATTCAATTTCAACAAATCTGTTGCAATTTCCCCTATTTCTTCCTCTTTGATTTCTTTCTTAATATCTTCATAATAAATATCAATGCTTTCCTCACTTTTAATTTGTTCATCACATTTCACCTCTTCCTTCTTTTCAGAGCTATGACCATTGGTATCCATTGAAATTTGACAGCTTAGTTGAATTTTATTATTTAGAATTTACACTCTACCAATCCATGTTTCTCAACCTCCAGCCACCGGGACACAGAATAGTGAAAATGTAACAATTACTCTGAGTAAAAATGTAAACAGGGCGTATGTTCCGTTAATCGCCCAGACTCACCGGACTGGTAACTACTTTTCAGTTTATGGTTAAGATAAGATATTTATTGACCTTTAAAAATTACAAAAAATGTTTATGTGATAAATTCACAACATAATTGTGTAGGTACGTAAAGACTGAGGTGTAGATATAAAAATGTATATAAAAATCATATCATTGGTAATGATTTCTGACAATTAGTGTCCGACTGAAAGTTCGGTTTCGGTCGAGTCTCGGCAAAAAAACGGGTTTATGTTTCAGCGGCAAATCTGTCGAAACTACGACCGAAACTGCATTCGGGAGTTGCCGCGATGTGATCGGTCATGTTCGGCTGGTTGAAATTCATACAAGTGATGTTAGTTAACAACTCAAATAAGTAATTTTATGTTTAATATTTTTGAAAACACATCAATAATATTTAAAAGAAGGATTTACATCTACTCAAATAATCACAGGTGTCAATGTACACAATTACGTACATCCACAGGCGTCTCTGCGTTGTACATCAACGACTGTGGATGCTATTGTACGAGTATACCATAAGTCGCGTATTTTTTTTTATACCTTTCAAATCATTGTTTGTCATTTCTTACCGAATGAGAAATATTCACAAAACATTGTTTAATATTTGAATAGGTATACAATTTCTGCAGAGTATTTTTTATTAAAAATTTCTCAACTTCACATTTGAATTTGGAATAATAGCTGGATTCCTACAGACAGGAAATGGAATGGAACAAAGTAATGCAGTTGAAAAAAAAGAATTTTATTTATGTTTTGTTTTGAATTTTCAAATTTGTAGGGAGTGTATTGTAGGATATATGACTGTAGTCCAAAACATAGAATAAGTTTACCAAGTTAACAATCTAATTAGAACCCATAAGTGAAATACTGTGGTTCAAGTATCTGCACACTGCCAATTCTATTAGAATTCTACAGTATATGTTTTTTCATTATTATTATATGAATGTATCACTGTATAATATACTACTCTATTACTCTGCTGATTTTATATGCTAATCGTTATATTCCATTGTACTCATACTTAGTCATAGCTGTAAACTTAATTATATTTGTCTTGTAATTGGGATTACTCCTGTAATGGCATGGCCATGGCATAAGTGGTTTTTCTTCAGTAAGAGTACTTCGTTATTGATTTGGTAGTAATATGTTGTCATCTGAACATATCTGATTGGGTATATTTAAGAATCACAGGAAAAGAATTACCTATTGTAGTGCTAGAGAAAGAAGGGTTCCCATCCTCAATCATGTACTTCCTAACTGAATTAGATTCGGATTGTTCGGACTCCACAGTTTTGAAGGCCAATGGGTCTATTCTTAAAATATCAACATCATGTCCAAATTCTTCAACTTTTTTTTCCTCGACATCTTCATAATAAATATCATTGAATAAGTTTTCAAATTGATACTGGGATCAAGAGACTTTTAGCAAAGTTTACTATTACTTCTCTACAGTTTGAATTCTTTGATGAATTTGCAAATTACCCCTCTGACTTATAGATTTTTGGCAAACTTAAAAATCGAATGGATTTTCTCTGGTGTGACTTTTTTGATGATTTTTCAAGGTCCCTCTTTGATTGAAAGACTTATTGCAAATTTTACAGTTAAATGGTTTTTCGTTGGTATGGATTCTTTGATGAGTTATTAGTGTATCTCTGAGAGAAAAAGATTTTTCGCAAATTAAACAGTTATAGGGTTTTTCTTGCTCCCCCGTATGAATTCTTTGATGACCTGACAAATGTCCACTTTGAGAAAACGATTTATTGCAAAATTTACAAATATATGGTTTTTCCCCAGTATGAATTCTTTGATGACTTACCAAGTTACTACTTATACTGAAAGACTTTTTGCAAAATTCACAAATATATGGTTTTTCTCCAGTATGAGTTCTTTGATGATATTTCAAGCTACAACTATAACTGAAAGTTTTTCCGCAAAATTCACAATTATATGGTTTTCCATTAGTATGAGTTCTTTGATGATCTTTTAAGATATTACTTCGATTAAAAGCCTTATCACAGAATTTACAATTATATGGTTTTTCCCCACTATGAGTTCTTTGATGAGCTAATAAGTCTCTATTTTGAGAAAAAGACTTTTTGCAAAATTTACATTTATATGGTTTTTCTCCTGTATGAGTCATATGATGTCTTTTCAAGTTACTACTATTACTAAAAGTTTTTCCGCAAAATTCACAATTATATGGTTTTTCGCTAGTATGAGTTCTTTGATGCTCTTTCAAGATATGACTTTGATTAAAAGCCTTATTACAAAATTCACAATTATATGGTTTTTCCCCTGTATGAGTTCTTTGATGTCTCATCAAGCAACTAGGAAACCTGAAAGACTTTTCACAAAATTTACATTTCATGAGCTTTTCCTCAGTCTGAATTCTTTTCTGAATTATCAAGTTGTCAATTCGAGAAGATTCTTTGCCAAAATTTCCTCTTCTACCAGGATTGTCATCAATGTACAGTAATGATTCGGATTCTGTAAAAAAAAATAAACTCAACTAATCGAATTCAAATTACAATTTGAATAGGACTCTCAAAATTTCCTAGCAAATGGAAGATCTGAGAACACAAACAGGTTAACTAAAGTGATATGAACTCAATTCTAGAAGATAAGGAGCTACTTATATATTCAAACTCAGTGACTTCAATGAAAAATAATACTTATAGATACTGAAAATGTGATATCGATTGATATGGTATTAATCAATGAAAAGCAACTTTTGGACTAGGACTCATATAAAGGTAGGCCAACTGCAGGCAAAGGCTACTTAGCCTTTGTCAGTATGGTACAGCAAAGTGTAAAAGACAGGCAACACTTGGTCGCCGAGCGGATTCAACTTCAGGGGCCAACTGCCGAGGTAGCATCATCGGAAAACCTTGTGATTACGGGTGCAGCTATAGCAACTTTTGTGACATCCAGGTTTATGGTTTTTTTATCTTGGACCCCGATCTAGCAGGGAGAATTGACTCGTTAGGAAAACTTTGAGTGTGTTTTTAAAACAATTGACAATTTTTTTCAGAAAAACTAGGTCTAGTCATGATGAATAATGATTCATTATTTCATATATTCATCATTCACATAACAATAACAGAAAACTGTTTGGATATTGCTACGGGTATTTTAATGTGTATAACTCTTATTTGTCAAACTTCACATTTCTTGGAAATTAAAAAAAAAATCTCTCATTTTACTTGAACAACATGCTCATATATACAGTTTGACACTGAAGATGGCAACAGAGTTTTCATGAAATGTGGATTTCTCAACTGGGAACTCTTCTCTGGAAAAAGTAGAGAATGTTGTTTTTCTCTTGGAAGATTGGCATTTAAATTGTGACTTAATGGGTATGTGTTTTTATGCCCAACTGTCAGGGGATACCTTGCAATCATATAATGTTACAAAAAAAATCAAAGTTCGATACTACGTGTTTTCACAGTGAAAAGTACCATCCTTATAAAGTAAGGACACTTGGTATAACAAAGATTATCCAAATAGCAGAATTGTGGAATATATCGTTTTAAAAAAATTATTGTTTTCCAAAGAGTCAACTCCTTTTTTTAATGGAACAATTTAAGACAAAACTGTCGATATCGGAGGAAAAAAAAATCCATTGGAAAAAGTTGTTTGGCAGGGGGCGAACCATTTAACAGTGAACGTTACTCGGAGTTTTTGCATATTTCTTCAATTCTAATGCTGAATAGGATTTTTCCAGATGATTCGTATCAAATAGAGAGAGAGATATCTCATATCAGCAACGTTTTGTTTAATTCAGAGAATGCACTAAAAGATGGCACAAACGAGTTCTGATTGGCATCGCATTGGTACAATCCTAGATAGCAGAACACTACTCCAGTTGTTCTAAAAACTTGCAAAGACTGTAGGCAAGAGACAAAACAATTTTCATCGATTATAAAGTATGCCGTTTACAAGTCTCAGTAATATGTTGTCATCTGAACATATCTGATTAGGTATATTTAAGAATCACAGGAAAAGAATTACCTATTGTAGTGCTAGAGAAAGAAGGGTTCCCATCCTCAATCATGTACTTCCTAACTGAATTAGATTCGGATTGTTCGGACTCCACAGTTTTGAAGGCCAATGGGTCTATTCTTAAAATATCAACATCATGTCCAAATTCTTCAACTTTTTTTTCCTCGACATCTTCATAATAAATATCAAATTATTTCGAAAGAGATGTAAACTCCACGGCCGTTGTTCGAAGAGAAATGTCCTCTCAATAAATTAATAGATGTAGCTAGGTTTTGCCGTGGTTTTCTTTGTTACAATCTCTATACGGTTCAACTACAACTGCGGCATTCGTCTTCAGTGGCGTGGATGAAGTACTCTTCTTGAAGTATCAATTGAAATATACGTTAAGAAGAGTACTTCGACCACGCCACTGAAGATGACTGTCAAAGTTGCAGTCGAAACGTTTTGAGATTATAACCAAACGCTAGTTGCACACACACCGATTTTTGACGGCCAGTATAAAATCGGCCGATATTTTATTGGTAGAGGGTGCTTGCACGCTCACCGGATTTTTATCGGTAAAACAATCAGTTGCTTTGTTTTCGTAATTAGCACGTACTACCAAAACGAAGTTAATGCGTAGTAACTACAATTTCAACGAGCATTCGAGACTGGAATGGTCGGTAAAAAACCGATGAGTATGCAAGAGTGTATTTAGTCATGTACGCCACTACTTCCCGGTACTGCCACTGCAGTAACGTTGGTTACAAATACAAAGTGTTCTAAAAACATAAGAAGTTTCATTTTTCATTTTTTTAAACAAATATCCTCTTCAATTCTTTTCTTCATTCGATCATTTCGATCGCCAAGTGATCATCTTCACAAACCACCTAAGTAGTTTGTGGATCATCTTCAAGAAGAAGATCACAAGTAGCTTTTAGTTTGTTCATTTGTCCTCTAATATATGAAAAGATGAGGGAAATATATGCATTTCACTATACCGAAACTTTTTATAAATTAACGTATTGTCCAACAACACATTTTATTCTATCGGCATCCATCATCGACACACCCACATTTAATGAACAGTAGCAACTTAGCTCCCGTGCTATGGAGAGGTAAACTATTATCTATACCTCATTTCTTGTTAAAATTTCCCTCAACAATTATAACAGCTGTATGAAAGCTTAGAAGGGTCATACCGATCATTTCTTCGATTTTTTTTATTTTTAATTCGGAATTATGCTTGTCCGACATTTAACTCTGAAACTCCGACCGAAATGTCAGGTTAGATAGTTGGCTGTAGGCTGTGTGTTTTGAGGTTGTGGTTGTGGTCTCTATCTCTATCTATTACTAAACGTCATTCTGGTTGTCAAAGTTTGTTTTTACTTTTTTCCTTAACAAATTTTCAATAATGAGTAAGGATATAATTTGAAACTATACAACTTCCATTGTACACTATAGACCATCTCTAGAAAAATGCAAGTCGATGAATTTCCCGATATCGACCCAAACGAAGACCTCACGAAGGTGAGTTTTTTCTTCACAGCTCTGAAACAAACTAATATTTTTTTTTTCAACAACTAGATACTGCCAATCCAACAGAAACGTACCATAGCGTTCGTAAATCATTTCATAATGGATACGGTGTCGCACTTGAATAAATTCGCCCAGTCTTGTGAGTCTCGGTTTATGCAGTTCGAATACAAAGTGCAGAAAATCGAGGCCTCCTTACTTATACTCGAATCACAAGTGAGTACGATAAACTTAGGACAATATTTTCGTTCTCGGAGATTTCAATTTACATGAAGCACTGTGAAATAAGGACTCTGTAGGATCAATAGTTGATTGTCCTGTTAGTTTCAGTGTTCTGACTGGCGATTTTACCGTTTTTTTTTAAATATGTGTGTACATGTTTGTAAATATATGTATATATGTAAATATATACATATGTATATTTATTTGACTACGGCAAGCAAAATTGCCACATTTTTTAATTAGCATTTTATATATCTATATGTACCTATACCTTTGTATATGCAAATATTAATTTTTATTCAAGCTTTGATCCCATGATTTTATTCATCAGTGACGTACTGTTTTTTGTAAATAATCATTGACCTACCATATATACGCTATGTATCACAAATGGTGAATAAATATTATTATTATTATTATAACTAGGGTGTTACTGGCAGAGTAACAGAGACTGGCTGTTTGAATTTAATAAAAAAACTGTGTTTCTAATAACAGACACTTGGTCTTAGATTCATGCTTCTCTAACAAAGGGTGAATTTGTGCACCAGTCATGAATTGTAAGTCTTGTGTTGTAAGAATTCATGTTTTCCATAATTATGCCTAGAGCAATTGAAACAATCGGACAATGAGCTTATTATTTATTTTGACCCAGAAACTTCAACATATTACCAAACGAAATTGAATTTGTAAATTCATAGAAACTATGGAAAAACAAAATGAATGAATGGATCACAAAGCAACCCAGAACTGTGGTTTGTGGACTGATATACATGAAAAATAACTGAGAATACGCATAATAAGATTATTCAGCTTCAGTATATACATAATTATTTTCTTGCAGAAGTTGTTTGAATTCGTCAAATGTAATTCCGGATTTATCAGTAAGTGATAGGATAAAATTTTACTGTAAGATAGGATTTAGTGATAATCAAAATGGTTTTTCCAAATATGACATCAACTGTATAAGCTGCCTGTTAAAAAAAGGTGTTTTTTATTTTTCTCCAGAATAATATATTGCGGAAGACTCAAAATTTGCTGCAGTGTAATAATCCTTACACTGTAGCAGATGTGATTCAATTTTTTTCCTGAATTTATAATGTGGGTATGCCAGTGAAGATGCTCACTGATGTGTATACCTAAAAATTTTGTTGAGGTTCCTACTTTCATTTGACTATTTGCTAAATGAACAGTTGTTGGTGATTCAATTATTTGTTGAAGGGTTCTAAATAGAATTACCTTGGTTTTGTCGATGTTAAGAATAAGGCCATTTTTAGAAAACCAGTGCTGCGTTTTTTCGACTAATCGGGATGATTTAGTAATTACATTTCGATAGTTGCAGCTAGGAACCAGAAATAGTGATAGTAAGTAGCCCAATCGTTATTTATAATATCTAAGATGTGGTTCATGAAAATTACAAATAGAATAGGACCTCTTACACTTCCCTGTGGAATGCCTATAGTATGTTCCCTGATATCAGACTTAAATATCAGTCCATTTTTTATAATTTTCGTTCTTTGTTGACGATTTGATAAATATGACTCGAACCATTTCAATACAGTCCCTCTAATTCCATATTTTTCAAGTTTTTACAATAAATACGTGTGATTAAGGCAGTTATATGCTTCAGAAAGGTCTAAGAATATTCCAAGAAGTATTTTGTTATTTTCAAATGACTCGATAATGTCTTCACTGAACTTGTCTATTGTGAACTCACTTTTTAAGCTCGGGTGACACCGTAGAATAAATGAATCAATATTGGTGGTAACATAACTTTCTAATCACAGCTCTCTTCCATTTCCGGACTGGACAACTCGCAAAACTCATTCGTCCAAAACAATTCCTCCGAAGCGTCCGAACTAGAACTACCAGAAGTAACAGAGAAGGCTGAAGAGAAACCTTCAGATGGAGCAAGTGAAGCTGCGAAAGAGGCAGACGTTCCTATAACAGATGTGGTGAGGGCCAAGGAAGACCCGAGGTTTAGGAAGTTCTTCAAAATGGTACAGTTTGGCGTGCCGCCTCCTGCTGTGAAATTGAAGATGCAGAACGAGGGATATGATCCCAACATTTTGGAGTGAGTACTTTTACAGTTAGTTTGTTTCTTTGCGGTATGGGGGAGGTGGTTTATCAATTGAACCCCTGTTTTGGGGTATAGGTCATAGTAATATTGAAGGTAAGCTCTTTAGAATGTATCAGGTATTTCAATTTGAACAAGTGGAAAGGTATTTTGGCTAAACGGTTTGTCATTGTATAATTCATTGTGCCTACTATATCATTTTGTTGAATAGAATGTGCTTCATGCTGATATACCGTTTATTGCAAATTTTTTTGTGAAAAAATGATCATATTTCAGGTAAGGTGAGTGTGTTTGATAAATATTGACTAGTTTTTTTTATATTTTCAATCAGACTTACACATTTCTATCTGCTGAATAAGAATCCAAAGTTAAAACTTGAAGATTTGGTCTACTTTCGGAGATACGACCACTAAAAAGTAAAAAAATCGACTATTTCATGAACTCTTCGGAATTTAGTCACTGTAATTCTTTACTCACTTTGCAATTGTATTTTTTTCTTACAAAAAGTCCAATTTTTTCCTGACATTTATTGATTTTCACTTTCCCGAAATCGAAAAACATTTTAAAATAATTCAAGAATGAAGTGAAAATCAATAAGTTTGCCTAAAACTGTTATTGCTTTTTTAATAGAATTCAGATCAGAAATTAGTTCTCGAGATAGTCGTTTTTTTAACGAAAGTTTCGATTTCAGATTATTTGATCAGCGAACAAAAATATGTAAGTAAGTATAAGTAAAATTTGTACAAACTTCAAAAACGAATATTCGTTTTGACATTTTTATGCTATTGTTGTTCCCCATTACAAGTTGTTTTACGGGAAACCCTGAGAGTATTATAAAAGTTTGGTTCTGTTTGTACGGTAGTGTTTGGGTTAATTCCGTTCGACCTCTGTATAATATAGTGATGGGGCATTTGTCTTGCAGCACTCCCGAAGCCGTGATACCTGGATTCAGAGAAGACTTGTTGAAAAACGAATCGGATGAGAAATCCGAGTGACTGCGTGCTTTGCTCTTGTTGATAAATAAAATGTTATTTAGGAAATATACATATTTTGATGTTCATAATGTTTTATCAATGGACAATCTCTGGGGCAGTGTAGATATTTTTTGAAGTGAGTCCAATAATGATAAAGTGCAACCTGTTTCACAAAAAATTGAAGGTTTCATGGCAGAAGTCGAGAAAATTCTCTCCTGTTAACCTCCTGCCCCACAGATCAAGCTCTTCAAAATTTTCAAAGGTTCAAATCTCACTCTTCGATTCATAGATCAAGTTTTTTTTTTATTCCATTGAAACATGTCCGTAAGAGAGCGTTCGAAAGATTTTAACTTGATTGGAGTTTTCAAATTGCTGATAATATTAAGTTAACTCAATTAACACATATTTTGCACATAAAACGATGTTTCTAACTGAATATTATATTTTATTTTTTGGGGGGGAGGGGTTGAATTTTATTTGTTTTCTGTTGTATCTCTTTTCAAGTAATTTGATTCGCATTATTCATAAGNGGTCTAGTGCCTGTTTGGATAATGAAAGTTTTTATTTGTCAGCCATATTTTGCCGAGAAGCTAAATAAAACCACATTTTATATACAAACAGTCTATTCATTTGAAAGTTAACTTAACATCGCGATAACTTAAAACTGAATCATCTGTCCTTTACGTTTCTTGTCTCCTCCAAGCTCGAAATGCTTGCACCGCTTGAGAGGGACCTGTTTACGGTATTTGCAGTCGCTGCACTCCATCCTCAACACGATTTTCTTTGTGGTTTTAGCCTACAAGTACAAAAGTGTTTTAGAGAATGTAAAGCGGGTAAGTATCGTTAATTTACCTTTTTACGGAAAATAGGCTTCGTTTGACCTCCGAAACCCTGCTGTTTCCTGTCGTAACGTCTCCTACCTTGCGCAGCGTGACGTTCCTTGGATTTCTTGTACTGAGTCACTTTGTGTGGCTTGTGGACCTTGCATTTCTTGCAGAAGGTTCGACGTTGCTTCGGTACGTTAACCTAAAACAAAGATTTCCTTGATTAGGACTCATCAAATAAAACCCCAGGTTTCATGTAACAAAGATCTTTTGAGGTTATGTTAAATCATTTGTTGTGTTTTGACCATCAAATATATCATGATTTTAGGACGTTATCAGGGGGGGCTCCACGCCAATAGAGTAAAGAAGGTATTTTACAGAGTAGTAAAGAAAAGTTTGTAAAATGATATTGTTGACATTGCATCAAAAACAACCTAACCTGTCCTACTTTTTGGCGAAAATACAATTTTGGGCATCATCCTAAGAAAGAAAATTTTGAATTTATAAGAAACAACTAGAGAAATTTGATGTATAGAAAGAGATGTTTACAGATTTCCTCAATTTTTAAATCGACTCACCATTTTGTATTTTCAACGCACCAAAAAGAACTAATGAAAGAACAGACAAAATAGAAAGAGACAGATGACAGTAACGAAACTGACAGACGAAAGAAGCGCCTCTACTTTCAGTCGAGGCGGCAAATTCGAAATACGTTCGAGTTTGTTGTCTGTTGCGCACGAATTTTGTTGGTTTCCGATAGAAAAAGACCAAATGTTAGCAACAACGCTTTGAAAAAGAACGGAAGTATAACGCACGGCAAATGTGTGACGTTGACGTGGACTATACAAATGAGTGTATGACGTATGCATATTTATTAATTTTCGCGTCCATTTTTATATGTCCTTTCTGGAATTTTCTATTGAAGACCATTATTGATGCCAAAACGACCCGCCTTTTCGCTTGCAAAAATAGTAGGCGATATTTTCTATGACATTATTTTTGAACATTCAACGTTTCGTGGACTTTTTATTTGACAAAAAGATTAGTCTTTGTATAAGAGGAAAGTTTTATCGTGTGTAATATAAATATGAAAGATTGGACTTGCAGCATTCACCCATTAAAAAAAGAAAAACTGAATTGACTGCCGCTCGGATGACATTTTTTCAATTACTTAACTTTTTTCATTCATGTTGTTATTGTCTGTATTTCTATTTTTATAGCACAAAATAATGCTTATGAAGTCGCTGTTATTTTCTGACTCCGAATAAGTACAAAGTTTGCACTTGAGGCTATAGATTTATTTTATTCATTTCTCAAGTTGTCGCGGAATTGGCGATTTCCGTAATATTTTTCGCTGGAGGTAGTTATGTATCTAGCCTTCTAGATTACCAATTTATTTTTGAAAGACGTTCCTCCACATAAAAAAAAATCGCTTCAGTACTGTTCACGCGATTGATAGCTTCACCTAAACGCTTAAAACAAAAATGAGGATGGCATTGCATCCGCCATTACGCCATTACGAGCTCAAAAACAATTGAAATAACGGCGCCTTCTCAAAATCGTGTACGACTCGAACTACGTATGGTTTCGTCGCAGTGTTGCCAGATGATATTTTCGGAATTCTCTATTCTATGCTTTTTCATGGTAAACTTTCTTTCCAGAACTAGACCATATCTCTCATTCAAAATACGAGTTACACAACTCGGAATATTTTATTGAATGATACCTATAAATAATGATGAAAGGCTAAGACGGTTCAAAATAGTTACCCAGCACCAAAACTTTTCAAGTCTCAATAACTGTGCGGCTTAATTTGACAATTCGAAAAGCGAACCTGAATACGTCTAAATTGAAATATCACAGTTCATTATATGTCTAGAAAAAAATCAACGTCAATAATAGTTATTATATTTCAAAATGAGTTCTTGATATCACATTAAAAAATAATTGAAAGTTTACAAGTTTTAATTTACTCTTGTAAAATTTATTAGTTTCGATTTTAAACTATTCTACTAATGCGATTATGTTTCTATACGAGATGGTAACGAAACAATAAATTTATCAATCCCAAGAGATGCACTCTTTGGAATCTTTAGTGTAGTAATGAATATTACTGGAGTTTTATCCCAACACCAAACCGTTAATTTTAACACCTCAACACGTGTTTTCAATAGATATAAATGAAAATATTTAAAACTACAAAATTGTCTATAAATTCCATTGTTGTCGCGTTAAGTAGTGACTTTCGACGTTGTAGTTTTATTTCTTGATAACAAACCTTATTCGACGTTCATCTTTTATTAAAAAAAATGAGTTCGTTTGCATGGACCATGAACATAAATTTTCAAGTTAACATAAAACAGCTGAACTTTCACATGTCAAACCAATACAAAAGAAGGAGAGCAATGTGACACGATGGTTTGCTGATCTGTCCGTTTGTGCGAAGACTATACACCGAATGACAATTTGTGTCGTAATCATGAGTTGTCGAAATTAATGAGAACTATCAAAGTGTCACCCCAATTTCTTTATTGAAATATTCAGAATATCTTTTTTCGAAGAATGTACGATCGTCGACCACCACGGCCTGTCGCGGACCACAACTTGGCGAATTTTGCGTCGTGACTTGGGCCTGCACCCGTGCAAAATTCAACTGACCCAAGAACTGAAGGTAAACGACTATAGACAACGACGTGTGTCCACTGAATGGACTTAGGAGCAGTTGTCATTTGACCCTAATAATCATCTTCAGCGAAGAGGCCCATTTCTGGATGAATGGATACGTGAACAAACAAAATTGTCGAATTTGTGACGATATCAATCCAAATGAGATCCAAGAGCGTCAAATGCATCCCGAAAAGTAACTGTTTGATGTGGATTTTGGGCTGGCAGCGTCAACGGTCCATGTTTCTTTGAGAATGACGGTGGCCAGGCCATCACCGTCAAGGGCGAGCGCTATAGTTCAATGATTACCAACTTCTTCTGGTCTGAATTGGATGATATGGATACCAACGATACGTGGTCTTAAAGAATGGTGCTAAGTGCAACACAGCGCATACCACATTGAATATGTTGAGCCACAAACCATAGTGGTCCTCAAAGTCAACATAACCCATGCCATCGGTATACTTCAGTCTGATTTTTGCGCCAGTCATGGAAAATTAGACGTTTCGGATGCGCTTCACCCATAGAAGCCCTGGGGGACATTTCAACGATATTATATTCCACAATAATGGCATCAATAGGTTTTTTAAACGAATAAAAAATGTTGATGATATTATATCACATACGTTGTTTAATTTGAATTCAAATAAAGGAAACGCCTAATGATACTGAAATATACAGAAGCGGATCTAGGAATTTATTGAGGGGGGCGAATTGGAGATAGATTTTCCACTATAAAGAAATAATAATTAAGATGTAAGCTCATAATTAGTGACTGAAAATATTATTCTGAATCAGTGATATTTTGTTTAATTAAGTAATTTAAGAGGACTTGTGCAGGAATCTAGTTATCGGTTGCGGTTTGGTAATGGACAAAAATGTAGGACTGGCTTAAGCCCCCGTGCGTCCAATGAGGGCACGAGTCCCGTGGCTGGATCCGCCTCTGATATTATAGTTCCACTGACACAAGCAAATAATGATTCTTCATCAATAAGTTGTCATTCTCCTTCAGTTCTTTTTTTTTTAATTTTTCATGACTTCGGCTCCTCATCTTCAGAGGGCATTTTTCAGAAATTTCATAACTAGAAATTGGTCCCTGAAAACTTTATCCTCAAAACTCCCATACTACAAAGAGAAATTATTCAAGAATTAAGATTCTTAGAAATAGAAAAGAAATTTATTTGCTTCTGGCAACGCTGTTTCGCCGATATACACGCAAGTTGATATTATTGAAGGGGTCCAGCGGGGAAGGAGGGGAAGCCGCGAACAATCCTCGTCCCCTTTATCCCCCTGCTCCTTTCCCGCGGCCCCTCTCCCCTCCGTAGCGGTTATCTTTTGCTAACAGACAAGGATATCCAGAATCTGTTACGAGTGCCGGCCTGGAAGAAGAACGGTTGAGTGAAAATATGGCCGCTAACTGACGAAAGTGTTGAAACAATTAAAATCGGGATTCAGGAAAGGCGATATTTTACGATTATAAGTACCTTTATATTGTTGGGTAGGTATTGTGGACCTTTTTCTTTGTGTTTGGGTTCGTAACGCGTTGATTTGGAGACAATTCGTTATATGTATACCGGGTGTATCAAAAAAGTTGATTGCTTTGTGTGTGTTTGAAACGCGTTTCTAGTGATTTCGATTCATTTCTAAGGTTTCACTCCAATCTAATGTCAATAATTTTTGCGGTCTTGTTTAAAATACAAGAATTCAGAGTATGCACATGTATTAGGTTTTTCAATAAAGGAGTTAACATAAAAGTCTTCAAAAGGCTTATAATCAATATTATTGTGGATCTAGAACCACACCCTACTGAAAAATATTTAGGCGAGGTGAATGAGACAAGGATGTTTTTTTAAACCACTTTAATCATTTTAATTCATACATTTAATATTTTGACTCGTACAAGCACTTGTTTTCAAGTTTCTACATTGATTCAATCAATTTAACTTAACACTAATTTCTTTCATTGCCTAAATAAAATTGGACCCAGCGCCGATCTGTGCCCTATTATGCTAGTGAGACAGTTCAGATGATCAGATTCAATATTTTTTATAAAACCGTTTTCTCCACTCCGGATGCTGACATACTGTTGTCTATTTTTTACGAAAGACTTTACACAGTCGAAAGCATTTCCTCGAATTCCGTAACTATCAATTTTCGACAGCAACTTACTACCTTTGTATATAGACTAGGTTAGTCTATATACAAAGTTACTACTTAGGCTGAAAAGTCTCCGGCCTAACACATAGATGGCGCTCGTCTCTTTGCATTCACCGCTTTTTCAGTTAGTACTAACCTTCAAAGGAAAACTGTCGAAATTTCATGATATTCTACTCATAAGTTTGTGAGTTATTGTGCTGAGAGTGACACTACTTTTGTTATTTTTAAAACAATGGATCAAAAACAATTTCGTGTTTTAATTTTACACTGCTTCTTGATGGGAAAAACACCATTCAAGCGAAGCAATGACTTAAAAAGTGTTATAAGGACTCAGCTCCCTCAGAAACAACAAATAAACCTTGAATATTACTGAAGTTTGTTCCCAACACCCAATCGTTACTGTTAACACCTCGACACACGTTTCGATCACCAAGTGATCATTTTCAAGAGGAAGTTTAATCTTAATTGCATGAGCATTCGACTATGAGAAAGCTCTGTTCAGAGTGGATGCTGCGTGAGGTCAGTATTTGGCCATATCTAAACAAAACAAACCGGAATTTTTGCGTCGATATGTGACAATGGATGAAACATGGATCCATCACTTCGATCCGGAATCAAACTGATCGTCATCTGAGTGGAGAGCAACTGTTGAACCTCGTCCAAAGCGAACGAGAGCACAGCAATCGGCTGGAAAGATTATGATCTCGTTATTTTGGGATATGCGTGTTGTAATATTCATCGACGAAGGGAAATATTATCAACAGTGAGTATTATATAGAGCGTTTGACGGCTGAAATTGCAAAGAAACAATCGCATATGACACAGAAAAACATTATTCTTCCAAGGCAATTCCCCGTGTCACAAGTCAATCAAAACAATGGCAAAACTACATTCAACTCGGAATTGCTTTCATATCCACCGTATTCGCCAGATTTGCCTCCCAGTGACTACTGGCTGTTCGCAGACCTCAAAAAAATGTTCACCGCTAAGAAATATTCCTCGAATGAAGTAGTTATTGTTGAAATTGAGTCTTATTTTGAGGCAAAAGATGAATCGTTCTACAAAAGTGGTATTGAAATATTGAAGCGGCGCTGGAATGATGGTGTGGCTGTTGATAGATATTACGTTGACGTATAAAGCCAATTTTGAACAAAAAAACGCGTTTTCTTTCTTAACCCCGGGACTTTTCATCCCATACATCATCATGATCAACACAGTCGAATGCCCTTGTGAGATAGTAAAGTTTCCAGCATGACATTCGCTTGCCTCGATCAACTTATCGTAGTAGGATAAGAGGGCTGAATTCGTGGATTTGTTCAGACGGAAACCGTGTTGGCTTTGTCAATAATGTCTTTTCATCCAAGAAATTCGTAAGTCGCTCTAGAAAACTCATTTCAAATATAAAAACTTGCGGGCATGGCTTGTAGTTCTCTAAATTTTTGTGAAGTGGAATAACCTTACCATTTTTCAGTTTTGAGACACATGTTTACAAAAAAAGGTGATTTTGGTTCAAGCATGTAGAGCATGTATATTCTCAGTTAGGTATTACTACATTCATTGTCAAAATATGACGTAGGTCTGGGACTACGTGTCATAATACGTGTTGAACATCTACCTAAATCTCGAACACCCCTTGTAATATCAGTTTCTCAGTTTTCCGTAGGTCACCCTGTATGTAACACTGGAATTTCCACCAGTTACCATGGACGGTTTATGTACGTCAGGAAAATCATTGCAATTACAGGAAAGAGAGCGTCGTTGTGAAAAACAAGGGTTTCTTTTAATACCATTCAATTAAACGCTCTGAACGCAGTTATTATATGGCCACTTTCGTTATTTTAGGATTTTGCACTTTCAAAACAGAGTATTTTCGTTTCTATTCGGAAGTATTACAAGGATTGTGACTATGACAACGCGAAATATATTTTCGAGCCGAAATTGTAGAAAAATGAGTCGCACGTAAATTTTCGAAGTTTCTAATGGCGGGAACACGTTTGAATGCAAAATCAAGGCCCTATAACGCAGGATGATTTGTACTTGCATTCCAAAGTTAGGCAGAGAATGTAAATATTTCACCTTCTCCTTTATGACCTGAAAAAATAAGAAAACAACAGTTCATTTGTAAATAATATCGCCGATGTGAAAATATTCGAATATCGCCCTCTATCTCGATACGTTCGAAACGATGTAATAATCCATGTTGATCGAGAAAAGAACACCTGCCGGCGTCAAAAATACGCCGGACCGTTTGAACTGCACTAACCCTCGCCTTACAACACCGTCCCTCCGTATCGTTTTTGTTCGGCTAGAAAAATGGCATATGGAAAAGCCGAAGCCGACTGGACCCCCTCAAAATGAAAATTACGGATTTGTTTTAGAAAAATCCGCTATCGAATCTAGCCGTGCGATATACGAGAAAAAAAGAATACGAAACGCGGAAACATTTTTTGGCAAGCTTTTGAATAAACTCGTGCCGGCAAGCAAAGCCGGCTCATCGGGTGCTGACGGTTTCCGTCGTGCCGGCCGGCGCCATCTTAGATTTTGAACGAACCTCGCATAGAGCCGTTCAGTAGTTCGCCGAGCGTAGACAGTTGAAAGTCAAATCGATCCCGACGAAAACGTAAACAAAATGAGTTCCAAAGAAAATAACGATGTTGCGGTTGAGAAACTAGACAACGAAAAGAGTACCGACAAGGTGGAGTTGAAGGGAACGAAAAGGGCGGCGGAGGTGAGTTTTTGCACGGATTTAAATTTAGAACGGTGTAGATTATTTTAGTAGTCATGCAGTTAGCCATGGACGCGTTGTTGGTCTTTTCTGGAGACTGTGGAGCGTGTATGGCCACTCGATTTTTGAAGTTCGGCAGCTTTCGTGAAATTTTTTTTCGGCTTTTAACTGCTCTAGTTAGCTGTGGAAGCTTGTTGCCATGTGAGAGATTCGTCCACGCCGCGTGAACTTCAACTAAATTCCGTCTCCATGATTGTTTCAGCGATTCACGGTATTCGTTGTGAAGCTTCTCACGGACGTCTCGCTAAACATTGCTAAAAATTTTCGAAAAATATGTAAAGATTGTGTAAACATGGTTGGCATTAAGCATCCCGCCATATATTTCCGGAACCCGTTTCGAGGCTAGCATAGCTGCTGGATTCAACATGGCGAAATCAATAGCTTCTCTCGGGATACCCCGTGCGAGACTATTACGTTTTTAAATTTTGCATCATTCAAACTACTCGAATTTCGAAACGAGTGTTTTCTATTTTTTATTCAGATGTTATCATCGCCTGCTTCGTGGTTATTTTACTAGGAATAACCAACTTGGAGTTCGATTTGCTTCTGTTGCTAACAAAAAGCGGACATGTTTGATAACAAACTTAGGATCAGTGGACTTGGCCTACTGTTTTTAAAAGTATGTCCGGATGGATAAGCATTTCTTTTTCATCAGTGTTTATCATCTCCTTGAACTTTGGAGAGAGATGCATTAAAATCTGGTTCAGTTACAAGCGTCCAACTTGCCGTTACCGTGAATATTAATATATGTTATGTTCTTTTATTTGGTTCATCCCAAGCGGAACTGGAGTTGTTTGAGACTTCCTGTCTAACATCGCAGGTGCTCTCAAGTTGTATTTCAAGCTTATGTTGTAACAGATTATGAACCCTCCTTTTTTTTTCGACTGGGGTGGGGGAATAATCCCGCGCGCTTTTTCAAATTTGAATTTTCTGAAACCAGTGCGGAAGCCTGTTGGGAGCGCAAGAAATGAAACGGTTGAGGGTGTTTTTTCACAACCTCCATTGAAACTCAACTGTTGAAAAAAGTTAAACATGAAATTTGCGGGCAATATATGAAGTTGTACAACTTTTCCTGTTTTTCCACCTAACAAACTGAAAGTTCAGTAGTTTTTTTTAACCACAGACAAAAAAATACCAAAAGCTTTTAATATTCCTTGTATCATCCAGAAGACTATTGAAAGATTTGCTGTATATAAAAATCTATTTGTGATAGTTACCTTTCCTACTCTGTAACTGGGCCATGGTCTGTAGAGTTTGTAAACAAATAAATAAATAAATAGATATAAGAGTAAATGGTGTGACTCTTATGTTACTTGATTGACCAAAAAATACCACTGATAAAAAGATATAGATTGATGTCATGGTCAATCTATTATAGAACTTGAAAATCTGCCTGATAGTATGTATGTTCTGATGACGTTATCTAATGTTTTTTTGTAGGACAAAACGGAGGAGGCCAAAAAAGCGAAAAAGGAAGAAAATGGCGCGAATTCAGAGGGTGAGGAGTTAGAAGAAGAAGAGGAGGAAGAAGGTATTGAGGAAGAGGAAGATACGGGGGAAGAAGATATTCCTGAAGGGGAGGATGATGAAATAGAAGGAGAAGGTATGAGATTTTTGTTTTGTGTGTCACCTGTAGAGATGCAGCAGCTTGAGTAAATCTGCTTTTTTGTTTGTTGGAAAAAAGAGCTATATTTTCTTTTGTTTTCATGTTAAATTGATTTTCTGGAAATGCAGGAAAACGCTATCCACATAAGTTGCCTAACCTCAAATATTATATTGTATATATGACCATATGCCAAAGTACCTTCATTAGTTCTTTCTTGTGCAGATATAATTTTATCTGAAGGATGAATAGAAAAAAAAAGGCACACTTTCAGGTACATGCCAAAATCGAAATCTACTGCTGTTGTTTAGTCTTTATAGTTTGCACTGGAAGCTCTGGCATAAAATGTATCTATTGAAAACACTTTCCCACACCAGAACAAAAATAACGGTCTCTCAACGTGCGTTTCGCAAAACAAGTTAGAGACCTCAGGAAATTATTATGATATAATGATTTCCTGAGGACGCTAACTTGGTTAGCGAAACACGCGCCGAGAGACCGTAATTTTGGTTCTTGTGTTGAGAAAGTGTTTTCAATAGAAACAGTCTTTATTGAGGATTAGACTATTTTTCAATAACCAAAAGTCTACCTCATTGACAACTGTTGCAGTTTCTACTCTAGTTCTTCAGGTGTCTCTCTTGAAATGGTGGTGCTATTGTCTGCAAAACTAGTAACTTTTTCTTTTCTGAAAAATCATTCACAAGCAGCCGAAAAATTCATGGCCCCATGATAGAACCTTGTGGTACCCCAAGAGGGAAAGAGGATTCCACTCATGTCTACCAAATCTTATCAAAAGCCTTTGAGCTAGAGAAAAATTTGTTTATTGTCCCAAGAAAACAAGTTCTTAAAAAAATCTGTTTCAAAATCTGTTTTTCCGTTAATCAGCTGTGATATAATAAATATAGTTTTTCAATTCTTTTGTGAGACTTCGTTAGAAATCTTTCAAAAAGTTGTTGGCTAAAGTGAATTTTTATTTTCTAGAAGACGATGACGAAGTGGAGGGTGAAGAAGAAGTAATAGAAGAAGAAGAAGAGGAGGAGGACGACGCATAATAGAGAGGTACCCGTCTACCTTGTGAGAACAATCTTGACGGACTGAAATTCGGTGCGAAATAAGTCTCGGGATACTTTGTGGACAATAAACTGTCTCACCCATCTCATCCTGTTAATTGTTAAAGAAATCAGTGCCGGACATACACACACATAATCACATGCATACACACAATCATCGTCCACCCACAAACTACCTTGCGACTTTTCTTCGTCCGAATGAAGGGGCCCTGGGCCTCTCTCATCAGTGTGACCGTGTTCGCGAATCGCGGTACCTGACTGTGTTTCTAACTTATTGCGTATCCCCTTCGATTTGTAAAAAAATGTCCATTTTGTGTAAAGATAGATATAAATTTAGTTTAAGTTCGTCTCTGGTGCAGATTTTTGGAATACCCAGCCCATTTTTTTCTTTTTCTATATCGATTCATTGTACAAATCAACTGTTACACACACCGACGGGCCTCTACGAGGTCTACACAGCATTGTAAAAGAAGGGCAATAAAGCGTTATGATAGGCTAAAAAAATAGAGGATAGTCTAATTTGTTTTTAGATCAGTGTGTTTTTCTTGAATGTATGATATATTGTAATTATTTTTTATTAATTTTATTTCTGGAAGGAGTGCTCGCACTTTCTCATTCACTGCCAAACGTACGCCTAAGAGTTGGTACGAAAAACCCTGACGCCTGTGGGAGCTTTCATTTTCGAATTATAGGGTTGGAATTTCTCACGAGTCAACGTATGGACCATTCCAGGCGATTTTGTGTTTTATGTAAATTTACATAGTCTATTATGTATTTTTTTACATCGTGTAAATTTACACAAGACTCCAGTACGGGTCGGGAATTTGGATTTGTATGTAATTTATCGTATATTATTTGAATTTTGATGGTACCAGGGGATTTCCGTACGATCTGTCATCGTCGTTTGGCCTGATTCATTCCAATGTATCTTTAATTGGACGATTCGCCTCGATTCAATATATTTTTACTACAGAGGTTTTTATGAGCTGTTCGTCTACTACTTAACATGATCTTGTAGAAATTCATTTGTAACAGTGCTGTATGATTTTTTTTGAGTGACTATAAACGATGGATACAAATTGTTTCATAACTTGCAGTTTTATTTCTCTGTCCGAATTTTCTCTTTCACAGGTACAAAAAACTTTTAGGGCACGCGTTTTACTAACCAAGTTGACATCTCCAGGAGATGAAAGAAAACCAATTCCTAACTGGTGTCTGTATTTATGTCAAACAGGGAAACTTTTATTATACAATACATATTAATGATTTTGGGAAGAAATTTGCGGGAAATTTTCTAGTGCGAGTTCCAGAAAATTTTGATGCAGCGATTCATGAAGAGGTCAACAATTGGGCTGTTTGGAATGGGGCCTTTGTTCCTGTTTACAGTTCCTATGCCAATGCCTATATTCAAAACAGTTTACAAATAAAACATTTGAAAAAATATATCGTAATTAACAAAACATAATTGGGGGTTTAGGCGATTTACACAAGATTTTGATTTGCTTAGTCTATACAAATATCAACGTTTCAGCAAACAAGTATTGATTCAATAAATTATATAAACTTACACTAATAAAAATAAAAATCCATATAAAATAAACAATAAATATTTCAACATTGTAAATATGAAGAAACTTTCTAAAAGAAAACGAGCAATAGTATGCATGTATTTTAGTTTCATTTTTGTACCGTTAACAACGGGTTTTTTGGTTTAAGTACCGTTTAAAATTAAAAAGAAAACAATGACAGTCTCGATACCATAAAACATATAGTAGAGATCAACGAATATTGTAAAACGTTTTCAATTTCAACAAAAACAAGGAATTTGTCGCCCTCTCAAGTGTAAGTTTCAATCAATTGGTTGCAGAAGTAGGATACATCCCTACAATGTATATGAGAATCAAAATATTTTTGTTGGGATTATCCTCATCAATGAGATCAGACACTCTGATGCTGAATGTAAGTACATCTCGACAAATTGTGGTGTGTAGATTAAAGCTCATAGGTATTTCTTAACATCTGTTCTACTCAAAAATTGCATTGGAAAACTTGAATAAATGAATCAAAGAGCTGGTTCGATAAATGTATGCTCCTCTCACTTTATAAAAATAATAAACACCAAAAAATATAGAGTGTGGACTATTAAAAATAAAAAAAAAACAGCACGAAACTGTCATGTCAAAATTATTTTAGCCTAAAACTATAGAATACCTCAACTGAAACAGCTGTGTTGCAATATCAATTTTTCCCACATCAAGCAAAATATTTAATTTTGATAGTTTAATGCATAATTTTTGATAAAAGGAACGTTATTTTCCATCAAAATTGCCTAAGAAAGGTCGCCAATAAGCCTGATATCTAAATGAGTATAAAAATGTAGAGAATCTCTGGAGAAATTACACTTCATAGTCTATCAGAGGCCGATCCTTAATAGTCGTCGATGAACATGGCAACAGCCAGAAGACAGGGTGTTCTGTGCCGCAAACCTAAACAAGAATAATGATGATTCACTACGTAAAACTTGTATTTTTTTGTCTTACCTCACTCAAGAGTGCCATTTTGGGTTTGTGCGGTCTGAAGGGACCTTGTTCTTGTACATGTTCTACAGCAGTCTCGTCTGTGAGTATGGCTTGGAGCTGATCGATCAAAATAGCGGTTACGAACATGCCGAATAGGGCACTTTCCAACAACAAAATTATGCTGTGCATTCTAAAAATGTATCTCAATCAGTGGAAAAATACATTTGTTATTCAAAGAAAATCGATATATTTTTTTTAAACAGCGCTTCTACTTAAAATATAGTGAAAAGATAGGTTTCTTCTACAATTACATGAATTATTTCAGAACTTTTGAGCAAAATTAACGTATTTCACATGGAAAATAAAAGAAATTTTATAATATAATGTTGGCTACACTTATTTATTATGATCTCTCATATATATTGTCAATTGCCCATGTTTCAGGCGTTTTATGATTGGCAAAACTAATATTTGACATGTAATATTAAGAAGAAGAATTAGATTAGAAAATTACAAACATTTTGACTATTTTTATTATTTGAATAATGTTAGTTTGCTGTGTTCATTTTGATTTATAAAAAAATCTAGATAGTCCCACCTAAAACACCACATTTTAGGGTATATTTTCAAAGCCTGCGAAGTTCATTGTATTTTCGTACATGCAGTGAAGATGAAACCAGTGAAAAGTGAAAGCTGATGTGGAAGCCGCAATGACAAAAATATATGGAATATGAGCAAAATACTGAAATTGTTTAAACGCGGTAAAATTCAAAGATTTTACAGTTCTTCTTCTTAATATTCATACGTCGAATATCAGTGTTGCCAATCGTGAAAATGTTCGACGAAATTTCAATGTCTGACCAAGGATTTATAATTACAGTGTACCCAAACTAGAAACGATAATTTTGACATTTCTGAAAATGAAAATTTGAAATTAAGCTTCTTTTTTGTAAAGTGAAATGTGCTTTTTTGACACTCACATTCTTGTTTGCTTCAGTGGAATATCCTGTATGCAATCACTACACTCCTTCAACCAGGAAATCACTACTAATGTGATGGCATATGCTGACAAAGCTCCTAAAAATATAGGACTTGAAATTCTAGTAAAGAACGTTTCGAAGAGATGACACTAACCGACATAAATTAAAAACTGTATAAAATACTTTTGATTTCTCTCTCCCACACAATTATTAATCCAAGGACAGTGGTGGTCCATCCTCCTTATGCACCTTTGGCATATTCGACAGTGGTGTGCCCTTGGGGGCCTGTACGTCTCACATCTGGCACAAACGGTCCAATTTACAAACTCACAACCTGAAAAATGACTTGTGGTTCGCGATTCAGATATTCTGAGACTAGTGACATGAAAAAAGTATTCAAACCAAAATCAAAACTCTCATTTATGACAAATTGTGTTTTTACGTTCACTGTCAATAAAATTTCAACAGTCATAGCACTTTTTATCCTAGAGACGGTTTGCCTTATTTATAAACATTAATCTAAGTTCAACTTTGCTTCTACTCCTTATGCTACTCGTAATAGCGATTATACCTTTAGACTTCCCATTCCAACTTCGAATTTAATCAAGAATTCCATATACTATAACGGTGGTAAGTTGTTTAATCATTTACCATTAGGCGGTGAAAAACCTACTTGTTGATAGACCCTATTAGAATTTGGAAGAGTATTTTAGCAAATCCTTTCAACAATAAATTACCAATTTATTCTTTGTACTGTCACTTTATACATGGTGGTATTTCATCTATACATTTTTAGAACTTTATTTTATATTCACATATATACATTTTTGGAACTTTTTTATATCTACATTTATACTTTTTTATAACTTTTTCTATATTTACATTGTATTTCTTGGACTTTGTCAATAAGATCTGGTTTAAAAGTTGATGAAATCATGGTTTAGTTGAGAGGACTGCATCACTTTCTCTAATGTAAGTTACATCACACAAACAATGATCTTGAATAACTGAGTTCATTTTACTTTTATATCCATGCTGAATTTACATTGTTTCTTAGCTAGATCAGTTTTAGAATCATGTGCAAAACATCAAATTTTTGGTGCTTCAGTTAACAATGACTTTCAAAGACTATTAATCATACGATTTCTATGAAACTGCAAATACACAAAAGCCAAGTAGTGACAGAGTGGAAACCAACTTGTAATGTTCATTACATAAATTTTACTCTTCAATTACTCTCCTACGCTGCTAAGCTTGATTTACATAAGACGTTCCTTCTATGAATACAAGGAAAATAAAAATAGTTATAACTATGGAAAACACCTTCTTCTAACTAGATTTGCTACCAATAGAATGAAGTCGACTTAGACTTCTCACTGGACACAGCAAAATTCCAGTCTACTTTATATTCAATCAGATAATGATAATAAAACAAACTGTATTTTATTGTGAAAATATGTGCTAACCAAAACACATATATAAGTGAGGTAACCGTTTAATGAACTGAATTAAAGTAATTTCCTTACCTGAATCAGGGGAATGTATGTCAGAAAAATCTATTCTAGACTGCGGAAGAGGTATCGTTCCAGGGTCAGTCATTACAGCTTTGATATGTGCTATCGATAACAAAAATATAACCGTGTTGAACATCACTACATTGAAGGTGCCCCACAAACTACAAAAAAATCGGTTCAGTGGTTATTTCCTTGCATTACCAATTTTCGCCACACACACACACACTCAAATATTACCTATCTATCATGGTTTGGAGAATAACCCATCTTATGATAACGTAATCGGCATAAAAAACGGCGAAATACGTTAATAGGATACATGTTATACCACAAGGATCTCTGACGAACATTTTAATTCTTATTCTCAACTATATTTATAAAGAATGTACGACGAGTATGCTACGGAACTGATTTGCATTTTGTTGAAATTTTATTTCTTGTCTAAATGAGATACTCATCATTTAATCATTCTAATTGAACAAATATTCCAAATCCTTTAATATATGTTATGAAAATTGACAGCTGTCATAATATAATAATTGGTACGTTCGTTCTAGTCAGGTTCTGGTTACAAAATTGAGTTGTAATCCGGTTACCCATCGGTACGATCACGATCCTCAAACATTCGCACAGTTGAGACTTGGTTTCGAACTTGTACGCTCTCAATAAACAGTTTTATGAGTATTTTAAACCGTCTGAGTTGCGAACACTTTGGCTGCCGACACCAAGACAGCAAAAGCCATAAATTCCAAGGAATCGGTATTTGCCGCATTGCTCCTATACCTAAAGCCAAGATTTGAAAATGGAAGAAGTTGTCATTCAATTTAACTAACCTCTACACAATGAACGAGAAGTTAATTCGAATCATAAATACCTAAAAATAACATGATAGCGACTAATTATCAAATGATCATTTGAAATCCACCAAAACGAAATTGGTGCTTATCATAAAATGATTTTATCAGATTCTTTGCTGTTCTGTTTTTCTCTATTAGACACTGGAGCCATATTATTTCTGCTGGTTTACTTTGTATCCTTTAAAATAAAGTCCAACTCACATTCACACACATAGTCAAAAATTCCTCCTTAACTTTTCAACAGGTCATTACACTTTCTGATTTGGAATGCGACTATCTAAATGCCCAGGAGTGCTGCTCAAGGCTCAACCAATGGGTCCTTCCAAAGCTCAGCTGCCATGCATTGTTGAGTTTTCTCTTTCTCATCCACGGGCATTGGATACTGACAATTTTTAATCTTCCTATGGTCGCTTGGATGGCCTACGAGATTTTTACTGTTCCCAAAGGTAACTTGGGTGTATATGATCCTACGGAAATCCACAACAGCGGCCGACTGAAGAAGCATATGAGAGACTGTATGATATATCTTGGATATTATTTGATATTTTTCTTTGCATACTTATATTGGTGAGTTTTATTGGAAATGTAGGTGTATTTTTATTAATGTTTGAAACCAATTTCAGTTTGATAACCTCTTTACTGAAGGGAGATCCCATCAATAGGAAGTTTGAGGGTCAGATTGCAGAGGACTTTTGACCAGACTTTCATGAACTGAATACTTTAATATGTAGTGTCTTGTATTCTTTTATTTACACTATCGGGTCAACTAAGGTGTTTGAAAATGTTAATTTTCAGTCTTGGAAATTTTGTGAATAGCATTTTTTTAATCGGATTTTCAACACTTGAGACAAATAATGTTTCAATGCCGATAACATTTTCAATACTTTAAGTCAATTGTCTACCTTTTAAAGTAAATAAGTTACTTATATGTAATTTAGATTTTAGAGCAGTATTATTTAGTCACATAATACCATATTTCAAAATACTCATTTTAATCAATATTTATATTTCTTATATCGAAAATAAAACGAGATTTCAATTAGAGGCTTCAAATCTAATCCAAAAACTTGGAGGGTGAAACATCGGATTTGCTGTGTTTTGAATTAATTGTGAATTTGTTAGAGTAATATTCTATAATGCAAACATTAGTAACATGAGAAACTGATGAATAGATAAATTAAATTACTTTTGGTAAAGGAAAGCATAAAAACCATAATAATTTGTGAAAACGGCTGACAGAACTTTATTTCAGGTTAACTGTTTGACTTAATTCTAATATATTCGATAGATGGCGTCTTGAGAAAATCAAAAGCTAACCTAACCTAAATTCAAATACCACCTAATGGAAGCAAACCACAGAACTATAAATTTAGAGTACAGTTCTGTGAAGCAAACATTTCAAGCAAAATTCATATAATATTCCTGTTGACCAAAGACACTCTTAATAAAAAAATAATAAGGATTTCCAATAAACTTCAGCATTCCATTCACAGAGGGAGTGAGTACAACTAAGTGATATTACTTAACAATGTGAAGATAGAGACAATTATCTTTTTAGGACTCATTGGTTCTTCTTCATTTTTCATTCGTTGGATTCAGGAAACAGTGCTAACCGGCTGCTTGGTAACTAAGTTAATTAGTAAAACGTGTGGTCACATTCAAATCAGCCTGGGACAGGGTCATTCACAATTGGGTATAGAGTAGTATCCGGGAACGTGTAGAGCGCTAAAATTAAATAAAATTCAGGAAAACACATAGTCCATTAGTGGGACTAGCCCAATTATTGTCACGGTCTATGTTGATAGTACGAAGCACACACTTTCAAAGCTTGAGGTGGGATAGCTAGAGGAAGGAGTGTAATGCCTTCAAGTTATGAATATCCATCTGGTCAAATAATAAATAATGTAGAGATAACGAGCCATATTGAGTGTTCATTAGGTTGATGCAGATAAACGACAGAGGATACCCTCTTTCTGGGAATCCTAATCACAAAAAGTGACAATTTTGTGTCACTGATTAGTTACTATTTGCGGCACAGAAAAGCGGAAAATTTGATATTTTCACTCAAACTATTTCTTTCTCTGAACCCAACTTAGCCCTTCGATATCGATATCTTGTCTGGCTCACACTTAAGCTGCTCGATTCCATCCAGAAAAGAGCCATTCGCTGGAACCTCGATAGTCTGGAACATCGAAAAAAGGTTGGAGATTTGTCACGCTGTAAATTTTATTATTATCCAAATGACGGAAATTGAAGAAATTGTCTTTCTAATATCAAAGGCGTTGCTTCTACATGAATATTTCTAACACAAGAATACCCATGCATAGGTCAGAATCATATCAAAACGTCCAGGTATAGCTGATATTCCTAACTGTTCATCATATTTCTGTGACAATCCCGAAGTATCTCATATTGGATTGTTTACTTTTCTGTGATAGAGCCGCGTTACAAGCACAACACACCTGATTACTGAACTTTGAAATGTTCAAAAGAGCAATTAGTTGATGAGTTGTATGTCATATGTGGTCACGGAAGATATATTTGCACAAACAGGGCGCCATCTTTTGATGACAAATTTCTCATTGGTTCTTCTTCTTTTCGATTCAATGACCTCAGCAACTAAGGCTATCCGGCCAGTTCTGGTTTTTTCCAATCAGGGATCTTTTTTCCTAGTACAAAAATTGATTAAAAGATATTAGAAGAAAGTCAGTCGTTGCTGAGACTTCGAGATATAACCTTCGTCCTCACAGTTAATGCACATAAAATACCCGAAACATGAATATATTTTATTGTGATAGTATATTTTCGAAAAATTTATATCAGAATATATACAACACCGACAACCATGTAAACAAACGCTTCGTTTTCTACTTCGATGGTTCTTTGGATTGATAGTATGAGCTAACTGTGCTGAACGCACTGTATTGGGAAAACATTCCAGTGCTTACTTGAGACAGATCATCGTCATCCCTGCAAAAAATAAATCTCAAGAAACTTCGCCCAAAATGAATTTGTCTCGTGCAAAATCGAAGTGAATTCTGCTTGTTTCGAGTTCAAAATATCAATAACTTGGTTACCCGCGGCTTATCCCGCGTAGAATTTGGTCTGTTACATTAAGCTTCGTGACAGACCATTTCAAACAAATATTAACAATATTTCCAACTTCGAAACTGACGAAATTGAATACAATCTTCAGACCCCCATTTTCCCCTTTCGGCGGTGGAATTTCCTGATTCCCTTTCTCGATGCCTATTCACGCCAAACAAAGAACCTACCTGCATATTTCAAGATTCTAGGTTCAGTAGAATCGGCTGTTCGTTGATATAAGAGAAAAAATTATATGTTTCATACGGCAGAAAAACAGATTTACTACCCAGGCTAGTCTCATTACCGAGGCAATGAAATGCTAGTCGCGGTAGTAAATTTGTTACTTCTCCGCCTATTATGTGATCCTTTCATCTATTTTATATAGCTTGAAAGTTTTCATATCAAATTCTAGCCTTATCAAATATCTGTAATAGAGCCTTAGTGTTTTTCGTGAGCTTGGAAGAAATGAACAAGTTAGTAGAACAAAAATATTCAATATAGAATACTACCGAAAGTATAGCGTGTTTTGTTCACTAAACACTTCGTAAACAGATACTTACGCTCCAGCTTTCAAAAGTGAAGGTCGACTAGTCATATCAATTTCCTCCACGTCTAAAATTGCAGAAACCCAGTCAGATTCTTCCCCCGGTAACTGTAAAACACAAAATATATATCTAATACATTTTCATTCATTCAAGTGTTTTATTCCGAAACATCGACATTCGTCATTGAAGATGACAGTGTTGCATGTAAGTGAAATGTACCTATTTTATATACTATAACGATCCTTATATACTATATCCATCCTAATATACTATAACAATCCTTATAGACCATAGTAATCCTGTGAATGATTTCTGATTCGATTTTTTTAACGAAAGTTCGGAGTGAAAAGTGAATAGGAAGAAGTGTTTTCGTAAAATTCAGTCTGAAAGTTATCTCTTTGCATGATCTCAATATCTTTGTAAAAAGTAAATGTAAAACAGTAAATGTGAGATCAGCCACCAATCTTGGAATGGGGTTCAGGATAATTTGACTCTTTTACCGATGATCTTCCGTTAATCACCCCTGCCAACTAATTCGTGAGAGATAACCAGATGAACGACAGTTTCTGTCATAGAAAACAAATCTCACGGAAAAAAAGGAATTCATCACCTTTGTATATAGACGTCACTTTTCCATTTTTTGTACGTTTGTTCGGAATTGGGGTCTAAATTTATAAATAATAAGTTTTGGCTAATAATCCTTCTCCTTGGGTTATAAAATTTTCATTCTTCCTAGATTTTCACGTTCATCACTTACAACTGACGCTATGAGGCTGAAGTTTTATCTACTTCAGAACTATGAAAACTATACATTTTGAGAAGTTTCAAATGAATCCCTAAAAATTCAACTTGAGGTTTATTACATGTATTTTTTCATATTTTTTACGAAGTAGACTATTTCATCTCCTGAAGACACCGAAACGCGAATCGAGAATAATATTGGAATTATTGTGTTCGTGAGTCAATCAATCAATCAATTTATTCAATTCACATACATATTCTTGTCTATAATAGTTGTAAGTAGTAACAAATGATTGTTTTGGAATCTTACTATTGTCAGATTTGTATATGATAATTTCTAGTGATGTAATATCGAGAAGAAAACATACATTATCATTAACCTAGAAAGTTAGTTGTAAAAATATGACTCTGTATCTCACCCGCATCTCGCTCTTCCACTTCTTCATGTAGTCTATGATAGTTTCGTCTTTCCTACTCTTAATCTTGTTGTCAACCATCCAAGGATGTTTAAGAATTTCCAGGGCGGTAACCCGTTTAACAGGATCTTTCACCAGAATCGATTTCAATAGATCGATGCGATCATTGTTTGTCTCTTTGGGATATTCCGGTTCTTCTTCACAGATTTTTACAACCAGATCATCCTGGTTACGTGCGATGAAAGGAAATTTATTGAAGATGAGTAAATAGAGGATCACTCCAACTGACCAGACATCGCAGAGCTCGCTGTATGTGTGGCCTGATAAGATTTCAGGTGCTATAAGTTGAAAATGAAGATTAATTCACGATTTCTTATGTGGAAGTGAATTTTTGTGAAATTCCAGCTAACAACGAAAGCTTCTAAAATGTTTTTCAGAAGAATTTCTTTTTGAAATCCCTTATTATATGTATACAAATAATAATTGAAGACAATACTATTGTTCTGTCACTAAATGCAACATAACCTTGAACAAATATTGAATGATACATCCTAGCATATGCACATTGAGTTGAATGACTTCGATATCCACTGAATAGTAATAATAAAAAACAACTTTTAGTATAAAGACGAATAGGATGTTTTTTAACTCAACTCACAGGGTATTTGGTTATAATGTTTGAAAGCAGTGGGTGAATATTTTTTGCAAACAGATGAAAATCACAGACATAGGAGCTAAAAATCAAGGGCCCAAGGATAGATCTCAGTGTTACTCTCTTTGATGCCGATAGAGCATCCGATACAACTCCATCCACAACAACGCGTTGAGTACGATTCTATAGATAGTTTCCTGAGAGTGACACTGCTTTTCGAGAAAAACCAAAGTAGACAAGTTTGTCATACAATATCTCGTGATCAAGAGTGTCAAAGGCCTTGCTATAATCCAGAAGTACTAAACAGGTCAAATTCTCATCATCTACAGCTTTAAAATGATCGTATGTAATCAACAGAAGATCCGTGGTGGTACTATGCTGGGGAGTGAATCCTGATTGTATAGATGTTATGATAGGATTTTTCATTGACACAATTATTAATTTGATCTTTCAGTATCAATTCCACTACTTTAGAGAGACACGGGAGAATTGTAATTGGTCTCAGTGAGCGTAAATATTTCTTTGACAAATTCGACATTCCTATTTAGGTCCCAGATTATCAACAAACTGAGAAATTGATAGAAGTTTTCTATTTGACTGAAACACTTACCCATGTATATCACTGTACCAACTCTATCCCTCAGTAAACCCGATATGCCGGTTCCCGATTTAATTACACTCAGACCAAAATCGGATAGTTTTATGAAGAAATTGTCGAAAGGATCGTTGACGTTTTTAGTTAAGAGAATGTTTTCCATTTTTATGTCTCTATGGACAATATCTGAAAATAAAAAATTTCAAATACGTGCGTCTCCATTGTCCATTGCTAATGACAAACACACCATGTTTATGTAGATAATGAACAGCGTCAACAAGCTGTTTGATAATTTTTTTGCTGATTTTTTCCGTGAATGGATTTTCAGAACGATATTTGTTGAATAATGTGTCCCTGCATCTTTCCATAACCATATATATTTTTTTAGCTGACTCATAGATTTTATCTAAACGGATTATATTCTGATGAGAGACTGATTTCAAAATTTTTATTTCTCTTTTGATTTCGTCCATTTGCGCGGTTCCGGCCTGAAAAAAATCTTTATATATTCTGTGACTGTTGCATAATATATTGGCCTCAAAATTACTCGGTCACTCACAGAAAACTTGTTGACTATCTTGATAGCATACTGAGTTGATGTGGATTTTTCTACAGCAGCAACTACTGTTCCGAAAGCTCCGTGTCCGATTTCTTCTTGGAACTCGAAAACTTCGTAAAGTTTCTTCACATCATCTATCCTGAAATGTTTGATTTCTCGTTCTTTCAGGGAAGCACTACGCAAGTACAATCTGCGAACAAAAAAATGTTGCGGTTATGTTGAAATTGAAATTAATGGAATCTAACGGTGAGCTCCTCTCCTCGCCAATCATTGATGAAGTTGAATTTGAATAATTTTTCTGACATTTGAATTTCAAATAGAATAGGTATATAGGTATTTTTTTCGCGAACAACCCAATCTTTCCGACCACTGTTTGGTGACTTTTTCAAAAAATAAGGCGCTAACGGTAACTAGCGACCACAATGGTCTAGCATAGTCATCGTCATTTATGGGTTCACAAGTTTGTTTATTACGAATACGAAGATGGGTCACCATAATCAATATTATTTTTCCACAATTTTCATCTATAATTGCGGATTCACAACTATAAGTATGAATTCAAATAACAATTAAAACAATTTGTTAGAACAAGCGTCTGTAGACAGCAATCTCTTCGCATCTTTACTTAGTATAATATATGTCAGTTATAACTGTGGCCCTTGTACACTTTCGTAGTTTATGAGGTTCTAGAGATGAATATTTGTTGAAGTGTATAAGAAATAACTTTTTCGTTCAAAGATAGGATTTTTCTGAATTTTCATCATTTCATGCTGTTGAAATAGTTATGGAGGAGCAATTTGTTGTTCCTTGTCATTTTATAGGAATCGTAACTTGGTGTATTTTATGACTTTTTTATTAGATATAACTTTTATCTACATTCAATGAGAAAAAAAGTTATCTGAAAGAAGAAAACAAATAAATATGCAGATAATAAAAATCCATTGGTCCATATAAGTTATGAATAATATAATCGATAAATTAATCACTTGAAGCTATGAGATTTGTTTTTTGGTCGCTTAAAACGTAATAACCTGATGAACACTGATAGAATTGATTACTCCTTCTTCTGTGTATTATTGTATTGTAGTGTTGGTAATTGCTTTTTTCCCAGGCGCATTCCACCACTTGATTACCTATGATGATTATACCTGTAATATACCTGATTTGGAGAATATATATAGGTGGGTTAACATATTCAATACAAGTTCTGTTTTTATCGAGTAACATAGCATCCACATCAATAGTGAAAGTAAAGGTAAGTTGGAACGTTAGAATATACAGAGGTTTTGCTAATTCAATTTTGGGACATATGAATTTGATAGCACAGATGAATTAAGGATGGTTCAAATATTTATTCATATCAATTATACATCGAATCATGAGGAAAATAATGAGATAAAATCTTTTGTTGATATTTAATATAGAATTGGGGATTTAGAGAAAAATAAATGAACATTCATGTTGGTAAAACTGTTCGTAACTATTGTGATCTATTACGTCATATGGTATCTGTCAATTTAGTGAGTGCAATAAAGTGCCTGGTGTAAACAATTTGAATCAAGTTCAGGTGTCTAATTTACCAACATAACAAAATTCTCCTCAAATTTTGAGGTTTTGACAATACGAAATTATAAATAATGCATTTTATTCGGAAAAACTGTGTTTATATTTAATTTTTGACAAATTTTAATCGCTTTTAGTAGCATGGATCAGAAACCAGGATTGGATTTGGTAATTTCGGCAGTTTCGGCGCTATACAATAATCCCGAAAGAAGTGAAAAGGAAAGAGCATCCCAATGGCTTTTGGAACTCCAGAAATCCGTAAGTTTACCCATATTTTAATTAAAATCACACTGAGCTTATGATAAAATAACCTTGTTGAGTACTGTCTTACTTTTATCAGTATACAGTTTAAAGTTTTTGGCGAATTACTGTTTAACAAAAGTTTAGTTTTTTTATAATCTTCTAAGATTTTAGAACCTCTACTTCAAGTTTCAGTTGCAATTTTGGTAGGAGTACCTTTCATTATATATTCTTAAATATAAATATTGTCTATATACTCAAACGAAATATTTGTCAGTGTCTAGGTAAACATCAACAGTGTTAGCAAGGAAGCAAAGGATGCATTTAGGCCACCACAATCTTTTAGAGGGAACTTCGTTGAAATGAGCCACACAACTCCTTGTAGTCCAAAAAAAAACACCTATTCAAGTAATTTTCTTGGGTAATCCTATACAATCTCCATTTAAGTCATACACTAGGAGAGGCCAAACACTTAAATTATAGTTTGTGGGTAGGCGATCCCATAAACTTCAATGTTCTCTACGTTGAGTCTACGTTTTCGATGAATGGGACCACAACGTTTCAGACTTCCATCTTTTGATCAATATTTCTAATAAGATGACATTTGATGGTCTGTTTCCTACATCTGTAGCAAACAGATCTGATTCCTGTATTTCTTTGAAAATTCTTGTAAAAGAACAACTACTGTTAGATTACTGAGGCAGAGCCCATTTTGCTACAGTAGTATAAGAGTTGTTTTATCCATGGACCATTGAAGCACATCTCTCAGCACATCTAAATTATGGAAGATCAGAAAAATCAGCAGTCGCCCATCATGTTTTGCAGCAAAACCATTCCATAGACTAGTTCATTGGGTGTTTGGCTACATTACCAGTTTTATGAAGTCATCCTCAGGACACTAGAAAGTAAAACAATATTTAAATTATTACACGTACATGAAAATATGTCTGATGTAATTTTCACAGTGCAGAAGACACAGTAAAAGGTATTTCAATTCTCTATGCAGTGCCCTTTACTGTTTTGAATTTCCATAATCAGTTGAGGAGTTATTGATGTTTGAATTGAGGACTAGGGATTTCGTAACTCTGCCACCCTATGTCAGATTTTTTTGAAATAAACGTTCATTGGAAATTAAATCAGTAACGTTTTTGGCACTATTTCAAGGGCATAAAGCGAAAACTTTTTATTTTAACCTCGTTATTATTCAACTCATACATAAAGAAATGTTTTACTGAATTAAGGTATTCAAGAGGAGTCAAATCCGGTCAATGAGCAGTCCATTCCAACGGACCATGCTTGGTCCATTGGGATGTAGGACTTCATATTGAATATAGTATAGGAAAAATAGCTTTTGTCTAATTTCTACTAAGAATTTTATTTGTTACGACCTATCCTGTTTAAATGAATCATTATTTCTAATCAAATCTCTTTCAGGTCCACGCGTGGACAGTAGCAGACGAACTCCTCCACCTCAAAAGGGACCTCGAGTCATGCTATTTCGCAGCCCAGACGATGCGAACGAAGATTCATCAGTCCTTCCACGAACTGCCTGCGGAAGTTCACAATTCCTTGAGAGACTCTCTACTAGAACACATTAGTCAGATAAATGAAGGCACCAATGCTGTGATCGTGACTCAGCTGTGCGTTGCCCTCGCGGACCTAGCTCTACAGATGCCATCGTGGCAAAAACCTACGTTGGATCTGATCAACAAATTCTCGCAGACTAATATATGGCCGCTTTTAGAAATTTTAACTGTGTTTCCCGAAGAATTAGAGAGTAGGTCTGTAAGGTAAGTCGTAGATAGTTTTTGAAAACATTACGATTAGACTTGCATTTGCCCCGGTGAATCATTGCACATGCATTATTTATTTTTTCATCTGTTGTACAAACTCCACTTTGTCGACTTATTACGGATACACAAATTTATGACGCATGTGTAAAGATCTGTTATCCGTACTGTAGTAATTACAAATCTAAAGTCACATTTTGGCAGTCCGATCCACTCTCAGAGATACAGCCACTCAAATGCATAAAATCAACCATTTCAAGAACTTACTACTGGTAATATGAACTCTTTTTCACAGAAATCACTTCAGTTTTTGTTATTATTCTATGGAAATATCACAAGGGATGTTTCTTCCCCGCTTGGGGCTTTGTTCACGAGTTGGAGGTGTCACTAGTTAACAGTCTTTCTCTTTGAGGAAGGTTTTAAACATACAATGAAGCCGTGTTGATGTCAGTCGAGTCCCAGGCACACTGTTTTGTAGTTTGAATCTTTCCTGTACCGATGTGAGGTAATAATAATAATAACTTTATTCGTCTTTTCGGTCATTTACATGATATGAGGCATGTCATAAATGAAAATATGAAAATTATATAAAACAATAATAACGGTCTACAGTATAACATAGATCGGACACTTGAAACAGGTACTTAACTATATACATATATAAAAAATAACACATACACACATATATGAATTATGCTTCTTACTGCAGATTTTTGAATGACAAATATTCTATCAGATGTACCTTTGATGCGTTATTTTAATTGATTATACCATACCTAAGGACTGAATGAAAAAGTTAATGATATGTTACAAGTGCCGCACTTTGATTTAGTATTTTTTTAATTCTTGCAAAAACTTCTGCAAAAACTGTCTTGCTAAGTTTGCTACACATGCTATTTGTATGGTCTATCCATTTCAGGTTGGAATCTATTTGTACTCCCAAAACTTTGGTAGAATTTTTATTATTTCGATTTAAGCAAATTGTTTCAAAAGTTAGAGTTTCACTTTTTTGTTCATTGAGACTCAAGTCATTTGCTGTGAACCAATGATATACCTCGAAACAGGTATGTATGTGATCTACTAGACTAACCTCTGTGAGGTTAGTCCTGCATAAATGTCTGTCCGATATAATTCAACGTCCGTCGTGTTATTAACCAGGGAAGTAGTTGTTTTCCGGCAGGCATTTACCAGAACCTACTATGTAGGTAGAGAGATGACTATTTTGGTATTCCATCTCGAAATATTTATTTTCTTATAATTATAGTATGCATATAAATATTAAAAAGACTATGTACGTAACTACAAAACAACAAAAAACAGCAATATAAAATATTTGATTAAAAAGTTACATTGAAAATTCATCAATGTTATAACATAAATTTTCTTGCAGAAAGTGTTTTTATGGAGTTTCAAAATTTGAAGTGTGTAGGCTGAATTTTAATGCCAGTGGATATTTGATTGTAAACTCTTACACCTGTTGTTGATGTTAGTTGGAGATTGTTATGATTTGGATAGATAAGCTTATTGTTTCTGTTTCATTTCCACAAATTAATTCCTGAAATAGTCGAAATAATAATAATAATAACGAAAGTTATTTATTGGTAAATACCAAATGGCCATTGACTGAAATCCTTCGGTCAGAGATCACTTTGCAAATGATTATAAAAACTTCAATATTTTAACCCAAAGTTGAAATACGAGTAGTCAATTTTCAACATTTTCAAGTGGCTGTACTCCAAAAGTAGGCCGTAGCGCCATTTTATGGCTTCATATAAGCAGGCGTTAAAACTAATATTTACCAAGTCATCTGTCATCGATGGATTCTTAAGACTGAACGCGAATTTGCTTTCAGATTAGGAGAAAATAGACGAATTGAAGTACTGGAAGATATGAGGTATTGTGCCCCTACCGTGAACGAGTTCCTGAAGCACTGTTCGAACCTCTATGGAACAGAGTGGCAAGACCAAGTGCAGATCAACGTGAAGATCTTGCGCTGCTTCAATTCCTGGGTGTCTGTGGGGGCGATAGGACTGGGAGATCTAGCCGATAATGTGGTCATCAACAGGGCGTTTGAAATACTCAACTTTAAACCTCAAAACGACAAATACACGCCTGCAGGTAAGTCGAAATTACATATAAACTTCTTCGTCCTTCACACAAGTAAAAAGAGGAAGTCTAATGTTACTCCTTGAGGTACCCCTTGTTTGTGTTATTATGTAGCTTTGTCAATTACTGTGATAATTGTTTCACATTGTATTTGTATGAAAGGGTTTTTTCCCTTTCAATTTATTCGTCGCAAAAAAAAACAAATGTTCAATCAACAAAGATCAAAGACAGATGCATCTTCATCATACTATTCAGAAAAATGGGATAAATGAACATATCAACAACATATTTTACTTTGAATTCCTCAGTAAAAAAATGTTGAAGAATTGCAACTGAATTCATAGCTTTTTTTATATGAGAATGATGACTGGTTGATGGAAAAAACCATTTCAAACCCTTGTTTCAAATTATGATTCATAAACTTGTTGGTCAGTACGTAACTACTATTATTATTTGTTCTTGAAGGATCCTTCCACGAAGCCGCGACGGACTGCATTTGCACGCTCTTGCTCTGCCTTGAAGACAATAACAACCAGATGGTGCTGGAGAATTACCTTTTCAACAATATCATAAACTTGGAAGTGGCGTACCATCTGTCGGTAGCCAATGAGGACCAAGGCAAGTCTATGGACTACTGCAGGCTCTTCACGGAACTGGCGGAATCCTTCCTTGAGAAGATCATATCAAACAGCAGTCAGAAGCAGACGCATTACGCCATCAAGATTTTGGATTTGGTGCTGATGTGTGTCGGGCACCATGACTATGAGGTGAGTGGCATTTATTTGTTTGATGACGCTTGGTTTTTTTGGTTCTGTTTGTTTAGTACATCGTTGCTAAAACACTAGTCTATTTACATATGTCGGTATTCCAGTGAAACTCCTTCTATTTACTAGTTCACTTGTCCACACCAACTTTGATATAAAGTAAAATTATTAACTAAAGTTCTGTCTAATCCCTTAAAGTATTAAGTTACTTCAACGACTCTCCGATTAGGCAATGTCGCAGTGTTACTTCAACAATAAGACAGGTCCCATACCGTATTTCTAAATTATTATTTCTTCAATGGATCTCTCTATAGAAACAGCGGAGATTTCAGTAGTTCAAAAGTAAAATACACTCAAAACAAGCAATGATACATTCCTACACAAAATTATCAGAGCTATAAAAGTAAATAGTAATATTAATGAGCTGATAAGAAGATTTATAAAAGGCCTATTATTTTCAAATTCATAGAACCATTTGACGTCATTCACATTTTTGGTGTGTGAGTTGTCTAATTCGGAAAATATTATGAATACATCAAAATCTAGTATAAAGGTTATTCTTCATCCATAAAAAATAAGTACATAGACTACATGGAGATATTTTATGTAAAATGAAGTAGCAATTATTGCTTTGCACCCAGAAAAATATTTTTAGCCGTTGCTTTAGTATTTTTTGGAGTTTGAGCAAAAGCCAACACTAGGGAATCAAATACTTTTGGTATTTTTGATAGATAAATACACACATCGGAAAAGTCTAGGGATATTTTTAAAAATGGCAATAATTTTTTTTTAGATCGCTTTAGGGAAAAAAAAGTTGACGGGTGATTATTAAACGAATGTAACTTACAACAAAATTTATTAAACGGTCAAAAATACTGAGTGCGCATATAAGCAAAACTAAAAAAAAATATGGCTCTTCTTTGGAGTACCAATTTAATCGAAATTAAACGACCTCATGCATTTATTTTTATGATATTTAGTATGTTATAAAAATATCCCTAGACTTTTCCGATGTGTGTAGATAGACATATACTTTATTGTCCAAGAAAATACAATCTTATTGACAAAGCTTGTTGAAAAGTCTGGTATGTATAGCACTTCAAAGAATAAAAGAAAAGAAACAATTCAAAAACACAAACAACCAGAAACACAATTTGAGCAAAACTAATAGATAAAATATAACAATAAAAAATAAAAAATTTAACAAATTGTAGAAAAAATAGTTTGTATAGTCACTTTCAAAAAATGTAAAAAACAAATGCGCAAAATTTGAACATAAGTTCACATGTCATGGCAATAAAATAAGATATATCCCACTATGAAATATAATTTGAAGTACAACGAGAAAATCACATATATTAACTCACAGCAAAGTTCCATTGTAATATTCATCACGATTGTAGTACGTTTTTGTTGCAAAGGCATCTTTAACACGATTTCTGAACTTTTTATAGCTTTTTTTCTTCCTAATTTCGTAAGGCACGTGATTATACAGCTTTTTATATATAAGGAAACGAATTGGACCCAGTACTGATCCTTGTGGAACGCCCCATAAGATATCCTTAGTGTGTGATAGTTTTTCGTTTGATCTTGCTTACTGTTTTCTATCACTTAAGTAAGACCTGAAACAGTCATTACACACTCCTCTAAAGCCATAGTAGTTCAACTTTTACAAAAAAAGTTCATGATTTACACAGTCAAAAGCTTTGGAGAAATTGCAGAATACTGCATCTACAACCTCAGCATTGTTGAGATGTGTGTAGACATGTTCAAGAAAGGAAAATATTGCATCATTTGTACCTGACACCAAACTGTACCTGAAAGCCAAACTGACAGTTGGTTAATATATTGTATTTATAAAGAAAAGTTAATACTTTTTTTTCACCATTTTTTTATGATTTTTGAGAGTGTTGAGAGCGTAGAGATAGGTCTGAAGTTAGTTGGATCTTCTTCATTACCGCCTTTGAAAATAGGAATCACAAGAGCTGCTTTTAGACACGAAGGGAAATTTCCAAGGGAAAATGATTTATTTATTGCCATCACTAGTGTATTCAAAGCGGAATTGGGAAGGTTATTTGAAATTTTTACTGAAATTTCGTTGATGCCGTTGAATTTTTGTTTTTCTTTATTGAATGCATATTCCTTCATAACAATAATAACGTTTTATTCCCAAGATACACACAATGTTTGTAGCAGGGAAAAAAAAACTAACTATAACACAACTAAGTATGAACAAAACACAAAAAAAAAGATAAATCAGAACTGAAACCTTTACACATACACATTTATACATACATACATATATGTTTGAATATGATTATCAACATGAACATAAATGCACTCATCAGGTATGGTTATCAACTTTTTCTTTGGATCCGCTCTTGTAGATCAGACATCGGATACTGAGCATACAAGTTGTTTCAAAAAGTAAGAAGAACTACTATCGGGAACTCCAGTAAAGCTTGATTTTGTCTTACAGATAGCATCAGAAATACTTGACTGTTGGAGATCACATGAGGGCAAACTTTATAGTGTTGTCATAATAAAAATCATAGTCGTGAACTGCATTTGGTTCAACGTACACCATTGAGAAGTAGATTCACTGATTTTTTTCTGGCAAATGCTCCCCAGTCAGTTTTTTTTCAATAGTCCAGTTTATTCGGTTTAAATCTCCGCTTATAAATACGCCATTTATAGGATAAGCCCTGGCTTAAAATTGTTAGCGCTTTCTTTCAACTGAACTGAAATCGCAGATGTTAACTGAAGCAAGAATTACGTATCTTGTGTGTCCTAAATCTATGGAATACATCAAACTTTTGAATATAACCTTAAAAAACTTGTCGTCTTTGATTCAGGTAGCCGAAATCACCTTCAACCTGTGGTACGTCTTGAGCGAGGAGCTCTACCAGAAGAACAACAAGGAACTGACGGAACTATTCAGGCCGTATGTTGAACGACTGATAACAGCGCTCTGCAGGCACTGTCAGATGGAGCCAGACTGCGAGGGCCTGCTTGAGGAGGGAGACGAGTTCAAAGATTTCCGATTGAAGGTATCTGATCTGATTAGAGACGTCGTCTTCATTGTAGGCAGCAGCAGTTGCTTCAGGCAGATGTTCATCAATCTGCAGGCACCCGGCGTGACGTGGGATTCGAGTGAAGCCGCCCTTTTCGTGATGCAGGCCGTGGCGAAAAATGTTTTACCGTAAGTGTAGTTGAAAATTTTTTCATTTTCCAATATGTCAAAATGACAAAAATGAATGAAATTCCTGCCAAAAGCTGAATAGATTATGAATGTATTGAACATTCTCGAGTTTTTTTTTTGTAAAAGCCCGTTAACGTTTTTTAGCCATAATTACATTTTTGGCCAGAATATTTATTTAGCAATAGTTTTAACAAGTTATTTAATGGGGAATGTTCCTCAATTTGGGTTATTACAGCAAATACAATTTGAACAAAATAAAGTTGAGTTTGATTCACGAGTTTTTCAAATTCACTTCAAAAAGTATTCAAATTGATGTTTCAAATGTTGGGTTTTAANCTTATCTCATCGTTTTTTATAGTACACATTACAGAATCAAGATGCAGCATCAAACAAACTCTTTATCAATAATGAACGTTTTTTTAACGTTTTTTTAACAAATATAACTAGCTTTCTTATAATGTTTTTTATTGCGTGCTTTACACGAATGAAAATGCTACAAAAATAATTATATAAACTTTTTTAGGAGTTAGATCAATTTTACTAAATCTTCCAAACAACATTTCAACGTTTTTTAACAAATATCACATGCTATTTTCTTAATATTTTTCATACCACACATACACAATCAAAATGCAGCTCAAAATAATATGTTAATCAACAATGAGGAGTTATTTTGAAATTCAACTTTGTCAATTTGACATTTTAAGTTACGACAATTTCAGAAGTTAACGTTGATTCAAAGTTTTTAGGGGTTTGACGTTAATTTGACATATTAAAATTAGAACGTAGTTTTCAACTCTGCTTTCAAACGTTTCATTACTGATTTTGCTATCGTTGTTATTATTAACATTGTTATTAATGTTTTTTTTACACTTCAATATTTCCAGCTACTGTACCAAGTCGACACGTTCGCCATAACGAACAACGCCGTCATTGGTCTCCTGAAAGGCGTCGCCTCTATAGTAGGTAGGATGCCGGCCGTAGAAATGGCACCTGCGATGCGCGAGCTGTGCTTTATGCAGCTCAAACAGATTGACCAGCTCATCGAGCAGGACGTCGTCCCTGTACGAGGTACGAAGACAGACCCTGGGCTGTGGCTTGACAGACTGAGCGCCATTCTTAGATATGTTAATGTCAACGTGTCAGAAGGTAAGTGGTAGGTCTTGTGTATGTGGTCCTTCGAGCCAGATCGATATTGATATGAATGTATGGTCCTTCGAGCCGGATGGAAGGCAGCTGTTGATTGTTATTGATTTTTATTTTATTGGAATTGCAATTCAATGAAATATAATTATAATAATCTTCATTAATTCCAAGAAACAAGAATGTTTTTAATAGGGATAGAATTTAAAATAATGATTAAATAAATTGTTTCAATATTAAATATCAGTTACATATGCAGCACATAAATACATGAATACAAACTCAAATATACATATATACATACATATTTACATACACACACACATACATATATAAATATATACATTTTTGAATTATAATGGTAATTAAAAACAAAAAATGTAATATGGAGATCAGAATTTCAATTAGAGGAAGAAAACAGAAACTTTTTCAATTCCGATTTGAATTTTCTTTTTTGAATATACATTTTATTATTTCATTTTGCAGTCTCTTGAGAGGATTTATTATTGATAAATTAGCTGTTCCCCAAATTGAAATTAAATATTGTAGATTTGAATATACCAAACAGAAATATATACATTTAAGTTATTTCAATCGAATAAAATTTCTAATTCTAAATGATCTCAATATGAGTATTCCAACAGAGACTTTCATCAATATACAAGATATCGTGTCACAATTGTGATGCAACTTACGCAGGATAAACAAAACGTTCTTCCAAGGAACGAATTGCTGAACACCAACGAGGTTCATTACCAATCAATTTGATATTGAAGAATAACAAAACCTCACACTAATTATATCTTTAATGTTCTGGTGACTAGAATACCAAGACTTGCAAATGTATTTTTTTAAATCAATTGTTCAAATTAGGAATTTATCCATTTATTTGTGGAGAAACAACGATAAAAATAAAATAAAAACAATAAAAAATTAATTGGCGCTCCGGGGCGACTTCATTGATTCCAGTGGCGCATTTGCTTTTTCAGCTGCAGGAAAACCCGAAAAAACCTGCAACACCACATCATCTGAAGATCTTGATCTAACAATGTCCTCTCTCTTATAAAACAAAATGTAGGGTGTCTCCAGAGGCTCCAATAAATTCAATGCATCGCCAGAACACTTCGTGACACAACTATCGTCAAACTTAAACGTAGCATCAATACCACTAATATGAATAAGCTCAATTTTAGTTTTACTTCAATTATTGTTCTACAAAAGAGAAATTTGCAAATTTTAAAAGCGTTTTTCCCGTCAATAAGAGTTATACAAAATGGTTTCGAAACTAAATTATTTATTTTATATTCATCGATCTAAATGTAGGGTCCTTCGAGCCGGATCTCCATAACTATTTATATGGATGTATGATCTTTGATGCTGAATCGTTACATTTACAGCTTTCAATATAAAAATGTGACCCTTTCTTCAATAATCTGTATGTTTCAGGCGAAATCCACCCGTGCAAACCAGTCATCCTGGAGGTGTGGCCCCAGCTGTCACGCGCCTTCAACAAATACCAATCAGACATCCGGATAATCGAAAAATGCTGCCGCTCGGTGCGCTTCCTGCTGCGCTGCTGCAGCCAGCAGGCAAAAGAACTCCTCGAAGACCTCGTCAGCCAGATGGTGCGGATCTACTCGATACACAAACACTCGTGCTTCCTCTACGTTGGTAGCATACTCGCGGACGAATACGCCAGTGATTCGGAGTGCGTGCGCGGTCTGCTCGACATGCTGCAGGCGTTCCTCGAACCGACGTTTCAGCTGCTGCAGGAGGAGAACGGCCTCAGGCACCATCCGGACACTGTCGACGACTTCTTCAGGCTGTGCGGGCGGTTTATGCAGCGCGCCCCCGTCGATTTTTTGCAGTGCACCGCGCTCGTCCACATTCTTCAGTGCGCGTTGATGGCTTCGACGCTCGACCACAGGGAGGCCAACATGTCTGTCATGAAGTTCTTCTACGATCTGATCAGCCAGGGGCAGAACGGACGTGCTCAGCCCGACTTCGAGAAGAGGAAAATGCTGGTAAGGGATTACTTCAATATATAAATTTTTCATTGCAGGAAAGAAACTGCTAATACAATGTACCATAGTTCTTGATTTATCCAAAGCATTTGATGCATTCAAGCACACATTGTTTTGGGAAAAGTCAGACAAAATTGGTTTCAGTGGGGTTGTTTTCAAGTTATTTCAAACATACTTAACTAGAAGAACTCAGTAAGTCAAAATAAATGGAACTTCAAAAATATTCAAACAAGGAGTGTCCTGAGGTTCTGTGTTGGGTCCAGTATTATTCGATATTTATTTTAATGACCTATATCATTTGAGATCTGAAGGTAAAATTGATTAGATAGATAGATAGATAGATAGATTTATTGATCTCTTCGAATCATTTACATGACATGAGATAAGTCTAATAACCGTGTTCGGTTGCGAATCAGGATAAAATTACAATACATCTTAATAAAAAACGAAAAATACACCTAAAAATACTAACAATACAATAATACAATACATATTTTTTAAAAGTTCGTACATGTAGAGTTGGGAATAAAATGCCTGGTGCTATGTAGGGGATGAGAATATGTTATTTCATTTTAGTAATTGTTCAGTAAACTCTGTTAGGGAATAAAAACAGTTGTCAATCAAAAATGATTTCAAGGTGGATTTGAATTTGACTATATTTTCATTTGCTTTTATTTCATCTGGTAGCAGGNCCTTTGTTTGAATTGAGAAAGAGGAGTATTTATATTATTACAATAAGTAATTTTGTATTATCATAACTGTAATCAGCAATCTGTACATGGGATAACTTTTACTGTGAAATTAATGGATGGGGGTGACGCATTAAATTATGAAATGAAAAAATTGTAAGTTATTCAAAAGTAATTTCATAAAACAATATTCAAGGATGATTATACGTACTTCTCTGACTTGTTATATACTGAAAGTAAGAAAATGCACCTTTATTAAGATATCCAGAACAATTTCATATTATATTGAAAGTATAAAATACTTTTGAATTGCATCCTCCAGTGTTATTTTGAAAAGTAGTGTATTGAGTATTTCAAAAGCATTTCGAATATCCCTGAAAAGTAATTGCAAGTATATTACTATTGAAGAAATACCTCATCAGTGATATTAAATAAAGTATTTCCAATAGACTTCTATGATTCTGCACAGTACATGAATTTTTAAATTTACTAACTATGTTTTGAAAGTCTTTATATTTTTAATGTATTACGTGTTACATTTCCAGGTTACGAGCATACTAGAGGAGTACGGCCAGCAACTCACGACGAACCTCATCCATTCGTGCGTCTTCTACCTGCACTCGTACATGCTCACCGAGGTGGCGGACGTCTTCGTCCAGTTGCTGGACTTCAACAGAGAAGCGACCAGTAAGTGGTTGGTCAACGGGTTGGACCAGCTCCCGAAACACAGCAACGGTGGAATCATGGCTGCAACCCCCCAGCAATTGAACGACATCCACATGTCTATTACAACGTAAGTTTTTGCTCACATTATAAATTTACTTGTGCAGTTGACTGATTACTTACTTATTCCCAAGATACTTTGGAGTTTCTACTTTTTACGAGGAACTCCAAATTTCATCCTGGACTGTGCCTTTTAAATTTTCAACTAGGAATTTCAAATTCGAATAACGAATTTAAACTGTTGACTGGATTTTTTTTTTGTTAAAATGCGACATTATAACTTATTCTGAAATGATCAACTTTTATGTTAGAATTTACAATTTTTATGACAGAATTTCGATTAACGATTTCTATATCATACTTTTAAACTGAGAATTTCAATTTTCTACGTGAAATTTAGACTATCAACTTTTTATCATAGAAAGTTCGACTTTAATAGTTTACTTTTACTTTTCACTTCTGAAATTTCTACATTTTCAGAATTCTTACTCTAAATTTTCGAATTATGGAGTATGATTTCAAAATTTTGACTTGAACTTTGATTTTTTACTTTAATTATACATTGCTTTAAGTTTGCAACTTCGAAAAATTCTGAGTTATTATTTTTTTCTTGAAATTAGATTTTTTTGCAGCACGATTCTGCTTTTGAACTTGGAAATTCCAAATTTCAATTTGAATATTTCAAATTTCAATTTCTGTTTCTAAATACTGCTTCAGCTATCTTCATTTCAGACTTGAAACTATCATTATTGAATTTGTAATTTTTTTCAAACATGAAATTTTCTACTCGCATTTTTGACTATTAATCTCAAAACATTGACTGTTGACTTTCAAATGGGGAATGTTCCTTCTGACAAAAATCAAGTAGTTTTCATAAAAGAGCTCTAAAACAACGCATTTTAAACTTATCATTTCACCCTTTTTCTTTAAAAAATTATTTAAATAATTAAAAAAGAATAATGAAATAATGCATTCAACATTTAAAGGGATTCGTTTCTCTTTCACCATTTGGCAATATCGGTTATAGCTAATAAAGGACAATGAATCTGTTACCTGTATGAGACATTCTGTAACATATGATATTTTGTGCACCTAACCTATCTTCCTCTATATAAATAAATAACAAAACAACTGTTGTTTATGTGGCTTGTGGAGGTAGTATCGAACTATAATTTATATTTTGCGCTAATTGTTGATTTATAAAGATAATTTTCCTTTTTTGAAGTAGAATATCTAGGTACGTATAAATTATTTCAACTTTATGCGCTGTTGCCAATATGTGAATTAGAAATGAAACCCTTTAAAAATTAAAACCTAATATTTGAAACATCAATTTGAATTCTTTTCGAAGTGAATTTGAAAAACTCATGAATGGGGAATGTTCCTCAATTGAGGAACATTCCCCATTCAGAATTTGTATTTTTGAAAATTACTCCTGTAGAATTAGGAATTCCTCAGTTTTGCTCAGATCAAAGGAGCCATCCAGTACATACTTTTCTACCAATTATTTTTTCTGTTTCAGGTCAAACACGTCTAGATCAGTGACTCACGCTTTAAAAGATTTGACTCGATTATATCGTTAACGTTTGGAACGGACTAAAGAAATTTGTGTATCTGTAATATAATATTTTATATTGATATTTTCACCCCCCCCTCATCTGTATAATTGTAAGATTTCGGTATTGCCCAGTACGGAGCCCACTCTTCATATGTGACATTAGAAAGAGAATGTATTTTTATTGTCTAAGAATAAGAATAAAATATTGTTAGCGTTGGCTTCTGCAGTTTTTTTTAACAATGGTTTAATGAAACACAACTTCCCAAGCACCTTCAAACATTTCAAAATGTGATTAAAAGAAAATATTTCGTTGCAATAGGACAATTAAAAGGAAAAAAATTATAGAGTTGAAGCAGGCTTCTCGAGCTTCAGAAGGAGCATATGTTCACAAGTGTTTCATGATAGTTGGAACTTGGCTCTCGTAATTAGATGACTAAAAATCTGCAACTTAATTTGAAAATTACAACTCTTAACCCAGAATTAGGACTGTCTTTCCATTACAACCCTAATCTAACCTGATCTTAGTCACAAATTATACTATAGTCGAAATTTTTAATTAAATATTGGAAAAACAAATTTGAGTTCAAAGTCGGAAATATCAAGGAAGTGATTAGTGAAAAATCAACTGAAAGTGGGGTGTAAATAGGTTTACGAATGATACAGCCTTCATACATCGAAAGTTTCTCCCTCCTAAACGGGAGCCAGGTTGCAACTGACGTGTGACACCAATATGCTCATGCCGCCATATTGATATCTTTCTAGTCATAAGATATGAATTGGAGTTTGCACCACGAAGATTTCTCATTATTCGAACGTCATTTGTAGATACATAAAGTATTTCCATTTAGAATATATTGGCCAATAACCTTTCCCTTGTTTCCCATAGATTTTCTTAGTTTTATGAAACTAGCGGTATCTTACGGCGAGTACTTATTACTAATTACATTGGTATGATAAGAAAATAAGATTTCGACTTCAATTTCAATACAAATCTACATGGAAGACATCATCATAGAAAAAGCACCGATGAAGATGGATAGAAAAAACAAAGTTGTCGAATAATTGTCGTCAATCTTCTATCTATATATTCAATTTGCTTATCATTGAGGAGAAAAATAATCGTATTATATCTTCCCAAGTGGAGAGTGGTTAACTATTAACCAGATCAAATGTCCACCCTACCAGATGAAATCTTAGAAACATTGAATTGTGACAGTTGCTACAAGTTCCTATCAGTTGGGCCCGTGAAGATATATCAAAACGGAACAACGAAATGCGGCAGATGCTCCCAAGGCGATGACGATGGGGTAGTTTCGCAATATGGATTGATTGCAACAGAGATTACATTCAAGTGCGTGAACAGGTTCGATGGTTGTAGACAGCTGTTGAGCTACTCTGAAGTTGCCGAGCACGAATTTACTTGCCACAGTGAAACGCATGTCTGTCCACTATGTGAAGAAACTATGAATGTCCCCACCTTTTTGCTGGTCAAACATTTCAAAGATTACCACCCGAACCTTTTTTTACAAATTCCCTTGTTTAGAGAAGAAGTGACTGCTGTCCCTCGTGTAAAAAGATACTTATATCGAGTGCAAGATAACTTGTTCTTCATCGAGTTCAAACAAACTTCTATGGATTCACTCAGTTTAAATGCACATATCGTAGGCAACGCAACACAGATCGGTCAAGTGGTACAAAAATTTGTTGTTTACTTTGGAGATGACCCTGGTCACTATGAAACTGACATGAGAACGTCTGCTGAGAGTTCTGAAGAATTTTCCTTGACAATACCGAATCAACAAGTCAAGTTTGTATTTGTATCATTTCACATATATTTTGGCAGTTCAGAAATAGCCCTACGAAAAGTTGCTAAACAGAAAAACTTATGTTTTCCGAGAGTCGTTTCTCTTACAGTAGCAAGCGACTCAAGAATTTCTTCGAGCCCGAATTCATCTTCTATATTCGTTCGTAATTCTGAACAAGATCAAAACGAACTTGTTATGCATTGTATGAATTGTTCAATAATGATTGAAGTAGCCACATTTGTTGAGGTCAAACCGAGAAAGTATCACGGGGTTTGTTATTTTTGCATGGAGTACTTTATACGTAAATGGAAAAACTTCCGGATAACACTAGAGGAGGAACTGTTGGCAGGTTTAGAAAATTATATTGAATACTACTGCATTTGGGGGTGCTCACGATCTTATAAGATACCCGACATTCACATACATGAATGGAAATGCCACTGTCGGCCCCTTTTTTCTTGCCCAGTGTCCAGTTGTTTTTACCGAGGAAAACTGAATGATTTCAATGAACACTTTTCAGTAGTTCATCCATCTGAAGCGGTACTCACCTTCCCATTCCATCATTTGGACCACAGTTTTGCGACACCCTGTACAAAACGCCTGCATATTTGGGCCTACCGAGACTTCGTATCCTTAGAAGTCTTTCGGCAGCAGTGTGATTGGAAAATAACACTCCTTCGCCAAGAAATAAGCAGGCATACTAGTCGATTACGAGCAAAAGTTTTGATTAATGTTGATGACAATATTTCAATGCTATCCGCAGATAATTTTTCCATCAATATATCAACGCAAACAACTATCACGGTGTTTTGTTTTTTTAATTATTAGTATTGAATGTTTTTTTAAAGAATAGTAGTGTAACTTGAATTTTTATTAGTCGTTGATAAAACTGTTCTGTATTGACCAAGAAACTATTTTGTTTGAATAAAATTTTAAATTAAATATGAATAAAAAATATTTTTTGTCATTTCCTCGCGATGAAACCCATACCATTGTGTTCCTCTCATCGTCCCCTTTTGATTGATATGCCACTCCCCCTGGTGGGCGTTATCCCAAATACTAAAGTCCTGCCTCTATTTTTCCGTCAACTAGCTGTCGCCTTCTACGAACGACAATTCTCAGAAGTTGAAAACTGTGCGAACTAAGGATTAACGAGATCCTACATTCAAACGTGCGATTCTCAGCATCGGACTTGATTGATTTGAGATCGACATAATAAAAGAAATATATTAATCATAAAAATAAAATTCGGTGAATCATGTGTGATGTGAGTTACTTTATTTTTATGCAAAAACTATGTCAAACAAAAACTCAAAAAGGTCAGGTTTGCTAGGAAATGAAGATTACGAAAATTATTTTATTCTGGAAAGAAGCAGTGGCGTTCAATTTGTTTCTTTAATTTTATTCTGTGAGTATCCTGCACGTACGTCACTGGTAAAAAAAGGGTAAAATTATTTTGTCTGATGGAAAATAACTTTGTTATTTCGTATTATCCTCTTAGAACCTACTCCTTCTATGCCCAATTTTAATTAAAATGCTATGAAACCAAGTAACAAGAATAATTATATAATTCAGCTCATCAAATGAGATTTAATGAGAATTATCTCTCTCACCTTCTTTTAGAGAATGCAAATCCAGTGTCGAAATCAAGAAATTTTTTCCTGCATTAGACAAGCTGTAGATAATTTATACCAAGTTTTGCTCTCATGGAGATGCAAGAAAAAATTGAATAAGACTTTATGTGACATATAGGAATGGTATATGATAATTCTTGAACTTTGAAATAACCCTACTTGATATGCATAGAACCACCACCACGAATAGGACGAAATGAAACAAAATCCATAATTAGACAAAACTTTAGGAAAAATATATACAAATCTCTATTATATGAAAAAATATTCAAGTAACCATGTGAATAACATTTATGTTTCAAACACAAACAAAAAATATTCATGTTTTAAACTATAGTTTATATATAGACTATTTACATCTACAAGGCACATATAAAATCCAAAAAATCACAGAAGAACTCAACAAATAATTAATATTAAACCACAAAATCAGCCAAATTTCTTGTCACATCTACTAGCACACAGAAGCAGATCAGTTGGAATTTTCTACGTAGTTTCTTGTACAGGCAAGGGACACCACCGTGTACTGCTGTTCTCATATCAAAATTGAATATTAACAACGAATTAATTGAAAACAGGTGAATTTTCCCATAAAATTCTGATCTAGTATCCATCTACAGTGATACGTATATGAAAACATGGCCTGATGACCGTAATTGACGAGGTCGGCGTTTTCTTCTTCTTTAATTGTACTCATGGACATGAATCCAGCTACACAATTGAGACCTTTCAATTCAATGCAAGACCTATTTATTTTGATAAAACTCGTTCAGAGCCATATTGGTGAACTTTGTTAGGGAGTCTGTCATGTTGATATCGCTGTTGGCCTGTTCCACGGCGGGCATGATGTCGGAAAAGGACAGATTGAGATCCGGAAGAGAGTGCTGCGAATCCACAGCGCTTACCAATCGTTTTATTTCACCGCTGTCTAGATTCAGAAGATCGTTTTGTTCCGACATGGGATTGGCCAGCTCGGCACCGGTTATGTTCCAGTACTGGGTAGCTGTTGTAGGCGGTTGGAGGGTCATTGGAGCGGGAGAATCCCATATCTGCTGTAAAGCCAATCAGTTGTCAAAAAAAGTGGAGAAAATATATGACTTTGGAAATGAGATTGTAAAGTAATAGTAAACTATATTTTTTAATTAATTCAAAGATTAATTTAATAATTTCTGTTTCCAAAAAAACAAATCTTTCTTTACCTGAACCTGGGGAGATGCACTAATATTTGGAGCATAAAGCGGGCTAGCTGCTCCCCCAAAAGAACTCACGGACCCTCCATAAGGACTAACAGAACCTCCATATGGAGAAGGCGAACCTAAACAGAGAAATTAATTGTTTTATTACGATGAACTCGCTAATTTCATCTGAAGAGTAGGTCATTTGAAAAAGAGAAAAACATTTTTTGACGAAGACAAGAAGGAAAACCAATGGTTTAGATAGTATGGTAGTTAGAGGTTAAGGAGAACCGTCTCTGTGTGAAAAAGTGTCCGTTAAAATGTGCTAAATAAAGGTGGCGCTACAGTAGCAACAGGGTTTTACCACAGCAATAGTTTCAGGTTATATTGACGAAATTAGTTTGGACTATGAAAACATGTTAAGTGTTGTACATTATACTGTCATTAACTACTCTAGTCATTACATATATTGAATTTCCTAACTGTGCCTATGCTAGCGCCATTCTGAAGGGTTTTTGAACTGTTATTTAGTGCTGAAAGTTGGACACTTTTTCAAGCTTCCTCTCATACGGTTCTCCTTACTCCTACCCTCCATATTAGATAGGTAGATTTGGCAATTGGAAATGAGATTTTATTATTAGGTTGTTTCAAGAGTTTCGTCCGTTTTAATGCCATGTTTTAGTAGCTCCATATCAACCGTGTCGCGGTATATACTGATTGATTTTTTCAAAGTGTTTACTATGAATTCAAGTTGAACCAAAGCGCTGCCGAAACAGCCCGAAAAATAACCAAGCAGTGTTAATGAACGTTTTAAGGTCCTTTCTTATTCGCTTTTGCGGAACCGAAACGATCCTATTTTGGATCTAATTGTTACAAGTGATGAAGAGTGGATCCACTACAACAACAGATGTTCAGAGGATGGATTTTAGAGGTCTGTTTCTGCTCCACGACAATCCCCGTTTCACAAATCACCTTCGCCAATAAGGAGCTGGCAGAACGGCCTCTGTTGACTTGATCGAATCCCAAGTACACAATTTTAATGCTGATGGAAATATTCGACATGTATTACGTTGGCAATAGTGCACTGACTCAAATGGCGCTTATTTGAATTTAAATATTACAGTTTAAAGAACACCCATAGAAACGGAAAAAACTTTTGAAACAACCTCATTAAATGACAAATATAAATTCAATCAAAAACAACTCACCTCTTGGTTCGGGTTTGATGGAGGTACTAATAGAAAAACAAGGAGTGCCAAATTGATTTCCACCTGCAACTGTTGAAAATAATAACTGGTAAGTTAAATAATATATAGGTCAGACATTGAGTTATCAAACTGACCACGTTTAACTTTGCCATTTTGCCAGAATAATGCATTATTTTTAAGTACATAACGGAAACATTTCTCAATAATTTTTCTTTTTTTTCAACCAATGAACACTTATTTTATTCACAACAAAATGCCGAAGTTTTATTCCAAAAGCGTCCAACCTACATCAATGCACAGTTTGTGGTTTGAAACTTGCTCCTGACAATATAATCATTATTAATATTAATACATTTCATTACAAAAATAAAGCATATGTACATTTTCAGACAACACACTTACTACAATGAAAATCATAAAACAAAAAATCTCTTAGTGCGTGCATGGAAAGATAATTTTATCTGTTTTTGAACAACTTTAGAAAATGAAGGGTTTGATGTTACCAGCTAAAATACGTGATGGATTCGGCTGATACTTGATGAAAATCCATAACACAGGAAACACTTTATCGTGTGATTTTCACTAAACAGTTTTACAAAAACGCAACACGTGTTTTGCCATACCATGGCATGTTTGATCGCACATTGAAACGTTAGGCCCTCCATTGCTGTCGACGTAATTTTTTTCTACCTACGCTTAATTTCAAAAAACCGACAACGCCTCATAAGTCGCATCGCCCCCATAAACAATGCTTTATTTTACAACCGACAACACCGAAGTGTTTGCGTTACGTTCGTTATTTTTCAAACGAAGAAGTTTGATGTCATCTTCATCTCTCTTACTCATATGACAAATCGGCACCTCTCACTTTTACACACACACTCTTATGAAAACCCATCCTCTCGCTCTTACACACACATTCTTATGCAAAAACAAATTTGAGGTTATGTGCAAAAACTCTGCCAGGCCATGCTTTGTATTTCTACTTCTTGTAGACGAACTGTTTGGTGAAAATCCCACAAAGTGTTTCGTGATTACTTGCTAATAATGATTGAAAACCACACATGAAGCCATGCAACATTTCTAAGCACACTCATATAATACCTTGTTTCCTATCTTGAGAGCACTGAAATTGGAATGTAAGGACGTCTAGTAATGTTTAAACATAGATCCAAATTCACGTCACTAACACTGATATATAGATACCTAATATTATTTCCACTTTTTAATAATATATTTTGGAAAACAATAAATTTGTGGGCACATCATTAATCTTTTATGTGGTAAAATCTCTCAAATTGTGACATACCCAATAAAATGTATCGAAAGTTCATCAGTCGACTGTGCTCCGGTGTTGATATCAGAAGCATCAAAAGTGTTTTCTGTTTTCACAAATCTACATATTAAATTCTCCGATTTCTGGACAAAAACACGTAATGATAGAAAACTCGTATATTTTCTGTCAATATTATAAAAGCAGATATAAATGTATAAAGCTTGCAAATCTAACGATCTAGTAAAAAACTCTCCAAGATCAACACACTATAAATTTTTCAACAGACAACCCTCTTGAATAATATATAGGCAACAAAAAACGTTTATGAAATAAATTGACTAGGTCTTATCTAGAGAAAAACATTACATGGCCCCGTATATCGGACAGTTTTGACGAGACGAATCAACAAAATGAAAATGAAACAAGTTTATTATAAATCAGCTCACATGTCCAACGAAGCTGGCAGTGAATTTGTTAACCTTACTTCTGTTGGACTGTTTTGGTCCTTCAAGCATGATGTTGCTAATTTGAGGAAAATAGAAACATCTCGTGAAAACTAAGATACATGGAGCGACATGGCATTGTACAAAAACAGATAAATAAACGGAAACTCAACAATCAAATTTCTCAACAGAAACATACGTTGTATGAATATAAGTAATAGAGCAGGCGCCCACATTGATGACAGTAATAGGAATTTAGACGAATCATAATATATACAGATGCTTTTCTGGAAACCATTCAGAACATCTCATTTCTCTGTACATGTGATATCAGAATTTTGGGAGAAGCAAGTTGTTCAAAAAGTCAAGCGAAAAAGCAACATATGAAAAAGATTGTGGAAAATCGAATGAAAAGAAACGACACTTTCAGGAGTTTTCAGTTTTGATCGAGAGTAATATGTTCAAGAACCTTTCAGATAATGAAATATCAAAGAGTTTTGCTTTCAAACACTGTGCATAATGAGTGAAGTCCCACCACCATTAAGCAAGATCAGAAAAGGAAACTTACTCTCAGATCCTTCCAAACTCCTCAAATCCTCAATTTTTTGTCTCTTTGGCTCTTTGCGTTTCAATGGTTCTAAAAATACACAGTCGATAAATAAAAAATCTCAAACTGGTTGAAAAAAAAAAAAACAAAAAATAATAAAAACAAAAAATGTTGCAACTGAGGTGGAATTCTTCCAAGTAAGATTGACACTTTCGTCACTTGTCAAATTTATCAACATTTCTGAAATGGATGAATGTAAGGGTGTGTATCTACAGATGACTCTAACGTGTCCCAACTCTTTTCATATAGTCAAATGAAATATTAACTAAGTAAATTCCACCTCTGTTGCGAAACATCGCTCAAAATTAGTTTTCGAAGGGAGCGAAACAAAAAAACGAGCTCAAGTCTTGGAAGCTAGCCTGGCCAGAACCTCTGCGTTCGTCAGCAATTTGCCACCCTCTACCGGGGCGTAGTAGCACGACATCTCGTCAAACTCGCTTTGAGTCGCATGTGGCGCTATAGCGGTATAAAGTGCGTAGTGCTCCGCCTCCGTCAAGTCCAAGTTCATGTCCACATCATCCGAATCATCGATGACTTGATTAGTGACTTGGTTAGTGATAGGTGCGCTAGGCGGGTTCAAGGGAATACGAACGCTGTTCGACGAGTGTGTCGACACGTTCCCTGAACTCTTTCTCAAACTGTTGTCCACCTGCAGCAGCGACCTAGAGCTCCTCTCCAAGCCGTTCTCTGCCTGCAGAGACTTATTGCTGGAGAAAATGTTGCTTCTGCTTGAAGGAGTCACGCTAGTCTCGCGTGACTGGCTCGCAGATTTGTCTTTCCCGCGGCCGAACAACTTCGAGAAGAAGCCGCGCTTCTTGGGGTTCGGCAGTGTGGAGTAATTGGGCGTGGGAGGGAGCTGCTTGAGCGGAGGCGACAGCTCGATCTGAGACCTGGGGCGCTGCAAAGACCCCGTGCAACTTAACCTCGAGCCGCGGATCGTCGAATTCGATCCGTGCAAATCGGACTTGTTTAAGCTCGTCGACGAGTTCCCGATGAAAGTCTCGATTTTTTTCGTCCTTTTCGGCGGCAGAGGGGGCTTGTCCGCATCGCTCTCTCTCTTACTGCAGACCGCAGGCTCGCACTGCGTCAAGTCTATTTCGACGGGGTTCTTGAACGCCATTTGCAGGCTCGAGTAGGTCTTGTTGTCGTCGAAAGCTTCCAGAGGCTTATCGACTTCACTCAAAGCTTCATTGAGCAGACGGGCCTGGGTTTCGGAATAAATTTCGTCCAGCTCGGCTACTTGATCGATGAGCTCGTTGAAGGACTTCTCCTCGACCACCGCGTCCTCCTTCTTCAGTTTCTTTATCTCCGAATAGTCCGTTTCCTGATTCACCGCATCCGCGCGGTTGTTACTGGCTTCCACGACAGGTGACACGGTGTCCTTCCAGCCAATGTCGGAGCACTTCTCCGGTTCGGAGAAGCCCAATTGGCGTTTGGCGACCAACTTTGCGTCGTGCGCTAGTATGCTGTTGAACAAATTATAATCGCCTTTTTTGGCTAGGTTCCTTCTGAGGGACCACCGCCTACCTGAGTTGAGCAGATACGATGGCCACATCTCGAAGGGGAGAGATTCGCTCGTTGCGCCGTCTGACGGCCTCCTGAGCTGAATGAATACTTTTACGGGTTCGGTGACGTCCAGGGTTTTGTATCTCGGCGTTTTGAACCAAATGGCGTGCTGCTTGTGCACTTGGGAGGGTTGGAAGTCAGCGAAGGCTTCCCAGTCGCTGGTTTCTTCATAGAAACGAATCTGGATATCTTCTTTAGCCACCTGCAATGAATAGATAAAATCAGGAAAGGCAAATGTTAACTTTAGGCCCCTCGTTGGGCGCCACAATTCAAAATATATTTCATTTATCAATTAGAGATTCACTGTTTTTTTAAAATTTTTCACATATTTTACAGTTGTCCAAGCTTATAAAGCGCCCAAAAGTTCAATGTGGTAATCTGTGTGAAGCACTTTGGCCAGATCAAGGAATATGCATAGACACGATTTGTTGTTGTCAAAGGATTTATAAATATGTATATTGTAATAATGTAGTTATATGTATGGCGAATCACACATAAAGATCAATGATAGTTTGACTAACCTTTTCGCACAAGAGGATGATGTCCTTCTGACCTCCGTCCACAGGGCTGACACAGTCCGATAGTTTAATTATGCTAAGGTCAGACATAGCTTTTTTGTCGTATATCGGTTCGCTTACGACAGGCTTCAAGGGAACGGTGAATTTTCCAGGAGTGTCACCTTCTAGGAAAACTTGGAAACAAAGCCGAACGGTGTTCAGATCTATCGAGGTCGGTTGATTTCTATGAGCGAAACCAGCTGAAAGAGAAAAGCTTATTCAATTGGGAACTCAGTGGAGGACATTCTGCATGAACCACATGAAACATGGAGGTTCGAATTATACAGCGAGAGAGAGAGAGAGAGACTTACTTCTGAAGGGATCAACTCTTATTTCTTCTCGCGTGCGTAGTGCATTTTCTATTTCCTTCTTCTTGACACACTGGATGCCAAGGTTCGAAAACTGGACAGTCATCGTGTCAACAGGAATTTCCAGGGTGCACACCCCTCTCCTACACCCCTCTCTGCCGACCAAGTTGTGAGGATGGGGTCTGAAACAGAAGCGAGAAGTTAGTTTTTCGACAAAATTTTGTCGTTCATTTTAGATTCGTTTATCTGGTGCACTATAAGTGCACCCTCCTCCTCCGCCACTCCACCTCCAACAGCATGGGCACTTCCTGCGGCGAGCGCCAAGAGCTTCGCCTTGAATAAAGGCAAGGGACCGGCTGCCCCTGCAGGAAAGCTCCCTCACTTGTGCACCTCCACGGAGGGAACCCCAAGAAGGTTGAAGAAGCCGCATAACAACAGTAATGTCGCTGCACCTTCTAAAACCTTCGCGGATGCCACCGTGAGACACCTCAAGGTTATAAAGAGAGTGTATGTCCGGCGAGTCTTGGCCTACACCTGCCAATATAAAGGAGATGTCTCTTAGTGACCTGTCCACCTTCCTGGAAGGGACAGGATGGACGATGTCCTAGGAGGATAACTCCTCGGGAGAATGTACAATGGGTCAAATGTGGCCTAACTGCTGTGGGATTCTTTTTTCGAACTTTTCAGACTCCGCACATGCCATTTTGTCAAAATTGTTTTAATCATAGGAGTTTTCAGTGTAATTGACCACACTGTATGTAGAGCAGCAATAAATCAGTTATTGTGAAATAACTAATAATTATGGTAATATTATGCCCATGATAAATGTGCGTCGATTTCCAGAATCCAGATTTTATTCAGAGCAAAAACATTCCCAAGAAATACGTTGAAGCGTGGCTGATAATTCAAGGAGTTATTTGTGAACATTTTCCAGTGAATCTAATAAAACTGTTCGCTCATATCATTATATTTTTACCCATAACAATAATTATATTTATATAAATAGTACCAATTCTTACATTACGAACATAAAATTAACGACAATGTCAAGGTCAGCAACTTTATTCATCGACTCATTATCGAGTCAACACGAAACAAATACGGCGTGTCTCAATAAAAATAAAAAAATTCTTTGTTGAGTGAATCACATGAAATGTTGTGCGTGCTTTTATCATTTCGCCAGTCTCCGGAATAATGAAAACTCATAAACACAGTACTATGTCAAAAAGTAGCGGTCAAAGAAACGCCAAATATGTATTATTCATTCAAATTTACTGTTTCGTCTTCAAAGTAGCCCCCTTCCGAAATAATACACTTACCTACGCCAACATTCCAATCATCCAAACATTTTTTTAATTGACTTAAGTACTCGCTGCGAATTCTCTTTCGTGGCAGCTATCGATAGAAAATGGGTGCTCAAAGAGGTAATTTGGGTTTTGGAAAAAGAAAAAATCAGCCGGAGCCGTATCAGGTGAATACGGTGGCTCTTCGATAATATTTGTTTTCGGCCAGAAACTAGCTCACAGTGATAGCCTTGTGAGTTGGTTCAGCTTGTCAGCTTCTGAACGTAAGTCTGGAGTTGCTTCGTTTTTAAGATACAGGCCGTTGAAGTTTATAAAAAACTACTTTCCCGAAAATCTAGGGGCTGTAAGTGAGGAACAAGGAGAACGATTCCATCAAGACATAAAAGAAATGGATCGCAGATACCAAGGTCGGTGGAATGTTAACACGATGGCAGACTACTGTTGGATGTTAAAAAGGGAAAAGTCTTAAGAACACAGCCCAAAAACTACCAAAAGAAGCTTTGACGGAAAAAGAAAACGTTTTTACAAAGACTTATAATCACTTTGCAAACAGTTGTGTAACACTTTTATGCTTAGTTTAGCTATGTAGCATTGTTTTTTTGCTTTTACTTCATGTTAAAATAACAAAAATAAATCCACAATTCCTTGTTTTTTTTGTACTTTTTAATTATTTCATCCTTATTTTGTAGGCAAACCTTACGTGATAGATAAACATAAATGTCATTTTTGAAATCAGCGCAAAAAACTACATAAAGATCAGTTAACGAAAGCAAAACAATTTTTTTAAAAGTTTTTTTTTGCAGACCTGTGTTATTTGTTTTGGTTTTTTTGTCCATGGATGGTTTTTAGTTGTGATTTTTTCTCCATATCGGTGTAATGATATTTATGATACATTATAAATACAGTTTTTTTTTAACTTCAACGCCCTGTATCTCAAAAACGAATCGACTCCAAACATACGTTCATAATACCCTTTTTTTAAACGACCTAACGAACCACCCTCTGAAGTTTCGTACTTTAGTAAGGAAACACTCCGTATAATGACTCGAAAAACCAAATTCCCTTAAATTTATTCAAGCTGAAAAAAAGTTAGTATTGTTCCGAAAAAGATATCGATACTTCTTTCAAAAATAAGCGGAAAATACTCACTTGTGGGGATTGTCCTTGGTCACACAGGAAACGACTACTACGGCTTTGCCTTGGTAGCCTACGATTTGAATGGTGGGATACGTTTTGTTTTCAGGGGTGCTGTTCGTTCCGGGGATTGACCCCGCCGATCTACCCTCGCATTCATATCGAAACCTGAGGGCTTTGGGGGCCGGTTGTTCCACTATCTTTATGTAGGCTTGCTGTCTGAAAAAAATAAAACATTATATAGAGATTATAACAAAACAACTCCGAAATTTATCTAAGAATGAATCTTTCATGGTCGTTTTCATCAAACACTTGTAATGGGCTTGTTTCATAATTCTTAACCTAACCTTCTTTGGTTCTTTTCTCGGACGGTTCCCTAATGAAGATTCTACTGGGTGCTTCTTATTGGTCCATATCCCAATCTGGTTTCTTACCAATGATTTTGGTACCCCCCGAGCTGGTTCAGGACCTATATATGAAGTTGATGATCCGCGTCTAGCGGATCTTCGGGTTTGTCAGAGCCTCTGGTGCTCTCTTGATGTCTGTAAACATATTGATCCGCTCATTTCTTTGAGGTCTCAATTTAATAAGCCTTGCACACTGCAAGATAGCATACACTTCCGGATATTTATAGTCCTAGCGGATAGCTGTAGTTTAAATTTCTATCCGCTCGGTATATTCCAGCTCCTGTTCCATGTTTGGTCTTCAAAATATAACTTAGCGAGAACTATCATTAATATTGCACATATCACAGATTGAATTGTTGTTACAAATTACTGACACAGTTTTAAATATTTGTTCTGCCAAGATCACAGTAAAATGTCGTTCGACATCTGCAATTCAGGCGTGGGGTGAGGAAGTTGATCATTTGTAAAAGGGGGGCACCTTAAAAGAGATATTCAAAAATTTTTTTGAATAGCATCAATATGATGTTTGTGGCAATTGTAAATTGGATACCATTGTATGATACTAATGCCCGTATTCGCCGTTTTCTCTGTAAAGTGAAGCTTGCGTAAGCCCGCATAAAACTCAAGGCAAGCTCAAATGTTCGCAGTATGCACCACAGAACAATAAACTTAGCTTATCGAAGCGCCAAAATAACTTGGCAACCTTGTATCTTTTCGTGAATAATTACTGTTTAGGCGCCAATTCTCAAACTACGAGAACCGAATGTAAGGTGAATTTAACAAAATTTGGGACAAATGCACTTGCTGTTGTGGGGGGAAGTACAACCGTGGAACGGACGATTTGGGATGCAAACTCCTATGGAGGTGCATCACTTTTCGGGTCTTTAATTCGAGTCCACTTCACTACTTCAAACGTGTAGAGTAAGATTGGAACGTCAAGCAAATTTGTTGCAGCAACTTTGTTCTTCTCCGACAGTCCCGATAACCAGATTTGTCAGAGTTTGTGCTGATACTTGCCGCGGAGAGAGTTCTTCACTGCTGTTACCTCCTGTAAGTGGTTCTGTTCCACCTCGAGGTAAGTATAGGTGAGTGTCTCCGGCATCCAGATGGTGCAGGTTGTTTCCATCTACGAGCTGCACATCCTCTCCGTAGTCCCCGCATCGTCCTATTATATGATTTGTTAATAATCATAGAATGTCCAAAAGCTTGGCAGTACTTCCAGTACTGCCAGTACTTTACAAACAGTTTGGTGTACTAAAAATCGTTTCTAGCACACATATATAAGTCTTGGAAGAAATTTATCGCAACGCTGTCTCTAGAAACAATTTAGTTTGTGTATTTTATATTTCTTCTTCTATGATTTCGATCCTTGTTCTTGAGAGGCCATTTGGCCAGGACTTTTAGATTTAGACTAAGTAAAAATTTGGAAACGTGCTTTATACGAAATTATCAGTGTCAATATAAACAGAAAAATTGTAACTTCTTCATTTTATAATACAATTCCTCGAATCTAAAAAAAAACTTTGCATCTGTGAAGCTAAATCTCTCAGATACGAAAGGTTGCCTTTCATGTTTCGAGATTTGGCAGCCCTAGTGTTGCAATCTGGCAACTGACAGCTCTATCGTAAAGTTGGACATTTTTGAGCTTATACGTACTCAGACCGTTTTGACATACGCGCGCTATTTGTGATGTCTACAGTAACTTAAAAGATTTATCTCGGCCCAAAAATGGAATCGAATCGTGAACATTTTCGTGCGATTATTTTTTACAGCTTTCGACGTGGATTAACTCAGCAACAGTGCATGGATGAACTTAATTCAATTTTTGGCGATGAAGCTCCATCAAGGACCAGTGTTTATCGATGGTATGGTGAATTCAATCGTGATCGTATTTCACTCCAAAACGAATTTCGTGAAGGTCGTCCAAAATCAGTCGTTCCGAAAACCATTGATACTGTGCGCGAACTGATATTGCAAGATCGTCCTATCGTGAGATTGAGACAACCTTCGGCATTAGTGGGACCAGAATACAGTCAATATTGCATAAACTTCTGACTGTCAAAAAAATTGTTCGCGTTGGATCCCATACAATTTGTCAATCGTCGATTGGTCAAAGGAAATGCTCAAAAATACGAACGCGGTGCTTCGAAACACGTCTATGACATCGTGACAGGTGATGAATCGTGGATTTACGCGTATGAGCCCGAAAGTGAACAGCAGTCGACTGTATGGATGTTTCAAGACGAGCCAAATCCGACAAAAGTCGTTCGCGCACGAAGCACTTCTAAGAAAATGATCGCCTGTTTTTCGGAAAACTGGACATGTCGCAACCGTACCACTAGAACGATGCAGAACAGTCAATTCTGAGTGGTACACAACCATTTGTTCACCAGTTGTCTTCCAAGAAATCAGGAAAACCAACCGCCGAAGACGGATCATTCTTCACCACGGCAATGCGAGCTCTCACACATCGGATCAAACAACTGCATTTTTGAGCACCCAAAACATCGATTTGATGAGTCATCCGCCGTATAGGCCTGACTTGGCACCGAATGACTTCTTTTTATTCCCGCATGTAAAAAACAAACTGGTAGGTCATTTAGAATACATGTTTTGGAGATACCTCAATCAGAGTGGCAAAAGTGCTTCGACAATTGATTCAAACGCATGCAAAAGTGTATAGATCTTCATGGGGAACATTTTGAAAAACAATAAAGCGATTTTCGATGATTATTATTTGTATTTCTTCCCCAATCCCAAAATATAAAAGGCAACCATATAAGATCTTCGACTCTTATTTGTTGCGGGATCATAATCATAACTGACAGCTATTTTTAAACGTTCTACAGTTCAGATGTGTCTGTAATCATTTCTCCCAAGTAGGAAATTTCCATTAAAATTGTATTCGATTCACAAAAAATTAGGAAGTCATTAAGAATGAAAACTGAAACCATCATATTTTTCCTTGAAGGAGTGTGTAGGTCTCTCTCTCTCTTACCTTTTCGACTGTTGAGGGGCCTGGGCTGGAGCTGCCCGTCGAGGCACCAAAATCTCTCCTCCGCCGTTGAACATTTCGCGGTTTTCCGTAACAACTGGCACTCTGAATTCTGGATCGGTTTGGATAACCTCAACTGAAAAAAAAAAACCCTTCGTGTTACTGCAACCTCGAATATCAATGATTGTCGGACGGTTTCTGATATAAAATCAAATGGAATGAGTGAAATTAGTTTATCTAGAAAACTACGCTCTCGTATTAGATTTCATTGGGTGTACCACATGGTTCGGTGGATTAGTTCAGTAGTAGGGGTGGAAACTTTACTGTTGCTTATATGATTTTACTCTTACTTGAATAACTTTTTGTTGTGGAGAAGCACAAACATTGCAGAACAAATATCGAACATCCCTTCTGTGCTCGAGAGTATTGAGGTTGTGACGTTGAGTATCATAAAAAAAAGAGTTACCTACTGATGTATGCTCATTTTTAGAAAGGGTCTCAAGCTAGAGCTAGAGGAATCAGTTACAATGCTTGCTCTAACATCAATACACTGTGAAACTGCACTCTTGAGGGATTTCTATTATCTCAGATAAGAATATAGCATTCTGAAACTGAAGAGACCGCTAACTTAACCTCAGAAAATCTTGAAATAGGTGCTGGGAATTGGATTCAGGGTATTGATTAAAGGGAGGAGGATGATGAAAACAAAACCATGTACTTACTGACATCACTCAACTCGACATCGTCATCCTGCAGGTTTTCGCCGTCTTTGCTCGCATTATCTGAAAAAAGTTTGGACCATTTTACAAACGTATCGGATGTATTCATTCTCAGGCAAGTAAACCCAATGGAACAAAATATGAACACGAAGTTAGCCAAAAATGCACCAAGATTTGTAATGAGGGATTTTTTTTTGCTGGTATCTTTTTGGCAACACTGTTTTTGTCGGATCACGTGTGAATCGTGTCTTGTGTCATTGTCAAACTTGTTCAGTTTGGTCTATAATTTAACCATGAATCGACTTACGAGTGAACAACGCTTGCAAATTATTGAATTTCATTATCAAAATTCATGCTCGGTGAAGAAAGTGCATCGTGCACTTCTTCCAATTTATGGGCAGTTTCGTCGGCCTACTGAGGGAGCTATTCGGAAGCTTGTGACTAAATTTCGAACCCAGTTTACATTATTGGACATTAAACCACCAACACGCATACGTAGAGTGAGGACCGAAGAAAATATTGCGGCTGTATCCGCCAGTGTTCGTGATGACCGTGAAATGTCGATTCGCCGCCGTTCGCAGCAATTGGGCTTCTGTTACTCCACTACGTGGAAAATTTTGCGAAAGGCTCATTTCAGGCTGAATTTAACGCCTTTGGATTATTTCTTGTGGGGCCATGTTAAGGCTCATGTCTACAGGGATAAACCAGCAATGATTGACGCTCTGAAAGCCAATATTGAAGCATTTATACATGAAATACCGGTCGATATGTTAGAGAGAGTATGTCAAAATTGGATCTTGCGCATGGGCCATCTAAAGCGGAGCCGCGGACAACATTTGCATGAAATCATCTTCAACATTAAATTATACTGATCGTTCTATCGATTTCAATAAAAATTTCATTGATTTTTTTAAATTTTTTGTGTTGTTTTGAAAATCAAATCCTATACCTCTTAAAAAATCACTCGTTATATCCAATCATTAGACCAATGCTGAATTTTTCCCCTATTCATTGTTAAATAACAATAAACGACATTAACAATGGATTAGGTAGAAAGCAGCGCGAAACCATGTAATATTTACTACTTACGTGATTGGAAAAATATTTGTATTGTCATAACTCAAAGCAAAGGGTAAGCTAGTTATTGGGAGAATGTTGATAACTATTTCCCTTTCTCGAACAGGTGAAGGTGAAGAGGTTCAGGTAAAAATGTAATGAATACATGAATCATTCGTTTCAATCTCCACCATTCTCCGAAGAAGGTATTTTAAGTAACCTCTCTGCTACCAGAACAAAATCATTACTGAAAATAAATGTACGACGTTTGTTCAAAAAATAAGTTGAACTTTAATTTTTATCAGAAATTTTTTATTCAGAAATTTTTATTTTGTCCCCCTCAAAGAATTTCCCTTAAATATAATACACCCGTGCCCGTTTATTTTACAATCCTCGGAGCATTCCCCATATGCACTTTTCAGTATACCCTTGAACTATCTCAGCGTTTCGGTGTTTGTCTCCTCAATTGTCGCAAAACATGGCTCTCTTCAATCTTGGAAATAAAAAAGTCGCACGGAGCCAAATCTGGTGAATACGGTGGCTGAGGCATGATTACGGTGTTGTTGTTGGCAAAAAAATACGGACAAGCAATCGAGAGTGAGCAGGTGCACTATCGTTATGCAAAAGCCATGCATTGTTTTTCCAAAATACTGGATGTTTTCTTCGAATTGCTTCTCGCAAGCGACGCATAACTAATGTGGCAAGAACTCTTGATGCAGCACTTGACTCTCTTGGGCTCTTCCATTGGGATGATTGGATTTTGGTTTAGATGTTAGCTATGACATCGAAATGTACGTAGTCCGCAAAATTTGAACATCCATCTTATTTTTTGAACAGACCTCCTTTTAAAAAACATGACCCCTAACATAAAAACGACAATCTCGGCCAATAGTGACTACTTTTACAAATTAAAACTGATGATCAGCCATTCTTAATATCATAAATAGCAACGGTTGTCTTGCTTCATACATACAATATAATCCACCAACCATTTAATTATATATAGCCACTATCCCTACCCGCGTTAATCTTTTCTGTACGACATGATCGTTTTCTATTTTTAAACCCCAGCTGACTTGATACTGATGCGAAAATACGGCCACTATATAAACGAAATTGGAATTCCTTGACTTTGAGATGATGATAATACCGGTTGGGATTTTCTGAATTCGAAATATTGACAGAGCAGAACGAAAAATCTGTTCGTTCTTTTTTGGTCAAATATCAGTTTCCAGGTGTAGAAATTGTCGATGTATAAATATTAATTTCACATCGGTAAAAACGTAAAACAAAGTATTGATACAGGTATTACACATTTTAGAAACTAACAAAACTAAAATTAGGTTGAATCATCCAAAGGAACAATTCGTACAGGCCCGCTTTTCCTTACCTACACAGTAGGTTAATGGATTGACACTTATCAGAAAACAACTACTCCCCTGGCTGATACCACGAAAGGCGTTGAATTATATCCTCCGGCAGGTGTCAGTGCAGGATTCTTCACCAAAATTACTCCTGTCGCTGTTGGCGATACACCTACAGGAATCGATTTTCAATGGGGAATGTTCCTCCTGACGGAAATCAATTAGTTTTCATAAAAGAGCTCAAAAACAACGAATTTTAAACTTATCATTTCAACCTTTTTCTTTAAAAAATTATTTTAATACTTAAAAAAGAGGAATGAAATAATGCATTCAACATTTAAAGGGATTCGTTTCTATTTCACCATTTGGCAACATCGGTTATAGCTAATAAAGGACAATGAATCTGTTACCTGTATGGGTAATTATTATTAATTATTGATTTATAAAGATAATTTTCCTATTTTAAAGTAGAATATCTAGGTACATATAAATTATTTCAACTTGATATAGTCGCTGTTGCCAATATGTGAATTAGAAACAAATCCCTTTAAAAATTAAAACCCAACATTTGAAACATCAATTTGAATACCCAAATTGAGGAACATTCCCCATTATGTGTGATTGATGAGTTGTTTATTTTGTGGTAATTCATGATCACTTTATTGAAATGAATAAAACCACTTTTGTCCAATTACCGCTAGTATTTTTTTATACGACCGGTTTCGGGTTTAACCCCATTATCAAGTATATACTTATACCCGAAACCGGTCGTATAAATAAAATTTACTAGTGGTAATTAAACAAAGAAGTGTTTTTATTCATTTCATTAAAGCGATTTTCAATTATTGGATCGGGCACACTCGCAGTCCGGTTTCGGGCTATTTGGCCTGTCGTCAGTGCATCAACACGAAGTCGATGATTTCCCATAATAAAAAATTATATTCTTTCAGAGTATCATCCTTTGAACAAAGCTGAAGCGAATGACAAACAACATATTCGCCATCGCTCCCTCTGGCTGTAGACGGGGTACTAATCAACTATATATAAGGAAATGCATTTCCTTTTAAGAGGATTTGGGCCATTGGATATGCGGTTGGTTAGTACCTCGTGTACAGCTAGAGGGGGCGATGGCAAATATGTTGCTCGGTGTTCGCTTCAGTTTTGTTCGAGGTACGAAATTCTGAAATGATTAGATTTTTAATTATGAAAAACCATGGACTTGATGTTGAGGAGGGACACTACTTTGCACTGACGAGAGGTCAATTAGCCCTTAACCGGTAATTGAAAATCGATTCCGGTATATAGTTGTATCGCCAACAGCATATGCATATATGGATATAATCCATATGTTTATTCCATGACAATTTCTCATTAATGTATAAACCTAAAAATATGGATATAATCCATATGTTTATTCCATGACAATTTCTCATTAATGCATAATACCACAAAAATGAACTGTCACTAATGTCAGGAATCAGAATCATGCTAATTTTCAACCGCGCAACTCAGTAGATGGTACCTAATTTTCTAAATTTACAGCAGTTAATTCTTGAAAACTGACGTCTCGACCAACTATTTCTTAGCTTGAAATAATTATTTTGAAAAGTAAATATAAATATCAATTTGTTCACGTACGTATAGTCTCACTGAGCTCTTGAACGATCATTGGCGACAGGTCTAATCCATCCTTTCAAGTTGGAATCAGAACAACCAATGTTGAGAAAAAGTTTGTTTTCGAGACTTTTTGTATTTTTTTGAACACGTCCCGTTCCCGTCAATTTCAACTGGGGTAGCTTTTTCGCTCTAACTACAATCAAATGAACTATCTTCCATTTCCACTGTAATTTGTTCCATTTATAATACTCAAGACAGTCGATACTTTCAGTTTCAAGATATTGGAGGAGGTTATATGGTTTATGATATGAATGAAAATATTCAAAACTATTCTTCTTCTCTTTCATTATGTAATGGCCTCAGCTACTAAGACTATAACGTCATTCAATTGTCAGCTTCGAGTGCCGTCCACTGCCTCTTCTTCTTCCATATTTTTCTCAATATTGTTCATTTGTAGAAAATTCCGCTACTTTATTTTCAAATCCGCTACGCCGCTACCGTCGGAGAAATTTAAAAATAATACAGTGATAACAGTTTCAATAAGCTAGCAGAAATCAAGAGCGAACTTGTATATCAGTAAGAATCAACACCTATCTACATTATTTCAGAAATTCTACAGCATGCCAATTGATTCTAAAGAAGCGCAGAAAATATGAAACGTACTATTCACATACAGGTAGTTGCTGATATTTTATAAAAACTAAGGAAAATATGTAGTTTGCCACTAATATCGGCCATGTGTTTATTTCAGTGATCATGCACTTATAACGTTTTGTTACGCACGAAAAATGTCTCTACTGATTTGATTTCAATAAAAAAAATCTATTGATTCGTATTATTGGTGGAGTTTCTTCGCCATTTCGAATCCTTTAGGCTTATTTGTTTTCTTGGTAATACTTGTAGTTTACATAATCAAAATATCACTATTACCTGTAATGGTTGTTTTAGATTACGGAAATATTCGCAGGACTCGTAATTTTATAAATTGCAGGAAAGTGTATCTTGAGGCAAACTTTTATTATCAAT